TAAAAAAATTTTTTGGGCTTAGTCTTAAGTCCCTCGTCAATTTTTTCGGTATCTTTGCCATTAACTCCTTTTCGCTTCAGTGTTTTCTACAATTTTTAGCATTTTTTTTATTTAATTCAAATTTTTTTCTTTTAAAATGCTTGTTATAAGCACTTTTATGTATTCGAAATTGTATTCATATATAGATACTTGAATATTTCAAATGTTTTAGGGGTACAGTGCCTCAGTGGGTTATTTCAGTAGCCGATACCGGGGTTTTATTTTCGACAGGAGTAAATCTAGTTTTCAAAAATACGAGTTATACTGGCGATTCACCTGTATTTCCAAATGACTCACAATTTTTTAGGTCAACAAGTCAAATGAGTCTTATCGGATATGATAAGCACTCTTGGAAAAAGCCATTATAAAAATGGTAAATTTTTTTTCATAAAATTGAAAATCTTTTATGGCTTAATGAAGAGAAAACAATCCACTCAATTTAATGAACTTCGTCTTCTTAAATGAATTTTTAAAAAATTAAGAGAAATTAGCAAATAAATAAAATTTAACTTGATTATAGATATTTATTGCAATAATAAAGATAAATTTTACAAATTTTATATGATAAACTCTTTTAAAAATTTTAAAATTATTTCTTAATTTTAAATTTCTTGGATCGTATTTTATTCCAGTTAATAGTAAGCAACATGAATCCGACTACTATCCCCCATTTGTGTGTATATTGGACGCCAAAGGCAATGGAATCTGGCAAGCCACGAGTGCATTTCATTATAAAAAGCAAAAAATGGAAATGTAGAAATAAACTAATTAATGAATAAATAAACTTTAAAAGCAAAACTAGCAAATCAAATCAAAATATTTCCAGTTATCTCGATGATTTTTTCCTTCACTAATTTTTTATTCTTTTATATCAGTGATGAGACAGAAGGCCTTTTAACAAAATTTCTCGCAATTTTCATAACTTTTGCCAACAAAACACTTAACTATTATCAACAATTCAAATAAAATGTATTTTCCTTATAAGTAGCTAAGCAATTGTTGGAAATTCATTATTTACGCATGTTTCATGATTGTTTTACTTCATAAAATTCTATTTTATGAATATTTTATATTCGAAGATATTTTATATTATGAAAATATTTTTATTTATTATTTAAAGAACAAATTTTTGGTGAATTCGAATAAAATCAAACATAAAAAATTGCGGAAAACGCTGAAGCGAGAAGGATAGAAAAAGTGCTAAAAAAACTGGAGAACGACTTAAGGTTTCAAGCTTTTGAAGGCACTCACCTGCTGATTAACCTCGCTCGGCTGGTTGGCTGGGTTAGAGAAATATGGCAAAAGTCCTTTGGAGATAGGGATACAGATAAGCCACCAGCACCACTCGGACTTTTGAAAGATAGGAAGTATCACTCCTTCATTCAAAATCTTGCCTGGAAATATCGGCGCTACAATTGAACGAGAACTCATTGAGCTATTCTAATCTCCTTTTGCCTCTTAGGCGAGAGTGTCGTCCGACGAGATGTGGTGCATCGGCGGGATCCGAACCACAGTTCTCGGTAACAATTGCCACTAAGTCCCCTTTAAATATATTTTAAAAAAATTTTTTGCTCCATTTTATTATTTTATTAAGGCACCGTGCTTATGGCTTTATAACTCAGTGATACATTCTAATCTTAGAATGAAAATTTGTATGATGGGTGGCAGCTTTTCATAGTAATTTTGTTGCAGAGAAACGTCTTCTCGAAAATGAATATTATTAAATTATCGTAATTTTTTAAAAGATATAAATTTAGCAACACATTCGCGAATTATGTTTACTCAATTATTTATAATTATGATGTTTACAAATAAAAAATCAAATTTTTGTCTTTTTTCTTAGATTATCACAAAAAATTTAGCGCTCACAACCAAAAACTGTGCTCCTCATTTCATTGTTTATATATCGTTAAATTCGAAATGTTATATTAAATTCGAAATGCTTGAATAACTAACTCCGATTAAATTATCTTTTCCTACTTCCCCATTCCATTTACCACTCCTCCTCCCGTGCCACTCCCATGCTACTGGCAAATCATTTAGAAGATGGATATCCGGAACTAGCGATGGTTATTTTATGAGTTATTAAATTTTTATGAGTTATTAAAAGACAAAATTAAATTTTTGTCTTTTAACAATCGATTTCACCATTTCTAAACTGATTAACTCCATAGGCCACTAAGAGAACGATAATTAAAGATTATTTCGATCGGAAATATATTAAATTCGAAATGCTTGAATAACCAATGGTTGAAATTTTTGTCGAATTTTTTTAAGAAAACAATCGAATGGATAAACTGCAAAGCCAAAAGCCAAATTGTTGCTAAATTATATTCTCACTATTTTAAAACGCATGGTTTTCGCCTTCTGAATCGCTTGGGATCTTCAATTAAAATTATAATGGTGGGTAAGATCGATATATTGTAAAATGGATACATCATTCTTCAAATAAGAATTCAGTTCTTGCAAATGATGATTTCCTTGACAAGGAATAGAGTGTCGGTGGTATGATGATTGAGAAACGAGAAAGAGTTCGAATATGGCAGCAGCACCACGTTTTGTCATCGAAGTGAAAATGAAAGGAGTAAGTTGGCTCAATAAGTTGAATCTGAAGTGCCGATACTAATATTCTACATCTGGCAAAAGTAAATTTGACCCTTAAAAATCTGATGGCTCATTTGTACCCCTGTCGCCTACTCACTATTTGCCAAAATTTATGGTCCGACAGCACAGCGAGCCTAATCAGCAGTGGTGAGCTTCGAAAAAGAAGAAATACCAGTGGATATTAAAAAATAGGAATATTGTTACTCTCATTTAATGATAGGATCTCAAAATTTAATTGCCAGTGAAAACGGTCAAATATAGAAATGATACGATGATACTATGCGAAGAATTTTGAAACAGGCTTTCATTCCATTTATTTATTTGTGTTCTATCAGAATTTCTCCTATTTCTTGTCGCCAATAAATTGTCATTTCTTATTTTTTTTTCTAAATTTTATTTATGATTGATAATTTATGATTGACGAAATTATGGGTTTTCAGTGGCATTCTATCCGTTATTTATTTATTTATTTATATATCATCAATTTGATAATGACTCAGTGGATTGTTGTCGTAATTTCGAAGGTGCTGGAATTTTGTTTCCGATGAGACTCCGGTTCTTGGCGATTCGAGTCCACTTCTGCACCAAATAAATCCCTGGCAAAATTTCTCCTATCTGATAAGCCAGAGGAAAGAGACCAGCCAGAAATCACGAGCGTTGTTTGAAAAAAATTATCGATATCATTTACGATAATTTTCTTAATTTTAATCATTGTTTATGTGAATTCTCTTTCTTCTACATATTTTCTCCTTCTGATATAGAAAGATTTCGTTTTCATCATATTTTTCATTGAAATTTCATTAATTTTGAATTTCTTCTAATTTTATTCATATTCTATTTGTACACTTTTAAAGCTCATCATTCCTGGTTAAGCGTGCCCCTCTGGTTTGTTAGGTTAAATTGGTTTTCCCAGGAAGCCATTTAATGATTTGGAGAACAGATGCTGCATTGTCCATTCTGGGAAGGCAGGTTTACTTGTTTCTGAATAAGTGGAACTTTATCGATATTCTAAAATGAGAGCAAAACCCAATGAGCTATTTCAATTTACTTGTTTAGATATATATGTATATATGTCGATTCTTTCGTATTCTTTTAAATTTAAAAATTTCTTCAAAAAAGAATTTTTATAAATATTTATCATTTTATTAATGCAATTTTTTTCTAAAAATTTATCTCTGATATTAATTTTATTGATATTTCACAATTTGTTGTTCTTCTTTTAAAATATCTTTCGTCATTAATTTATAAATATTCTTTTAAGAAAATTAATAAGTTTTTATAAAAACAGATGAAATGATCTTTTTTTTGACGTAAAAATTAATGAACAATTCAAATCATTTGATAAGTGATTCAAATATTCATATTTATGAGAATATAAATATTTGCAATAATGAAACAATAAATGATGGATTTTGTTTTGGTTTAGCGATTTGTGGTTATTGTTATGATTTGAACGAAACTGTTAAATCAAATCGCACTTACGAAATATTTAATTTGGTAAGTTCATTTCTTATTTATTATTTTTTATATATTTATGTATATTTTTTAATATTTATTAATAAAGTTAAGTCGATGATTTGAATAATTTAAAAGTGTTTTTAAAAAATTTACAAATTAAAATTAAATTTGAAAATTTCAATTCACTGAAATAAAATTCGTAATAGCTATAAAAGAGAATTTTTCTCGAATAATTATTTTAAGTAATTAATTAATCGTACTTATAAACGATAGTATTTATCTGCTTTGGACAATCGTTATTCTAATTGGCAGACCGACGAGAAAAATGAAATCGGTGAACTGTTGAATTGAAAATACTGAAAACCAAGATCAATATTTTCGCTTGTTTTATGAAAAAAATGCTTTTCCAAAGATCCATTTTTATGTGCGAAAAAATTGAGAAATAGATCATTTTCACAATAAAATATTCATTTAGAAAATTGAAATTCTGTCTTTTATCGATTCGGTTTCACCCAAAGCTAATAACCGGCTATAACAATTTTTGTCACTGTCACCACAGATTCCATTCATTTTATAAATTTCAGTGTTTTTATATTTGAATGAAATGTTGTCGCTAGATTATATTATTAACTGTATAGCATTTATCTAACTAAATGCTCTGGTATAAACAAATGAATATTTTAATGAATTCGCTGTATTGAATCACTGAGGAAATCACTTGAAACCATCCTCTTTAGCCATTTTCCATTTGCTTCTTTTTCAACGATTTTTGTTTAGCTTTATAGATAATAATAATTTATAAAGATTTTAAGATAATTATCGGTGTATTGTTACCAACGATTGGAATATTGGGACTGTTTGGTAATGCAATATCCGCTTTTATATATAGCAGAAAAGTTATGATTAGGTTCGTTAAAATTTGATAAATTGTTTAGCTTTTATTTTAGATTTCATTGTTAAAAATACAATTAATATAGAAATATTATATCATAAATTTCTATATTAGTGATAAATTTTTTTCACTAATTTTTTTATAGCAATTATTAATGAATATAATTATTTCACTGAAATTTTTGGTTAAATTTTTTGCTAAAAAATTCACCAATAATTAGATTTATTAGAAAATAATCAGTGAAATAAAAATAAAAAGCTAAAGATGTCGTGCTAGAGAAAAAGATCAAGCATAAGTTTTAGACTAAGTGGAGGGTTGTTGCTCAGTTTTGAGTACCGATGCTGCGGTTCTTTTCCCCGCAGGGGAAACCTTTCCAAAAATCCGGGTGATGCTGGCGACTCACCTGTCGCCACTTCACACTATGGCAAAATTTGTCTGATTCAAAAAGCCAGCTTAGCAAATATAATAATAAGCGAAGAAATGAGCGCTCTTTCTGTGAGATAGTACCAAATCATGAATAATGATGAATTATATTTAGTTCAGCTTCCATGATTTTAAAGTGCTATATTTTTAATAAAGTTAATTTTTCAGTTCAATGAATTGTTATTTATGTGCGTTGGCCATATCGGATATGACTGTTATTATTACAGCATTTTTTTTATTTTTTCTTGAAAATATACGCCGACGATCATTAATAATATCGAAATTTTTTGCAATTTTAGCACCAATAACCTTTCCACTTGGCTTAACAGCCCAATCGTTCTCAGTATTCCTTACTGTTACTGCTGCTATTGACTGTTTTATTCTTGTTTCTGCATCAGCTGCATGCAAAAAATATTTTTGCACAGTGAATAGATCTATTCAGGTGAAGGATTTTCCATTTCTGCTTCTTTTAATATCAGATTGGATAATATATTTTATTTTTCAAAAAATTTATAATAAAACAACTAATAATAATAATAATAATAATAATAATAATAATAATAATAATAATAATAATAATAATAATAATAATCGATATTGGTAATTGAGTCGATGTTGCTTCGTTAAATTGTACGCATATTCGTTTCCTTTGATAGGATAAAGCCTCGATTAAAAACGATGTCTGCTAGCGAGCAGACCATACTTCTGCCAATAAATTAGTGCTTAACGAAAAGGAGGTGGTGCAAACGCTTCATTCTAGTAATCGGTGGAGTTAAATAGGTCAAAGTTGGTGAAAATTGGTGTATGCAATAGAACTGCAATAGAACAATCGAAATGCTCAGTGATTAAAATTACATGATATTTTGATTTTATGTGAAATGAATTAATTAGCTTTGGGCAATTTTGAGAATTTAATTCAATAATTCTTATTCTTTATTCTTTAGGTGGTTATTGGAATTTTTTTAATTGCGGCGATGTACAATAGTCCTCATATGTTCGAAATATTTGTTGTTGACTGCTGGAGTTTAACCTATTCACATCAAAGCTTAGATGTTTGCCCGACTGATTTACGTCTAAGTGAGGTAGGCGATTATTGAAATTTTAGCTGATAATCGCTACGGCATCGAATGCAGCCGCTTGGAAAACGTCTTCGCGTGTAGCCAGCGATGCTAGCCTAATGAGTGATGGCTCAAGCTATTAGAAGAGTGATTTCTAATCGAAATTTAAATGAATGCCACGATGATCTTTTCATTATTGTTTATGATTATTACATGGACAATGCATAAGGCTTTCAATATGAAATCGATATGAAGCCAAATTCTAAAGGATGTCCGGAAAAGGATAACTTAATTTACAGGGAAACATTAATGAGATAAAAGAAGAATAATGCTTATTTTGAAGGACCCTTTTGATTATTTACTCCTAAATAAATAAAAATAACTAACTCAAACCAGCAAGTTAACAATTTAAAATGGAAAAAGGAAGATTTCTTTACAGACATATTTGACAGTTTATTATGCTTGGCTCTATACAGCAGTGATGGCTGTCGGCCCAGTTATATCATTAATTATTTTAAATACAGCCATTATTTTATCAATAAAACATGGAAAAAAGACATCACAGGACGATAGTGATTCGGATATTATTACACTTGTGCTTGTTGTTTGTCTCTTTATTTCATGTAATATTTTAGTAAGTTTTAGGTTTTTTTTTAAATTAGACCTTATGTTTATGACATAATAAAGGACGATAATATGCAAGCATTACCAGCATCTAAAATCTCAATGAAAAAATTTTTTAATGAGGGTTTTTGAATTGATTTTGAAAGCAAAATGCAAAATTAGCTAGGTGGCTCAATTTGTTGCTGCTCTCAACTCGTTGTTAAACTCGTTGTCGCTCTACTTCCAACAGAAATAAATTCGCCATTTCAAAAATCTAGTTAGCACTATTCTATCACCAAATGGCTTGGTTAAATCTGCCTTATCCGACAAACCAGTGGAATAAGCCTAGATAGCCAGAAATAGTGAACGCTTCTCAAAAACGAATTATTCTCAACGAGTTTTTTGAAAGCTTGGAGTCATGAAAAATATATTTTCATTGTTACTGATTTTAAAAACCTTAGAAATCATTTCTTGATACTATGATTCAGAAAATCAAAAAATTTCTACAAGTTTTGCTGATTATTCTTAAAATTCTGCAGATCAAAAAAATATCGAAATTTAGAAAAAATGTATTCAAAAATTTGTGCGAATTATATTTTCGCAAATGAAAAAATGAAATAATAATAATAATAAATTTATAAATTTTTGCTGGTTTTTTCCAAAAAAATTCATATTTTTTAGCCTTTAATTGTCAATTTTTTGGAATTATTTTTTGGTGTCACAAATTCATATCTAATAGATTTATCGAATCTAATGGTTGTTCTCAATTCATCGTGTAATTTTTTGATCTATTATGCATTTGGCTCACGATTTCGTTGCACCTTGAAGCAATATTTATTTCATTCGAAAAAATCTTTCGAAAATGGATCGACACGCTTGAACGATCTGTTCGCTCCACAAACTGAATTTCTTATATGATTTGTTAACTATCTGTTTTGTTATAAAATTGGCTTACACTAAACATTCATTTTACTTTTTATTAGAAATTTTTATTCTCGAGTAGTTATCAGTTGTCATTAATAGAAAACTGGAGATTCAAATATAATTCTTACAATAATAATTTTTTATTTATGTCGTAAATGAACGCAAATGATTGTTATATGTTAAGCGAATATAAAATTATTTTGAGAGGAATTTCGAACAAAAAAGAAAATAGATGAGGCAATCGGTTGAACAGCAGCGATCATTAACATTTCAAAATTTTTTTGCAATATTTTCCTTAAAATAGCGAATATGCCCGAGGAGAGAGAAATAAATAATATCCATCGGTAGAGTATATGGTCCTATTTTCCTGAGATTATTTTTTAATGTGTAAAATGGATGAGAAAGCTGAATTGTTAAGGAATTTGATAATTTTGCCCGATTTTTATGAAAAATATATATTTATTTTGCCCGATATTTTTACGATTTAAAGTTTTTATGAAAAAAATTTGAATAAAATTTCATTGCATTCAACTTAAAATAGTACTGCTTACACTAATGGAAAATTACAGTTTATTATATAAGTACCATATCAGCCTTTTTTTTCAAAATTCGAACTATCGTTTATTTCATTATTCCAGAAAAGTAAGAAAAATTTTTTCTCAACTCATGAAATGTCACAGCTCCGCTGATAATCACGCCGTTTCATGTTAAATATGGTCGAATAAACCAAGGCAGAAAAAAAATAAAGAAAATTGGGGTCGGTGATAGCGAGTGATAATGAGTAGAGCGTCAAAACAAAAATATGTGAACCTAAAAAACGCCCAAACTTTTCATAATCGATAGATAAATTTAGAAATATCATTTTAATCACTTTTCTTTGAATATTTTAAGAATTTTTATTTAAGAAAGAAAAAGGTTGTACTTTTCTGAAAAAATTTTCCGGAAAAATTTGTTTCTTCATTTTTTTCCTGAAAAAAATTTAAATTGGTTTGGTTACATATTATTTGCTTAGTGAAGCGAATCATGCATTCATCCAAAATAAACCAAAATGAAGTAAAGTGTGACCGAGTAGTGACACTGCATAATGGATGACTTCATTTGCATACGAGAGTTCATTCATTTTTCATTCCTTTCATAACCCCTCAAATCCCTTCTTCTTCCCTTCCCTACTTCCCTTGCCTCAAATCGGCTCTCAAAGCCTTCTATACTATTTTACCAATTCTTAAAGTTTTCCGGAATTTTGCAGCAGTTAAAATCTTAAATAAAATTATCACCTTCTCGCTTTTGAATTTAATTTTCAGTTTTTTATGGTTCTTCAAAATATTAAATTTTCTAAAATTTTTTTGGGTTTGTTCAAAATGCTTCATCACTTTTTTTTATATCATAAATTTCAAAGAAATCACAAATTTCTTCGAAAGCTTTTCAAGGCTTTTTACGATTTTCCAATCCGAAAATTCTTCCACAGTGTCAGGAGAAGGGTGTTTGAACTATTTAGAACCATCTAGGAGCGCTGCACATTTATGGAAATTTCAAGTGAGAAAGATCCAATCTGTGTTGCTTTCCTTCTCCATCGAGCGGCTCAATATATTTTAATATGCGATTTTTTAGCGTTTTTCAAGTGAATATTCACGAATTCATCCGATGAACTTTATTCGCTAAATTTTTTTGCATTTTAATTGTTAAATTATCCAAATTTACTCTTAAATTTCTAAATTTCTTTCATTTTTTAAAGAATTTCTTCATTTTTCTGGTATTTTAGTGATTTACATACTTTTTAAGTGGTACAAGTCGTCTATTTATTTAGCAAAATTTTGAAATGGTCCTAAGGAATAGTTATTTAACCGAAATGGAAATAATAAATGGAAATTTCGAGAAAAGAAAATATACGTGGCTACGATATTGTGCTAATTTATAGCATAACTAAGACTGAATAATGGGGCAAAAATATATTATTAAGATCGGTTATTACAGATTATTTCTAGCACCGCCATAAGCTTAAGTTGGCTTGCTTAAATTAAGTTTTAGAGCTTCGATAACAATAAATTTCTATTCGTTTATCAAAAATTTGCCAAAAAAATTGTGATTGATTCTAATTTTGCAATGAATAGCTTCGTCTTTTCAAGCTTTTACTTATAAATCTTAATCGTGCATTATTGTAGTATGAAAATTAACGAAAACCGCATTTTATCAAAAATGTTGAATGTTGAATGGCTTAGTGGTGTGAAGAACAAAGTTGAATTGTCCTCGAAGCTAGAGAAGAGAAGCTAGTGAAAACCATGTGCGAATATTCAAAAGCTGGTTCGAGTGCAACGACGAGGACTTGTGGAAGATACGCGTCACCTCACTTCATTCTAATATTACGAATGTTACGAACTCCACATTCATTATCACAGTTTACTAGTGTTATAATGTATTCTGCTCGAATGAAATGGGCATTTAAAGATTAATAGATTAACTGAATCTTTGGCATCTGTTGGGCAACTGCTGTTGCACTTTTTCTCAATTTACCCAATTTAGTTTCCTTCTTTTTTTGCATTATTAAATATAATAATTTGGTCTCAAACTATTTTTTTTCTCATCATAAAACGAGATTAACCCTATGTACAAGAAAGATCAACCAAAATTTCATCCCCTTCGAAGTTAGAGAAATTTAAATTCAATACTCAACTGATTCTGACTCAATGAAATGTTCGAACCAGGTCTTTTCGAAGACGCATCTGTTAACACTAATTCCAACACAATCTTTGTTGATTTCAGATGCTTCAGATGATCTTTGTTGAACTTCAGATTTGTATTCGTGATTTACGAGTGAATGTTGTAATTGCTTATAAATTTCATTGAATGAGTCTATAAACATATTCCGTGCGAGTATTTCGAGATGCTTTTATATAAGCTGAAGCTTATTTGCAAATCAAAAATAAGCAACATCTTTCTATAAGAAAATGAGAAGTGTCAAATTTTTATCAAACTTAATCATTTGAATAGTTGCAATTGATAAATAAATAGATTTCAAATGCAGTAACTAAGAATCAATTTTTATTGATAAATCAAAATGATAAGCTGATTTGATTGCCAAAATTATAATCCAAAGTACTGGCTGATACTTATTCAAATCTTATTTTTTCTTCTTCCTCATCGCACTTATCTCTTATTTTGCGAATATCTCCAAAGTTTTTAAAGTTATTTAAAGTGTTGTATTACGCCACTGGAAAACAGGACATCGTCAGCTGATGGATTTTTAGATATCGATTCACTATGTTGCACCGATATTTAGTGGATGAGTGAAATTTTATGCGATACGATTCAATTTAATCGTTTCGAGTTCATTCATTCCGAATAAATTTCGAATGCACTTAGTTGGGTGCGTGGCTACGCGCCACGGCCTATGGATTACTCCTTTATCGCTCTCCTGAGTGAACTCTACGGCTAATGCGAAATCTGAGTCCAATTCCACGTTCGAGAAGTTAACGAAACCAGAAAGAAAATATTTTTTTACTTATAATTTAATATTCTTTTCGCAGAAGGATCATCATCATCATCATTACAATCTTCACGATTAAATTTCTGTAAACGAATAACCGATGCAAAATCGGGGATCTGAAGAATCGCAAACTAACTTAGAAGTGCTCTATTCAGATATTGATTCGCGAATTATTTTATTTTAATGTAATCCGGATAGTGCTGACGACTCATATTAACTCTATCGCCAAGTGACCCACTGGCAAAATTTGGCCAGTCCGACAAGCTAGAGATTTCAACCAGAAATAGCGGGTGCTTTCAGAAAAAAATAAATGAGAATGAAAAAATATCTGTTCCACTAACGAACTTTCCCGGAATTTCTCTTCTGTCAACAGCCTTTAAAGGCTCGAAAGTTGCCTTAATGTTTTGTCAGGTTCTTTGCATCGATTTCGTCATCAGTAATACTACCTTACGTCTCACCTTAATTTTATAAATGCCACTATTTCCCGATTCTATAGCTTTCCATACCCACAAAATCCCCTTAATTCATTTCAACAACTCGTATATCGTTTTTTCGTGGTGGTATCGTTTTTGGAACCATGTGGCAATGCATCCTTCATTATGCTATGATAACTTCTTAAAATCCCATTATTCAAACATTTACAAAGCCCTTTCCCTTTTTTATTTCTCTTTCTTATAAAGTTCGCGAACATTCCCTAAGAATCAGTTTATAAAAGTTAAAATTTCGCAAAATCTCGGCCTAAAGCTAATCAGAAATTTATTAAAATCTTACAGTATCTACCAAATCCTATTAGTCTTTATGAAAAATTTCTGAAAACTGGAAATTCCGTTAAATTAAATTTTAACACATCAAGTTACCTTGCACATTTTTACATGATCCATTAGTGACACCAATTTGAGCTTCTTTTCCATCTTTTACCTGCTTAATACCATAGATTTCCATTTATCTTCCTTAGCGCTCCACACGGCCTCAAGAGACTTTTGCCATAGCCACATTCACAGAATAATTAAAGATTAAAAAGATAGAAACTAGCGCAGTTATCGGAGGAATATAATGAGAAATAAAGGGTTTTGAGATAAATTACGAGTTTTGATTCGAAGGAGCAAATAATAAGCTTTGAGGAAAGAAGTATCGACGAACACGCCATGTTCTGGCAACAATTCTACCAATCTGTAGTACCACTCATTGGAAAAAAACTCAAAGAAACTCTGGCTATTTCTGGTAAGCCTCGTTGATTTGTCAGATTAGATTTTTGAATTGAGGGACTTAGAAACACGAGAAGTACAGATGAGTCACCAGTACCTGGACCCGAATCTTTGAAAGATTTAGTTTTACTTGGAGTTGAACCCCAACATTGGCGCTCAGAAATAAGGGCAAAAATTCATTGAGAGTCGTTCTATCCTCATAATAATGTTAATTTGCAATGAAATTTTTTTCATCCATTTTATTAAAATTTCTTAGGAATTAAAAAATACAATTAAGTAAAAAGATTTTAATATTGCTGGAAGCTGCTGGCAAATATATCGATCAAAGCTAAAATTAGTCTTTTACGCGATCCTTCTTCAACTTTTTTTTCGTAAACCCTCATTGATTTTGATTAAAATCAATTCAAACTCTTTGAATATTTAGTTTCGAATTTTTTTCAAAAGTCCTCGGTGGTGACCATTATTGATTCAACTCGCTCCACTGGCTTGTCGCACTGGACAAATATGCAAGGGAGTCTCTTGGCGATAGAAGTACAGATGATTCGCCAGCATCACCCGGATTAGGTTTACTCTTGCGGGGAATAGAGCCGCAGCATCGGCACTCACAATTGAGCAACCCACTGAGCCATTCTATCCCTAAAATTATGAAAAAATCCTGACTGATTTTGGCCAATGAATTATTTTATATTTATTTTATAGATCTCTTTAACCGACCGTTGAGAGTGTAAAGCTATTATGAAGAATTACGAAGAACGAATGATGCATTAGGAGACCCACATGTAGTTCTTAATTCCCAAAGCGAGCCATAAACTTCTCGCTCACCTTTATTAAGCGAGCCTAACCAGAAAAATGAACGCTAACTTTGCCTTTTATCTTTTTTATTATTTAGATTTGACTTGATACAGCAAACATCGTTGTTTTGTCAATTAAGTGTCAATTTTCCTACCCATCTCTTTTAATTTATATCATTTTCAGATGAACAATGAATATGGAATTTTTTTGTCATTTGCATGGCTTCAAGTGATTTCTTGTGTTATTAATAGCGAGGTTAGCAAAAATTTTTGAACTTCACCACCATACTTTATCTACGAATAACTTGGAAATAGAAATATCAACAGCAGATATTTCGATAAAAGAATCGTATTTTCTGTATTTTAAATAAAGTTCCATTTAGCAATTAATAGCAAAATTCGAATCATCGGGTTTAATTGACTCACTTGACATAATACGGAAGCGAATTGGCTATTTTACTGAGCCAAGCAAATACGGTCATCATAATCATGAAGAAATGGTTGCGACCCTAAAAGTTAGCTTTATTTTTCATTTAAAAACATTGAATTGTCTGATTGTCATGCATTTTTTTGCTCGCTTGGCTTATCGGATCAAAGGAGTTTACCACAAAGAATCACTTGGCAATAGAGTGGTACACTAGTACCACTTAGTTCCACTCGTCTTTTTAAAGACAGTCTCACTCCTGCTGGAAGTGGAAGGAGAATCTAGCATCCACTCTCCAAAATAAGAGCAACCACTTACTATTCTACCCTCAGTGAATAATTAATAATTACTATGGTGATATTTTTCAAATACTTGTCTCCAAAGTGCCACCAACTGATTTGGCCCTATCTTACAAAATTATTTGGAGGATAACAGGCTTGTTTTATCAATAATATTAATAATATTTTTTTTAGATTCCAAACCTTCCAAACTCCATTTTATTTCCCTAACATCCTGTTAGGAATCAATTATATTCCATTAACATCCCAGAAAAATTCTTTTCATCAAATAGCAAGTTTTATTAAGCCATATCATATCTGCGATATTACCTTAAACCTCCTTATATTTCGATAAAAGAATCGTATTTTCTGTATTTTAAATAAAGTTCCATTTAGCAATTAATAGCAAAATTCGAATCATCGGGTTTAATTGACTCACTTGACATAATACGGAAGCGAATACTGTCCTCGTAATTTAGGAACAACATTTTAGTTCTTTACACGCTCTTCAGAAGCTTTTATAATGCATTTCTGAATCTCTTTGGTCTCCTTTACCAAACCATATTATTTCTCCTCTTTGGTCTCCTTGGTCTCCTTTACCAAACCATATTATTTTTTAAAAGCATTTAGTTATTTCCTTAAACTATCTGATATTATGCTAACTCCGTAAGATCCTTATTATACTATTTTAATCTCACCATGCTAACTAATATTTTTAATTTTTTTACAGTCTTCAATACTTTTTAAAGAGTTAATTCATTGCATAAGAAATCTCGATCAGTAGAGTTTTGCCTACAAATTTGATTTGGTGAAAATCTTTTTTGCCAATTTTTTTTTTAGTCCTGGGATTTCTGAATTATATTCGATATCTTTTTGTTTTCAATGTCGAGTTTTTATGAAAGAAAAAATTTATTAGTTTATTTTTACAATATATTTATTTATATATTTTTACAATATATTTATATATAAATATATATTTATATATATTTATTATATATTATATATATATATATATTTTCTTTAGGAAGAAGTTTTCTGGAGGATTAGATTTATTCAGATGCTACTTACCTGGGAAAAAACTTGGGGAAAATTTCTTTTACGAATCTTAAATTATTAAGACACAAAAACCATGTAAGTCGAAATTCCAAAAATCTCGAATGCGGAATTTGATTTTAATTTAAAATTTTGAAGAGCCTTCACAGCCAATATCCTGACATCACATATCTTTATTCAATAGGAAAATCGGTTCAAAGACGAGATTTGCTCGTTCTTGCAATCTCCACTGATCCTTCGCAACACACACCAGGCAAACCAGAGTTCAAATTCATCGGAAATATTCATGGAAATGAGGTCCTATCATCATTTGCTACAATCGTTGGTGCTTTTGCTTTGAAAATGGAGAAAATTTAGTAAAAAATTATTTTTAGGTAACTGGCCGTGAACTTTTGCTCAACTTGGCTGAAAGCCTTTTAATGAATTATGGTCGAAATATTTATTTAACTAAAATAGTCAATATGACTCGAATACATATATTACCATCGATGAATCCCGATGGTCACAAACGTGCTATAGAAGGTGACTACAATGGTGTTAAGGTGAAATTTCGTTCAAAATTTTTTTTAATTAATATTTACTAATCTTTTTTACTAATTAATATTTAATGGTTTAGGCTTTAGGCATGCAATTCTCATACATTGTTATACTGAGAAAGAAAAAGTTTAAAAAAAATTCTAGCAATTGTGCATTTAAAATAAAGTTGATTTCCAGGGAAGGTTTAATACAAATGGTGTCGATTTAAATAGGAATTTCCCACATGGGCGATCTCATGGTAATCATCTTGGCCGTCGTATACAACCTGAGACATTTGCGGTCATACAATGGTCCAAGCATGTATTTCATTATTAACTTAACCCGAGTGGCTTCTGAAGATTCTGAGGATTAGCTTGGTATTTAAATGGCTGACGAAAGAATCATTATGGTAACGCCTCTCTAATTAATATCGACAATGTATGAGAATTGCATGCCTAAAGCCTAAACCATTAAATATTAATTAGAGAGGCGTTACCATAATAATCTATGGAGTTAGCCGAACCAGGAATACCAGAAATGAGAAAACTCTGTTTGAAACAACTTTACGATTTATAAGAAAAAAGAAAAAGTTAATTAAAGTTAAATCTTTTTATAATTGTAAATCGAAACCAAACGAAATCAAAATCCTCTTTAAAATGCTTGCGCAATTTTTTTATTAGTGCTAAGAAACGTTTGCGAGTTCACTATTTAAAGTCTGCACAGTAACCTATGAGACTGCAAAATATTACCTAAAGTGCCTCCACTGTTTTAGTAGATTATTTATTGAAAAGCCAGGCAGAGCACCATGTGCTAGACTTTTGAAAGGGCAATTAATAACAACAGTTAAAATAACGAATAATGAAAAATTAACAATAAAAAGAAGACTTCATTTCCTGCATTATGTGAACTTTTTAAATAATAAATGATAATATCTTATCTTGATAATAATCTTATAATAATGATAATGATAATAATCTTTTTAAATCGTAAATGATAATATCTAATATTTTTTTAAAAATAACTAAGGGTGAACTAAATTACTTCGATAGTTCGATAGTTTATTCCAGTAATGAATAGTACGAATAAAAAAATCATGAGTCTTTAGTTTAGTGTCGCATACAGGTTTAATAATCTTGGCCCTTTTTCTTGGGTTCAAATTTGATCTAAAATTGCAATATTTCGAAAATTGTAATATTTTGAACAATCCAAATTGGCATAACCATATAGAATTTTACAAGTATAGATTAAATTTTGTTTAATTCGACGAATTTGAAGGGAATTCAGGTTGTATTGTAGAAGTCGTCCTATAAAATATTTCCAGAATCCTTCAATTATTTTATTTTATTCGCGGTGTCTAGTGGAGTAGTAGGTAGTATTGTATTCAAAAAGAGGTCATACGGAAGCTCTGCATACATTTTAATAAGTTCTTAATCGAACGAAAAATAAAATTTAATATTTTTGAGGATTTCTTTACCATGCTTCTCCAGTGAAGGTCGAAATCGAGGTTTTCATCTATGATTATTCCAAAATCGGAATTGTGTGAGACTCATCTGATTATATTAACTTTAATAAAAAGATTAGGAAGATTAGGAAGCTCCTTTAGAATTCATATGAAGAACGCTATATTTTTGAAAAGAAAGGGTAATTTGTCTGCCATATAGCCAATTGGCTATTCTGCTGAGGTCCTCCTGCAGTGGAGAGAAGTTATCCGCTCTACCATGAGAATAATAATTTTACAATCATCATCAACACAATCATCAACATAAAGATAAATGGTAGAATTTACTACCACTTTGGTAATATCACTTATATATAATAAAAAAAGCGATAGCGCAATACAACTGCTTTGGGGGACGCCAGATTTAACAGCTGTCATATAAGAATATTGTTGACATATATAGCCTGGTAGCGATCTTTTGTGTAATCTGATACCCATTTATACAGGTTCACTGTAATGCCATAACTATTAAGAGTGATCAACAACTTTCTATGGGAAACAAAGGATTTATCAAAGATCACCTCTAATCGCTTCTAATAGAATGAGATTCTCTTCAACCAGAGAATCATTCATTTACAAAAGGCATATATAAATTCACGGGAGACATCTAGATTTTGCTTTTAATGGCAGACTTGGTTTATGGCTAATCATTTGAATGGCGGTTTCTATAACATTTTTATTTTTTTCATAAAATTCTATCATCATGATTGTTCTACAATCATGAAATTCTTTTGATTGCGAAATTAAAATATCTTGAAGATCCAATGGGAAATTTAATGAAATTTGCTTCTTTTAAGGAGCATTCCATTCGTGTTGTCGGCCAGTCTTCATGATGGTTCTTTGCTGGTCAATTTTCCTTATGATGATTATATTAATGAGCGGCGCTTCACATCTCATACTGGTGATCATGAATTGTTTATAAGACTTGCATATTCCTATGCTCGAGCACATGAATTTATGTGGAAAAAGGTTCGTCTTAAATAGGGTTGTCTTGAAGGTTTGTTCTAAAGGTTTGTCATATTTATAATGATGAATATACTTTAATCACATTTTTAATAGAATCAGGTCCAATAAAGAAAAAAAAAGAATTTCTGGTTATGAGAATTATTCAACGAGATTTTAAATTTTTAATAGGGACCTCGCTGTCTGTATGATTTCTACGACGATCCACAGCTTGGAATAACAAATGGTGCTGAATGGTATCCAGTTGCGGGTATGTTCTCTATGTCTTTCCTCGGTCTTCCGTTTTTAAAATCTAATCCAATTTCTATCAGTCATAATAGTTCCCTTATTACAAATCTTATTACAAATCTTATTGCTAGAGATTTCTTTTGTAACGGGGCTCACCATTTCTGGTTAGGCTTTATATTAAATTTGCATCATATTAGACCCGATGTTTATTAGACTTGCATATTCCTATGCTCGAGCACATCAATTTGTATGGAAAAAGATTTATCAAAGATTTATATGAAGATTTATATTTATTGTCCAAAAGTTTGCTATAGCAGATAAATTTTACCACTTGCGATAAAATTGCAAATGGGTCACTAGCACCACCCAGATTTTTGAAAGACAGGCCTACTCTTGTCGGGCCTAACATTTGGCACTACAGAATAACAATCCGCTGAGCCATTCTATCACAAAATTTTTGTTGATTATTAATTCTAAATGGGATAGAATGGCTCAGTGGGTTGGGGTTGTTTTGTCGATTCGGTGCGCCGATGCTGAGGTTCTATTCCCTGCAGGAGTGAACCTATACTAAAATCGTTTGTCGCCAGGGGACTCGCCGGCATGTCCACTGCGATAAACCAGCAGAGCGAGCTTGTCTAGTAATGGTGAGGATTCTTTAAAAAAAAGTTGCAAAGCCTTAGGTCTTAAGCTTTATATTTAAAATAATTCGTAAGTGAAAAATATTCCCTTATAAAAAATAAGCATATGAAAATGAAAATAGTCGAGACTGAATTTAAAATTTAAAATATTTAAGGAGGTATGCAAGATTGGAATTACTTGAACACAAATTGTTTTGAAGTGACTATTGAAATGAACTGTCAAAAGTATACATTTGAAAATCGCTTACAAAAACTTTGGAACGAACACAAATTTGCAATGATTGGATTCATTAGCCAAGTTTACTAATTTTCTTGAATTCCACTCATTTTTTAGTGATAGCTCGCACCAATAGCTAGTTTGGTTCCACTGGCACTGGGGCATTTCCAAGCCTTCCAGTTCGATGACAATTTGAGACACCGTCCACTTAGCAGAAATATATGATGTAGATTAGATAAGATAAGAATGCTAAAAAGCAGATAGTTCCCTGACTCAAATTGGTTCGTAACCATGGGTGAAGAATTATACTACAGGCAGAAGTATTTTGTGGCTAACATCGCGGTAGTTCCAAAGAAATTTCGCCAGACGAAAGAAAGCAGCTCTAGCTGTTATTTGAGCTGGAATTCCACTCTTCGCTTGGTTTCTAAAATCTCTTCTACATTCTCTAGTGCTATCTTTGCCATATAGCTCAATTCATATTCTTTTTTTCTATTGCCGTTTCTTCTTGCACCGCGCATTTTCGATTCGGTTGATAGCACTGATTACTACGATAAGGCATTTGGCATCTCTTTTTTCAAAGAGTATTTAGAGATAGCGGTACAAGTGAAGCTTCAGAACCATCTATATTTTAATAATAATTATATTCCTAGTATAGATGATAAGAATTGAAATTGTGCTGTTTGTCCTGAGCTCATAAGACAACATATTTTTCCCAATTCCCAATTTCGATACTACAATTTAAAATTAATTAATTGAGGTGCACAATACAATTCATGGATTTATCACTGATTCAGTTACTGGAGAAGGAATAGGAAACGTCGAGATCAGAATAACAAACGAAGCGAAAGTTATAAAGTCATCAAAATATGGCGATTATTGGCGTCTCATCAATCCTGGTTTATACCAAATGACTTTTCAAAGGCCATTCTATAAGACAGAAAGAAAGATTATTGAGATTAAAAATGAGCAATCATCACTTTTTCTGAATATTTCATTACAAAGGTTAAATCGACGCTTCCAAAATGCTGATCAAAACGCTTTGAACCTCAGGTCAGCAGTTCCTAAGTCTACTATATCGATCATTGTTCCCTTCTCTATTGTATTATCTTACCATTCTATTTTTAGAATTTTAAATTTGTTGATGGAATAAATCTGGTGTCTGGCAAAGTCCTATTTCTGTATATGGTATATACGGTTTTATAGCTGGCGGTCCATTAATTATCTCCATGTTGAATGAAATCCTAGCGGAATCTGCCTTTATTTGATACAAAAGTTTTTAAGGCTGCAAATCGAGTTGCGCGCGGGACCGATATAAATCGGTTCATTCCATTGTTTTATTTCGATTCTTTAGTTCTCTGGAGGAAAAAAGGTCGTTCCTCGAAATAATGAGTTAAGAAAAGCAGATGCACTTAGAATTACTTGCATACAGGAGGGTTGCCACTCGGCTTGCACGTATATTCGCAGAACGAATGTCAAAATGCTTTTCCTTAGCGGAACTAAATGCATAGAATCTAAACGATTCTAAATGCTGCAACGAGTATTTCAATTTTTTTTAATATTTAAGCTATTTCTGGTATTTCTTCTATCTTTTCTCTATTTTGTGACCGGAATTCATTCAGAAAATATTTTAAATTCTTTTCTCGGGATGATAAAAACAATTTGTGGTAAAAATCTTCAAAATTCTTCAGATCGTCCATATTACAACATCCGTAAATATCGCGTGAGATTTAACAAGTGATAATTTACTGATAAAAAATTTTAATTTTATATATGTATATGTATATAAAGTTGGTTGATATAATAGTTTTTATTGTATTAATTGCATTTTATTAATTGTTTATAAATTTTGAAGTGCCAATTTATTTTGAAATTTTTATTTTTTTGGTATAAAAAATTGGAATTTGATAAAAAATAAAAAATTAAATTATCTTTGCAAAAAATTCAATAAATGAAGAATAGAAGGAATAGAAGAAAACAATAAAAGAATAAAAAGATTATAAGAAAATTTTTTTTCACTTTTTCTCCAATTTTTTCTTTTTTAACAATAAAATTTTCAAAATAATTATGGAAAGCGTGCAAAAGTAAACCCTTTCGCGATTTCCATAATGAATTCATTCATGCAAATTTAATGATCACAAACACAATGCACAAAAGAATGTTATAAAAATCTAAAAAAGTTTCGCGTATACCGAAAATGGGAACCAAAAACGGGATTTTTTTTTTAAAATTTATCATTCATAATGATAATTATTCGTCAGAAAAAAAGAATTTCGAATTAACCTGAATAAAAGATAGCTAAAAGATAATGATTGAGATCGACACCTGGTGCAATGCGAGATTTTATTTTGTTATTCCAAGACGAATCATTTCTGGTTCCATTGACAATTCGGATGAGATCGTTTCAACAGGGAATCCACGAGAATAGAAGCACTGCCGGATCTCTGATATTCACTCTCTTTTATTCGATTGGTGAATTTTTGAGGCGCGTTGTGGTGAAGAGATTTTGCGAGATTTTTTTACGACTGATAGGTTTGATTTTAGACTAATTGCTTTAATTTTTAGTCGACCTTTCATCCACCTTATGGATCCCAATGAATTCCGATGTATTTGAATATTTTTTCCTGGAGATATAAAAAATTCAATTACCTTTGTTGATTTAAAGCTGACGAAATTCTCACTCTAACTTTTCCTTATCTATCTGAACCCTTAGAATTATTACACCATTCCAGAATTATTCGATTAAATTGTCGCATTCTTTTTTTGCCGGAGGAATTGAACAAGTAAATAAGTCTCCTGTTTTATTTGTTTCTCTTCAATTTCAATACCTCATCGGTCCTTGAATCTGCTAAGGAGAATCAATAGGTTATCTTCATCAACTCCTGCAAAATTTTGATTTTTCTTTTCTTCAACTCTTGCAAAATTTTGGTTGTACTAAATGGTTAAAATATGTTATAAGGTGAAACGATTGAAATTAATTTGTATTCATTCAATTCAAAAAATGTACACTAGCATATTTAATTTTTGAATATATTATTTATTATTATTGTTGTTTTCACCAATTATTTTGATTTTCGGATTATTTTTTGAGATATTTAATATGGGAAAATTTCCACCGATTAAACGATAATTAAATATTTTCTTCGCTAATATTTAAAGTTAATAAAATATTTGTCGGATGTATTAATAAATTTATAAGTTTAGTTTATTGCGACAAGCTTAAGCGTGTTTTTCATTAATTAAAAACTTATATACTGAAAGATTTCAGCTTGTGAAAAACTATCTCTGCAATCCCATTGTACCGTTGCTGCTCGTTATCTCCTTTTTTCGCAAACTTATTTAGACTTTAATTTGTTAAATCCATCGAAATGTGAAAAACTGGTTTTATTGCAAAGTACCATTCATTATGTTTTCTAAGCATCTTAAAAGAGTACAAAATTGATCGGATTTGCAAATGTGCTAAATTTTTGCTTCGTTAAAAGTCCGGCTAATGCTAACGGTTCATCTGTTTTTCCATCGTCAGTTCACTTCCTAGCAAGCATTAGCGGAATAAGCCTAACCAGAAATAGTCAACGCTCTTTAAAAGAAAAAAAAAGAAGTCATTTTATGCCAAAATTTGGCAATTCTTAAATCATTTCTCATATTGTCGTCCTTGACGGCGAAATTTTCTTTCTCATGAGCAAACAATTTGCCAATGCATTTTCATATTTCTCAATAAATTTATATATGTATTACTATTTTCACTTTAAAACGGTAGAAAATTACGATTTTTCAACGTTTAATATAATTTTAATGATTTTTTTTTATTTTCTTGAAATTTTCATGATTTATTATCAAATTTATGAGTGTGGAGTTGGAAGAAGTTTTGTTATCATTTCGAGTGCTAATGCAGGGATTTTATTTCCTCCGCGCAACAGGCCTATATAAAACAATCCGAGTAATGTTCATTTGCAGTTCTGTCGTCAAGTGACTCTTCGACAAAATTTGTCCGGTCCAACAAGCCAGAGATTTAGTTAAAAATAGTTTTCTCAGAAAAAAGTATAAGAGAACATAAAAATATTTGCAATGAGAAATGGCTCAATGGGTAGTTGCTTTTATTTCGGGATACTAAGGTTCTGCTCCATGCATGAGTGGATTTTAAGTGGATTTTGCGGGGTGTTGGTGACGACTCATGGCGACATTTCTGTAGCCAAGTGACTCACCAGCGAAATTTCCCTTAGCCTTAGCCTCGTCAGAAAACTTCAGAAATATGAGAGATATTTAATAAAAGTGCCTGAATCCTTGTAATATTTTTCTGGTTTCTAAATTTGGTTAATTTTAAAAATATGGGACGATTCATTATTCGCAAACGAGTAATTATTTATTTGCATAGAGAATAATTTTCGGAGATTTTCAATGTCAAAAAATCATAAATTCTTCAAGCTTTCATCAAAAAGACTCAGCAACATTCAGCGATTCGCCACTGTAAAAGTTTGCACTCGGCTAGAGGATCATTTGGAAATAAAAACTCCAGGATCATTTGGATTTCACTGCTTCTTATATGAATAATCGAATTGAATATGGCTTAACCTCTCCGAAACCATCTGCCACTGAACTATAAAAAAACACACTCCTTGCTCGACATTGTTAAAGTTTCTGATTACTGACAAAACTTTTTAGTGGTTTTAGAATTGAGAATTTCCTATTTATGCTGAGATATCCTTTTTTCTGTAAATTTAGACCAATTTGTTTCTTTATTTTAGCATCGCTTAGCACTTTTTTCACAAATTATCCAGATTCCGAAAAAACAGAATGATCAGTAAATTTCCAACTAGCCTTTGGCTTTTGTCTACACTTATGCTCTTTACTCTTCTTTATTTAGATTTGATTAGAGCTTTAAATTCATATAATAGATCTTGCAATTGTTCATGAATTCGATATTAATGATATTGAATCATTAGTCGTTATCGGACTGTAAACCGTACTTGTTAATGGAGGCACAATGGTATTAATGGTATATTAGACCTCTGGCATTTTAAAATAGTTGCATTAGCTTGTTGTTATTTTAATCATTGCCCAATATCAATTTAGGGTTTGGCTAACTAAAAATGACTAAGAATAACTCTGAAAAGAGTGCTTCTGAATGAAAGAATGGAAGTTTAAAGGCACCCTCAGTCTCAGAAAGACGAGCTGGATAATCGAAGCAATATACCATCCGACCATTCTATTCTTTTTAATGCATTAATATTGCTGAAGTGATTTCTGGTATTTATTTAGTTACTGTGCCTTGCAAAATTTATTTGCTGCACGGTAGACCAAAGAATGTTCAGCAAAATGATTCGAATAGCTATGGTTCTATGACTACTGGCGATGCTAATTCTTTCCGAGTTTCAATTGCAAATGGTTTCTTCAACAACTTATCACACCAAAGCGAAGAGACAGAGTCAGTGGATTGTTTCTCTGATTTTAGGGTGACAGGAGTAGACACATCTTTTTAAAATCCGAAAACCCATCCGTGCTTCTATCACCAAATGATTTTTCCGCGAAATTCGATTCGAAAAGCCAGCAGAATAAGGCTAAGTGAGTGTTCATGGAAAAAGAAATATTTTCGCATTGTTCATTCTTTATTATCTTGAATGAATAAAGTATTTTCAAGTTGGTAAAGTAAGTATATTATAACTTTTAGAATTTTGGGCCTCCATTAAAATTCTCAGAATTCTTAGAAATAAGTTGTTTTTTGTTATTGTTATTAGTCATTTTTTATTATGCCTGGAATAAAACAAAAAATCCCTCATTAGCTTAAAATAAATTAGGTAAAATATTTTTGCCTCTTTCAATATTTCCATTGGTTATAAATTTACGTAATTTTATATGTAATCGTAAAGACTTATTTCCAGAGAATTAAACGAAATTTAATTATTATTTGTATTTCACTTGATAATTTTAATAATAATTATACTATGAAATTTGACTTTGAATGCCAATATTACTACCAAAAAAATCAAAACCCGACAACTTTTGGTAGGGAATCACTCGGCGATATAGATGGTAGGCACTACAGGATTTTTGGGAGATAAATTTATAAAGGAATAGAACACAACAACCTCACCTCTGAAATAAAAGTAAATGAGGCAACTCTATAGAGATATTTATTTTTCATTGTTTTACCAATTTCCTTATCATTATTTTATCATCTTACCATCTTGCTTTTATTTTGTCTACACTTATACTCTTTACTCTTTTTTATAAATACATATTTAAATTCATATTTAAATTGATAATTCCATAATTTGAATATGATGAATTGTAAAATATGATTATTTTCTTGCCGTAATCCATAATTGGTTAATTTTTTCATCATAATTGGTTAATTTTCAATTTATTTATGTGTGATGGACTAGTTGAGACATCGACTTCCGTGTTGATCGCATAATTTCACTTTTACGCGAATGGCATTCTGTCGTACCACTGTCATCGATCGACTTCTTAATTATGGCGATTATCCACCGAATTCGTCAACTTTAACAAGCAGGCTTTGGAATGATATCGAATCTTTCGAAAGGGTTCATTTTCTTTCGTTCATTTTAGCACCTGATATTGACAAGACAGCAACAGAGATGCAGATGCATCCGAAGCATTATTTTCACTATGTTTATTCCCCTTAAAAAAGAACCGAAGCCTTACTGCCCATTATTATGCCAAAACCAAACGTTAAATAACTATCAATAGCCCATCGGCTTCGTTTCTGACACCACAATCTCTTATAGGTTTTACGATATGATTTACATGATAAGCCATTTTTATTTATCATTGTGCTGATGAATATTAATTACATTTGTATTTACTTATTATTTATATCATTTGCAGGATAATCTTGCTGAAGTGTATCGCAAGCTCGCAAATATTGAAGAGGAAATTTGGGGTAAAATAATTATAATGGAACGTAATAGCCGAATTGTAAAGGCTTATCTTCGATCGAGAATCATTACTATCGATGGAAGCGATTGGGATTTTGATGGATCTCGGTACATTGTGCAAAATTTCATTGGTTTTCCTTTACTATTATTATGTCTTTTTGTAGTAGCATTCCATCAATTCCAGATTGCCTTGTCCTTGTAAGCTTTGTTCCAGCAGCCCTTTTAAGGCCAAATACCACAATACCTGACACACTCACTTGCAGTTGCAGTCACTCACTTATCATCAGGCAGTCCTGGTTCCCCAACATTTCGCAAAGACCTTTTTAATCAGAGCAATGTCTGAGCTAGCAATTCCTCAAAAACTTTTCGTAAATTTCCTCACCTTTGGATGGTCCAAATTTTTGCCCCAAGAATCCATATTATTTTGCTTCAATGATAATTTAAAAAATGATAATTTTAAAATTTAGACTCGGTTTAAGCTATTTTATTAGTAACCGTCACAATGAAAAAACATTGAAAGTGCTGCAAAAATTCAAAAAGGTGAATAAATATTCATTTCAAATATTTGTTTAATAATGAACGCTTCGTTTTACTATTTTATCTGGTAAATTTGCTAAAAGATGGGCAATCCATATTGCCTTTGAATATGGACAGAATTTTTCACAAGTTATAAAGAAATCCTGGCCATCATATCATGCACTACTCATGGCGGAGGGGGTTCCTTCATCCCAGGTTGAGAACCATTCTCCTGAAAGATATCTAATCGTTTAACTATTGGTTGGACCAACTTTATTCATCAATCCAGTTGCAACCGAAAATAACTTATTTTATATTATTTTTAGAGTTCTTAATATTATAAAAATCGCTAATAATTTCACATTTAAGTTAACACTGATAAAAATGTAAAATTTCTGAATTACAGTTCGTTTATCTTCTCTACTGAGGTTACTATTCAATTTTTAATGTGACACATTTATTCTTCCAATTTTACTTCAATAATTTTAGGATATTAAACTAAAAATTGATGATGCGGGCAATGTGTGGATGAAAACAACCGAGGGAAAGATTGCCTCCTCAGGCATTATGGGTGAAATTAATATTGGTAGTGAACCTATCAAAGTTAATTTTTGACTTGTTTTTTTTGCATCCAATGTACTAACCTCTAATTCATAAAATTCAATTATTATTATCAGTTATTATCATTGTTATAATAATGATAATTATTATAATTATCATTATTATTCATTATCATTATTATTTTATTATTATTAATTATACATATATAGACACTAATGCCTCTCTTTTCATTCTTCATTTTTCACTCTTATACCAAATATTCGAGCGAAAAATAAAATCATAGCCCAAATAACCGCAGATAAAAATGCATCTTTCGGCGAAACGTTTATAAAACTGTTGCGAAATCACCATAAAAACGAAGGTCTGCACCTCTGCACCTGAGTGAAGATCCATCCTATAATAGCTATGAAACATGATTACTGAGAGTGGAAGGAATTAGGAAGCTACTTTTTCATGACTCACTGATATTGTATCACGATACCACACTCGATGAAAGGATAGAACCTCACATATCTGCATTCCACCTTTGCTCGAGTACCATGTGGTTTAATAAGTACAGAGCGTCGTCTACGCTGGTTAGACCATGTAAGGAATTTAAGAAGCATTTCATTACCTACGATCAATTACCCACTTATTTTTTGTATATTGGCAATAGATAGATTGCAGATCTTTGATTTGAAATTATTCAAGGACATCGTATTACGGCAAACAAGTGGAGAAGAAACGAATCGAGACCGAATAAATAGACTCGCCATTACCTACATTTTGGTTTATCTTATGATAATTATTTTTGCAAAAGTTTGCTATAACTGTTGATGTGTACTAGCCTATGCTGTGAATATAACTTATCAACAAAAGGAAGGATTTTTCGCCTGTTCTGCGGAAATTCCAACAGAAACAAATTGCATTATTGTAGTTTCTTTCTGTCAGGTCAAAGAAAATTAAGAATAGCTCTCAGCCAAAATTTCAGGTGGATTAAGGCACATAAAATTTGATTATTTTAAATGCAACTCCAGTTTGTATGTCTTTCGCAGCCACAGCATTTCATTTCCGTTTTTTAACATAGCCCTTTACATGCAAAAGTTAAGACGTAAAGTTTCTGAATTTCCTAGAAATTCGCAGAAAAATTGAGAAGACGAGATATGACTGATTTTTATTTGGCGAGAAAGTGCTGTTAGCAAAATATCCTTATTTTTCAGATCGATGGCACAAACGGACCATTGTCTTCACCGTTATGGTTCGCATTAATTCATATAACTGCTCTTGAACTTTCAAAAATTTTGTTTCCCACGACTTCAGGTGAAATTTCTATTTTTTCATAAGCCATGTTTTAAAAGAAAATTATCACGGTAAGAACTGGTATTCCAATTAATGCTGATTGAAACTATTGCTTTGACTGACGAAAAGCAACATGGATCGGATTCCTGGCCCGTTTGCCAATGAGGATGAAATCTGCTTGGCTGTGGATTTGTCTGCGTTCCAGCCTAAAAGATTACCCTATTAGTAGTGGCGCTGGCAAACCGAAAATTTATTATCTGTTAGCAGAGAGTTTTTTTAAAAAAGCATTCACAGTTGCTGGTTAAGCTCGCTGGCTTATCGGGTTAGACAAATACACCAGGGATATAATTACAGGTAAATCGTAGCACCAGCGGGATTTTTGAAGGAGTGCTCCTTCCAAAGAAGCTCAGCCGGCAGAATATTTCAGCATCGGTGTTTCGAACTGGGCGTCCACTAAGCCACGCTACTCTCCTTTGCTTTGCCCGTTAGGCGACACTGCTCGACGAAGCGCTGTGCATTTGGGTCAAATTCGAACCCAAACCTCGATTCTCGGTGGCAATCACCTTGGCAATAATAGTTTAGCAGACAGTAATTCAAAAAGAATCCAAAGGGACTGCGTGAATCTCCGCGACCAAATTTTGATTCAGGTTCATCAACAAATTCAACAAACTCGACAAGTTTAGCATCGCGGACATATGATGTCATTCCCTGTTGCATGTGCGATGGAAAAACAGGCGAGTGCAATTCATCGACCGAGAGCTCTGATTCATCAATATATACAACATTACACTCGTATCAGTGGCACAAACCGAAGGAGCCACAAGGGAATTTCCCAGTCAGCAGTGGTTCGCGAACGAGCAAGACTAGTGCGGATCGGATCCTCGGAATCCATAATTCACAAAAGTAAGTGAAGGGCAAAACGGATTCTCGAATCAAGCTGGGCGTTTCGTTGCTTCGGCCCTTAATAAGTTGGAATTTCTTGTCTCATGAAATCAGTGAATCTTTCATTAAAAGCGCATAACTTTAATCTGAATTAAGATTTCAGTGGTGGTGCCGTAAAACGCATCGCACGGAACGAAAATCATACTGCCCACGCCACGACGACTTCGCACCCCCCCGAAGTACGCACTATTTCACACAAAAATACTCCCACCCATATTTGTATTTCTAAATAAATAACAGATACTCAGAAATATTTAATTTCTAAATATTTTTCTAGAAATTACTACATATCCGAATGTGGCGTCCAAAACTTACTTTAGAGCTGAACGTTAAGATGTTTGTAAGTCCTAAACGCAGAATTTTGCAGATAATGAAGGAACCGGGCAGAAGTTTATTAGATCTTAGCGATCTAGATCGCTTGCGGAATCCCGCTTATTTTCACGCAGAAAGAAAAACAAGAGGTGGGGACGGTCACAACAAAGTAAGGAAAACAGAAGTAATAGCAAAATCGAAAATGACGTCCACGAATAGTAAACCAGTCCAACCACTAGAAAAGAATATCACACGTTCGAAGAGTGAAACGTCTTTACACTGCGAACGTTTTTAGATTTTTACAAAATAAAATATAATATAAAAATGACGAATAAATATAATTCGAAATATAAATATAATTCATATCAAATCATGTTTATCGTTCGCATTATTATTATCATTATTACAATTTTAAGTCCACTTTAAATCCTCAATAACCACCATTCTCAAGCAAACATTTAAATCGCTTCACTAGAATACAATAATAGAGTCCGATTTGGTACTTAAAAGAGTTGCAAGCACATGAATATGGGAACAACAAGATAATGGAAAAAACAGAAAACCAAGATCCTGTAAGATCCTGTAATGAAAAATGTTGAAAGGTCCATGCCGTCAGATAACCGGAAAATATTAATTTATAATATAAATATAGCAATATAAAATACATAAACAAACTTCATATTACCACATAACTTGATAAAGACAAGAATGTTGGATAGGAAAAGAGCGTGTATTTCTTTTTAGCATTTATTAAAAACATTTCGCTAATCACATTAAAAGACTAATTTTCTTATAAAAACGAACTTAACGACTAGAGGAAAAATTAATATAAGAATATTTCGCAGAAAAATAACGACAAAAAAAGAAAATGATCAGTCTTTCTTCATCCTTGTCGTAGTCATTCTGTATATAATGGAATCTTTTCCTGGATCCATATTCCACAAACCTACAACAATAAAAAACACGGAAACGGACAGGATAATGCCGCAACCGGCGAAAATAGCAAACATAGCTGGGTAATCTTCTGATGTGAACTGAAAAATTAAGACTGCTGATTATGAACTTTTGTGAAGAGTGGAAAAATAAAATTTATAAGATACGAAATCTTCTCTTCCACGGTATTTTGAAATGTGGAAATCAAAGATGCTCCTTAGCAATTTGCAATTTTATGTTCCTTCTTTCTTACGTTCAAAAATATTTTACGGAAATCCATGAAAAAAACCTTCCAAAAAAATATTACCGGATATATGTTGAGTTTTCGTCGCAATTTATTAATGCTTGATTTATCATCATCAACAGCCTGAAACAAAACATCTAAAAAAAGTTCATGAAAACATGGCACAATAAACCAAGTCAAATTTTCTCATCCGTTATAAAGCAGCTGCGAAACAAACCTGTCTTTTTTCAATGCTGTGCGTATTATCACCATTTGTCCTGATGATTAACTCCACAATAGCTCGATTTCCGTAAGAATTCTTTAGGTTACTTATAAAATAAATGATGGCCTCAATCAATTCCCTCATTGCATTTCTATAATCCAGTGGAGCTTCAATTTTAGCAGATTCCAATCCATCAATTTGAACAATATACAGGGCTGGCGACAATGAAACCAGTGATTTCGCTTCTTTTATCTGGGAAATAAAGAAAATTCAAATTTTGCAATGCTTAACTGAAATATATGAAAGAAAATTGGTATTATATAAATTTCGAAGTTAACTCACAGCTTCTGATAATTTATACAACAGTATCAATTCTCTTCGAAGTGGCATGGTACTTATCGAAATCATTGTTTCATTGAATTTTACAGATTCTATGTCGGAAAAAACATTAGAACCCTTTATTTCCTTCGATTCAATTTTCGCCCAAATCCGGTTTTCAGCAAAATTCGTTGAGAAAATATGATCTATAGAAGAAGGATTCACTTCATTATTTAGCAAATGACACTTGGCATCCGAAGGAAATTCTTCTACACCATCAATTGATACTAAAGAGTTATTGTTATAAAATAAAAACTGTGAAAAAAAAAGAAATTATCCAATCAAAAAAAAAGTGGAACGTAATAACTGCTTTACACTCGATTTGAAGTTTTATATTAAGAAATTAATCAACGAAATTTCTAGATTTCATGAAAAATGTGAAAAAATTCTTAATGTGAAGAGACAAAATGCAAAGTATAGACCAGATACTGATGATTTACCATTATAAACGACTTACTTATGACTATGGCGCTTGGTCGTAAGAAAATATCTGAGTTGCCAAGGTCTGGATCAGCTTTGAGTCCCAATAATTTCTCATTCACATCTACCAAATCACACGCTTCATTGTTCAATGAATGCGGAATCTTTAGTCCAGCCAAAAAATGTAATTCGGAAGCATTTGCTCCTTAAATCTGCTCCAATAAAATTGAGAGAATCAATATAATAAAGAGATGGAAAGAAATAAATGAAAAAATTGGAGAAGCTAAGACAAAATCAGTAACTTACCTATAAATAAATCAGGAACAACAAAAACTAAGAACATCTTTACAAAACTGACTGTGATAATATCAACGAAAATAAGCAATCTACCAATCATTTTTGCTTATTGCCCGTCTAAAACATTTTTAGATTATAATATAATATTTCTAACCGTCGCACCAAAATACTCTAAACAATCCAAACAAAAAACTTTTCAAAAATACAACTGTTTCCAAATTACACTATGATGAATAGATAAACAAACAAAAAAAACAGAAAATTTTATTAATAAAAATGAATATTGTTAAATCGATTATATCTCATAAAACTTTATACAAATTCACATTCACAACTTCTTGTAAGCATACAATAAATTTTGAAAAAGGTTAATTCGTTTTGAAAATTAAAGCCCTTCTTTCAAAAAAATTAGGAATAAAATATTTAAAAAATGAATAACTATGGATAAACGAATTATTAGGCAACACAATAAATATTACAAATTACCAAAAAATGGCAATAATTACCAAAAAGACCTTTGAACTCCACTCAATTTACCAAAATCTGCCAAATGCCTGCAAAATTTACAAAAATTTATGATAAAATTAAAAATTTTCTGAATGCTTTTGGGATAATAATATAAACAAAAATGTACCAGAATTAAAAAAGAAGTTCAGCTTCACCTATACAAAACTCGAGAAAGAATCATTTTTTGACAAGATTAAACTTATCGCTAATAGCGATCGAATGGCTAAAATATGTTCAAATAGCCTATAATTCAATAACTTCCAGGCGAGAACGTCTCCTCTCGTTCTCGATTAACAAATTCACCCAAAATAATATTATTAGGAACAGAAAAAGAAAACTAAACAAAAAAAACTTAATCTAATCATATGTTCCATTCAGTTCACTGTCTAAAAGGTTTGATCTTGTTTTTTTTGACGCTATGGTAATACCATTTCCTAAAATTTATTATGCCAAAAAATATATGCCTAAAAAATACCTTATAATATGTCGGCTAAGACGGAAATTTTTAAGCTTCCCACGCCTCGCACCAGTAAACTGACACAAATTTAAAATCCGCCTTGGATGTGGTTTATCACCAAAGCTATATATCTTATCAGCACATTCATCGCGAATCGCTTGTGGTAAAATGGTATTCAATTTCATAGCTTTCAAACGAAACAGATCAGGTCCAACTGCAGCAAGGGCCTCGCGACGTCTTACATCCCTAAGCATGCGCCATGTTGCCCAGAATGTCATACGTTTACCACTTTTCCACCATTCACGTTCGATATAATAAGGATATTTATTGAAGCTAGAAAATATTGGCAACTGGTGAAGAATCCGATCAAATTGGAAAAATTGTAAATCTTAATTGTCTTTGTTTTAAACAACAACTCCGGTATATATTTAATTCCAGGGTCCGAAGCAAATAAGTTGTTCTTTAATCTAAAAAATTATTCACAGCATGATGCCTTTAGATTAGAACTAATTGAAAAGAGAAAACTGCTTCCTGGCTATCATCAAAGCCATAAAAATTTTCTTTTTAAACCACTCACCATTACTGGTTAGATATGTACGGTTGGCTATACAAACATGCCAGGGAATCCCTTGACGACAGAAATGCCAGGTGAGTTGCCAGTATTACAGGGATTTTTAGACAGATTTACTCCTGCCGGGAGGGGAATTTTAGTGTCGGCGCTCCGAACTGAGCAATTCTATCTCAGCCACTGAAACATCGACGCGTAGAATTTTCACATAACTATTCTAACTCTTCAATCGCTAAATTGTCACACGCGAATTTCTTAAATTGAATTATCCATTCAAATTAGTACTCACCTTTAAACGAAAGCATACAATTTCAGGCATTAAAGCTGAATAAATTCCATATCCAATTCCATAAAGCAAAGGAATTACAAAAATTAGACGCTAGATAATTCCTTAAATAAAAATCTGATTAATAAAACTACTTACTTTAATTCGGCTAAAGCTTCTGAACTGTAAGGTGCTCTTCTCGCTGCTTTCGCGAGCATTTTGTCCACATCCAGTTCATCGTTTCCATTTACTTCATTTTCGGTGCCAACTTCTTCATTCCCGCTCGCTTTTGAATATTTAACGGAATTCGCTGGTAAAGGTTCGGCACGCCGTTGTATGCTTGAAACCAGCGAACGTCCACAAAAACGAAATATTGTCGATTTCCACATTTTCAAATAACTACTGAAAACAAACTATGTTCTACTTTCCTTCCAAAAGATTCATCGTCAACGTGCGATACATAGAAAAAAATGCACAAAACATGTTAAAGGAAAAATGACCACATAAAATCATAAAATACTAAACCAAAATCACTTATTTTTATTAGGCACTTTAAATTAATTTACAACATATTGCACCGTAGCACTGTTTTATGGAATAAAGAATTAGTATCAATAATAATAAGAATGCATTAACATTAAAGAGTGCAGGAAAATAAACAAGAAGATTGATAAATGGGCTCATTCCTAAATTAATTCGCTTTGCGAAAAGGAGAATGCCTTTGGCTTCTTTTAATTGACGGTAAAGCCGCCACTAAAAGTTAATTGTAGTGGCTGATGGAAACTCGCCTATTCCCGAAGGTCGACGATTTGGCGAAATCATCTCATTGGAACAACAGTTGAATAAATCAAATAAGAAATGGTGCATTATATTAATGAATATAAAACCTATCGAAAATTTTTTATCAACTAAATGTATATTAACAGAAAATGCGTTTGTTTTTTTATTTAATAATCTGAAAAAAAAACAATAAAATCATACAAAAATGTCATTTAAGCTTTGAAAAATTAAAATAAAAAGGATTATAAAAAAGTTAAAAAACAGTGTCCAAAATTTTTGCTGTTGTTATTCTATAATATATTTTACCGCTGTGCTTAAATTTTAAGCCAAATTTTAATCCTAAGTGACTATAAATTAGTTAAAACCATCTTAAAACTTAAGAAGAATATCGAATTATATACCATTCGACATTTATCAGCCTGGCGATGCATCAATTATATTTGTTGACTTTTAATGAGCGTAACTATCGACATATAAATGGTTAAATAAATGCAGAAAGTAAATAAAAACATAAGTAAAAATAAATAAAAACACAGAAAATTTAATCGAATCGATCAAATTTACTTTAAAAAAAATTAAGTGATGACATCAGTTGTAAAAAAATTTGAGCCACCAGCTCTAATTCTCGTACGATTAGCAAAAATTTTAATTGAACCCGTAAGATCAGCAGAAATAATAACATCTCCATAAAGCTGACGCGAATCAGTTTCTTTAATGTGTGGTAAAGTATCAAATCGTTTATTTTCACCAGCACGTCGATTTTCTAACAGTGACAGAAATAATTGTGGACGAGGTGCGAAAATTGCTGCAGTTACGCCTGCAGAATGACCTAGAATAAATTGGAAAACAATCCTGAAGAAAATTCATTTATCAATTATCTCCTATAATATCTCATACTTACTGCAATATTTTTTATTATAATTACTGAGTAAATAAACCAGATTTCCTTTTTCTTTCAACAAAATGAAAGAAGAATTGCCAAAAAAATTCTGGCAATCAAACAAGTAAACTTCATGTAATTTGGGAAAAACATGCCAGAAAGATTTCTATCGGGCATAATATGGGATAAGGAAGCTTAAATTTGTCTGAATCTAGCAAAAAGAAAACTAGGAATGATGTTACTAAAAGATGAATTTCAAATTCATAAAAAAAATACATTGAATACGCTGCCAAAAATCATTTCTGTCTTTTCTAACGGTAAGAGGCGAAAGCAAATCTGATGTCGTCCACACATAAATATAATGATCCTCACTACCACAAACAATATGTTTGCCATCTGGAGAAAATGATGCTCGTATCTGACTTCTTTCATTCTGCACTCCCTGAAAATATTAGTATAAATAATCTATCTATAAAATAATTTATAAATGTTGAAGATTGTAATAATATGGGAAAGATATTTACTTTGAATTTACAAGTTAGAGCCATATCCCTCAGATCATACATCCTTATTCGAGAATCATTTGATGTCACCAATAATTTATCTCCATAAACAGCCAAACCAGTCACCTACAAAACTGATGCATAGGAAATATTGGAATATAAGAATAAGAAATGAAAAATGAAAATTAAGTTTAAGTAAATACGCACCTTATGACCTCTGGAATTTTTGCCACGGCTTGACCTCACATCTATGACTGTATGATATTTCAGCTGGTCAGTAGTGTAAAAAAAGCAACGTCCATCGTAAGTACCGACAGCAGCAAATTTACCATTTTTAACGAAAGCGATAGCAGTGATAAATTTAACCTGTTCAACCTCATTCCATAACGCAACTTTCTTGTCAGGAATGTGCCATAATCGAAGTTTTCCATCCAAAGAGCCGGATAAAAAATACCGATCATCCTTTAAAATATTTTTTCCAATATATATTAATTATATTAATTAAAACAATATATATTAATTAAAACCATAGATTCCATCAGACTAAATCCCATTAAAAAATACTTGATGAATAAAAGATACTTTAGGCATGAAAGCGATACAAGTAACAAAATCAATATGCTGAAAACAACAAAGACATTCTGCCCGTGATAAATGCCATAATTTAACAGTTCGATCCATCCCGGAAGAAAGAATGAAATAATTCCTCGACCACGATATATCCAAAACGTCCGCAGTATGACCACGATACGAGCAAAGTGGTTTAGGAGCCATTACAAAGAAAGTTGAGTCAGCATTTGGATCATCATCGGAAGAATCAACACTATTTCCCAACTAAAATATATTTCCATATAATTCATGATTTTAATTCCTCTAATTAATATCTCTAATTATAAACTCTTAAGTGAGATAATTTTGTTCAATTATCGATCAGTAATACTATATTATCAAGCAAAGAAGCGAGTTTGCTTGCTTCAACTAGGCTTTAACTATGCCTGACAATTGAATCGTTTCATTCTCTCAAAAGTGAATGGAAACATTGAAGTCAGTTAATAAAGATTTTGGTTAATTCCAAAACCATAGTTGGAAAGAAATATCATCATTCATCATTTTGAATCATTAAGAATCATCATTTTGCGCTGTTATTTCAAATTTATTTTATTTATATTTTCTAAAAAAACCAACCGTATTCGAAGATGAATGATAATCTTTTTCGATTTCTTGCATAGCCTTTTGTAGTGAAGTTTCATTTAATGAAACATTCGAACTTTTTAACTGTGAATTGTAGCGATCTCGCATCTTATTAAAATAAGCTAAATGATTTCGAAGAACCCAAACACGAATAATATTATCTTGACCAGCTGTTGCTAAAAGTCGCCCACACAGAGAAAATTTCATACACCAGACTGCACCCTTAAAAAAAAAATTGCATTAACACCAAAGAATAAGCAATTGCCGATGATAATTTCAAAAAATCATGCCAAAATCACCGTGTGCTCGTTATTTAATTCTTGAACTAATCGGGTGCCATCAAAATCAAATGGTCCTTTTTTCGTATTTTTAGATCGTACAATTGGAGTCCCTTCACTTATATTATCTTTTTCATTATCACCGCAACTATCTTCATCATCTTTCGTCAATTTTGTTACAGTTGAGCTATAATTATTCACATATAAATTATGATAGATTTAAATTTTGTTTTATATATGAACAAAAAGAAAAAACAAACTTAGATGACACAATGCTTTTAGCCTTACAAAAAGCACCACGAAATAACTCAGTTGCATATGTCCCGTAAACTTTTACAAATGAAGCAGCCTTCTGTAAGTTACCAGTTGCTTGAAATGTTCCAGATGTCTGACCGCTTTCTATGTTTCTGAATAATTGAAAAAGCAAACATGAAAAGTGAAAACAAAACATGATAAACATTTTCAAAGTAACTGCAAACTAAATAAATAATAAATAATAAATAAATAATAATGAAAACTGTTTTATCATTATCATTTCTTTTGCGAGTAACTTCACATTAAGAAAAATAAAATAAATTTACGACTACCCTTTAACTTCGTTTATCTTTTCTTTCATGCTCATTCGCCGTTCAACATCTCTTGTTATCGGATCAATAAATTCATCATTATCAAGACTTTTTAGTTCATCTCGTTGGACCAACTCAAACTCTTCTAAAGGTAAATCCGATTTGATTCTATGTTTCACCTAAAATTTAATAAACCATATCGAATATTTTTTTTTCATAAACCGATTTAATAACCGATTCTTCAACCATCAATCAAAAAAATAATATTCATTGTATGAACGAACATGACTAAATACTTCAGCAGCTGTGTTCTGTTGCGACATACGAAATCCTGAATTTTCAATTTTTTGAAGTGGTGAATCGATATTATTTCTTTCAACTTTCGTAGAGGATGGCGATGTAGAAATTGAAGCGGATAGATTTGTTTCTTCACCGACCGAAGAGAGACGGCCGTTATCTTTTTCCTCCCTAAATAAACGAATATCAGTTTCATATTTGGTAGAAATAAATTAATCAGCCACTAAAAAAAATTGCTAAAGGAAATCTCGGATGAAAATCTCAAAACAAAGAATAAGAAATTTAAAAAAATCTCAAAACAAAAAATAAGAAATTTAAAAAGTTTGAAGAAAAACAGGGTACAATGTAATTAAAAAGGATAATAATTCAGTTTACTCTAAGTTAATTTTAAACTTAATCTTGCCCATACATGACCTTTTCTAACCACGACTGCAATTAGAAGGTAATCAGCATAGAAGGTATAGCACACATTTCATAAGGCTTATGAAATCAATACAGAAGATAACCATTAGACTGAATTGTTCATACGTTGTCTTTGGCACCTTACCTTCAAAGGATGCATCATCGTGAATCATCGTGAAGATGAAGCGAAACTTGCCAAAGATAAGTTAGTACGAAAAATGTCGAGGATTCAGCATACTAGACATTAATGGGAAGATTATTGCCTCTTTTATAATAAGTAGTAAATATAATATAATAAGTAGAACCCAAACCAGAATGGGCATGATCGCGAGCCTGCTCAAACATCTAAGATGGATACTGGATGGAACTATTTAATAATACTAATACTAATAAAATATTGCTACTGAAATAAAAAATAATTTTGATTCAACAATTCGCCATAATTACTGACATCCAACCGACACTTGTTTTATTTTTGCCGTAGCCTTCGAATCAACAAACAGAGTGGCGTTCTAGATAAAGATATATCGATCCAAAGAAATTCTCCCAATATTCCAGAGAAAATTATCTAATCTATAATGCAGACTTTCAAAATAAAGAGTGGCCTTAAGGTACTTAAAGTTTCCCTTTGCAGTATTTAAATATACCACAAATTGAAATATACACATCGCCTGCAGTCATTTAAAAGATTTACTCAGTCCGGAATAGGTATGACTTAATAAGTTAGCGATGTAGTCCTCGCTGACATATACGAAAGAAGCCAGGCAGAATCCAGTATTAATACAATTTCGAAAGAAGAGCATTAGTTATATCATCTGTTTTTTTTCATAGCTCAAAAAAATTAACGCCAATCTTTTTAATGGATGGTACCAAAAACGATGGAGACAAAGGTATGCACTGATATTTATTTTGAATGCAATGCAATTGAAATGGCTCAGTGAAATATGAATTTAGATAATGAAGATATGGCACTAGATCAGGATTTTACTCTTGTGGAACCAGCCTAAGCATCACCGTAAAAACTTAGAGAAAAAATAGTGAAAATGAAAAAAGAGGCTTTTTAACGCTCGAAGAACAATTTATAAAGTCTAATCGATATTTCAGGTGTTAACAGAAAATACCAACTTTTTTTTGAGTATAAATTTTTGTCCTCTTGCAAGATGCATGAAACTCAATCCTTCGCTATAAAATCAATTGGAGATTGACTTGCAAAACTTTTCATGACTCTCAAAAAACAGGAATTAACCCACTGTTTTAAAATATAAGTAAAAACAAGAAATAATTACCTCAATGGATCTTCAGTCAATATTGAGGATGTAATTTGACTGATAATTCCTTGAGCATCGCTGTTTCGTAAAGCTTCTTCACAATCATCAAGAGCCAAAATTTTTGACGGATCAGAAGCATCAGTTGAGAATTCTCGTTTTAATGAATTACTCTTGTTTGAAGGTGGAGGAAAAGGACCCGTCTTCATACTCTTTGCTAAACTTAAACCTCTATCTAACGATTTTGTCTTTACATGACCACGAATACGCGCGAAAGCATCACAAGATATTACTGGCTTTTTAAAATCATTCCTAAAAAATTATTAAATTATGGAGGTAAGTTGCAGCAAAAAAATTTTATAAATCTCGTAAAAATGAAATTTAATTAAAATTTAATGAAAGGAAATTACAACACTGAATAAACCGAAAAATGTTCTCATACAGTTTCGATGTGCCATTTGAAGATTGTTGTGGAATCGATAAGTTATTTGTTTCGCTATAATTATATCAATTAATCAATTCATGAAACATTTGAAAAATAAACATACTTCATCAAAAAATATGATATGACAAAAAGCTAACTTTTTCTGCTGTAAAATAACTTGAGAAACAGGTAAAACAGCAGGCAATAGTGATGTTGGTCTTCTTGGCGGTAAGGGTGGAGGAATGCTGTTAGGAGGAGGCAAGTTAATTTTTGATAAAGCACTATGAAAAGAAGTTGGAAGAGGCGGAGGAGGATAAAAAGGTGGTGGCGGAGATACACTTGCGATTTGTTCCGATATTTCATGATTTTGAATTTTATGAATATAGAAATCTCTAGAAAAAAATCAATAAATAATTTTTTAAATAAATGAGGCAAAAAATATTAATAGATGTACAGAACTTATAGAATTCAAATAACTATTTGATTCATGCCTTTTTGGTGATTTTTGCATCGAAAAAGCTTTTGTACTGAGAGAATCAGCAGGAAAAAATGGTCCTATGTTTGCAGAAGAACAATCCATTAGAAGATTGCGTCCCCATGATGCTAGCGAAGTATTATCGCTTGTTGAAGCAGCATCATCATCCACTGAACAAGGGAAAATATTTGGAATCATTCCACTAAATTCGTTTTTCATTCGATGTCTAAGAATACTCAGACGACCACGACGCAATGTTGCATTATCCTAAAATTTCTAAAAAAATTTCTAATTCGCACTGTACATAATTTTAATTCAAAATGACAAGAAAGGCACTACATATTGAAGATAAGTTTAACTGAAAACGTTATTCATCAAACAATATCAAAGAAATTTCTAAAACAAGGCAAAAAATCTTAAAAAATCTGATTTCACAAAACAAATAGAAGTAGTTTTACAATCAAATAGGAAAAGAAAAATTTAACCTGTGGAAATTTATAAGTGAATAAATAAATAAAAAAATTAATGTGAAAATATTAAAAATTCTAAAATTCAAAAAAGAAAGGGGAGAAACTAATGATTGAATCAAATTTTCATTCAAAGTAGCAAAAAGTTCAACTTAAATCCCGTTAAGGTGGGGGCAAAATCGAGCAAAAAATCTTTTTTCGAGTAAATTGTTATTAAAAATGAAATCCGGAGAACTAATACGCATTCACTCTACTTTTCTCTACAAATAGCTCTGACAAGACAATCGTCCTCAATCTAATTGCTATCAACGTAATAAACCATAAATGGACCATCACCCCCATCACTCGTTCATTAGATTAATATTCTGAAAGCAAAGAAATATCAAACTTTCGCAACAGACGGAGTATTTAAAAAAGATGATGGTAAATTCGCATATATAACATGTGGAGTATTTAGTTGCAAGGATCTCACAGTATCGAAATCGCCTTGGCTCGCATCGATCGGACGTTTCGCTTGACAGAGAGTAGCTTTGGAAGAGTTTAATAAAATATCCGGTAAAGATCCTAAATTATCGACGGCATCCTCGAAATTCTCATCATTTGATGACGATTCCGATTCGCTCTCATCCGATTCCATTACGAGAATAAATCTATAAATTAATAAAATAAATAAATAAATAAATAAATAAATAAATAAAACCATTTCCGTAAACGTGCCATTTTTCTATTAACAAAGTCAAATATATTTTAATGAAAATTTTTGCCAAATAACAAAAAACTCGCCGAATTAGAGTATAAAATTATCACATCTCATTTTATTATTTCTCTTTCATAATTTATGGTAACTTTACTGAAAGTTATTAATTTTATTATATTTCAAATCATATTTCTAACAAAAAATGACATACCAATGCACAAGAATTATTCCCATTCTACTTTTTATTAATAACTATTGGCAACAAAATAGTAAGGGAAGTAATCCAACATTGTGTCTATCAAAAAATCACATCCATTTTTTCCCTTCTATGATATCTACTGTATGCCAAATAATCTTATTGCAAAACCAGTATCCACGAAAAAAAAGAATGGAAAACGAAATCATTTCCTCCATAGATTAAAAACCAATAAAATCGTCATAAGACCATTAAATAGATAATTTCAACGAATAGTTGAACGTTCTTTAATAAAATTAATAAAAACAGAAAAAAAAATTTTTATCAAAATTTTGTGCTTGAATACTTTTAACAAATATAAGAATAAAAAATAATAAAAAAATTTTGTAACTTATTTGGATGCAAAAAATAATTAATTTAATGGATTTCTACACAAATTCGCGATTACTACGAACTATCTAATAATCCAAAAATTACCTATATATAAATCATAATACACAAATGATAAAAACTTAAAAATGTCGAATATTTATAATATATTATAATATAGAATAAAAGCTATTAATTTAAAGCTATTAATTAATTCAAGATTTACTAATTTATATTACATATAAAAATAATTATAAAGGCACTCCATGAAACATTATAAAACAGGAAAACAAAATTAAGTTTGTATATTACTAAATGAGATCTATAGAAAAAACACAATTACTCATAAATGGATAACAATAATATTACGATAAAAAAAACCGAGAAATATAATTATTTTATGAAATGACTGGATGAACTAAAAATCCAGTAAAGGCGGTTACTGAAACTGAAAAAACATAAAAATTCCCAGCTTTTGGCGAATCTCTGCAGTTCTCTCCTAAAAGATTCTAAATTTATCAATAACAGCTCCCGTAAAATCAGATGTTGATGAATAACCTCCCAAATCTCGGGTTCTTACTCGACCCTCAGCGATTACTTCTTCTACAGCTTTATGTAAAGCGTTTCCATATTCTTTAAGATGTACATGATTAAGCAATTTTGCACAGCACAACAACATCGCTGTAGGATTAGCTATTTGCCTGAAATGGAAAAATCAGCCACAAATGGATCAATTTAACCATGTAAATTACAAAACTTTAGCAAAACATAATACAAAAAGATAATACTCGATTGAAAATTATTCTTTGCTTCAAAAGCCGTCAATTATGTTGCTATCTATATTTTTTTTTAGTAAAAGCCGAAAAAAATTCAAAACCTTCCAAGAGCCTCTTGATATGAATGCCTTGCTCCTGGTTCAAAAATAACCGCATCAGAACCAATAGATTGACCACTAACTACACCAGCTCCACCGATGAGACCAGCAGCGAGATTATCGACAATATTACCATAAAGATTTGGCATCACCATCACGTCAAATTGTTCTGGACGCGATACCAACTGCATGCAACAATTATCAATAATCATTGATTCGAATTCGATTCTTGGATATAATGCCGACATCTAAAATTTCTAAAAAATCATGATAAATCTATCATTCAATCTTCTAATATAAAGTGCTACTTCTAATTTAGTTGGTTCTAAAGTGAGATGCCATAAACATAGAGGTACGGAAACGATTCTTTAAATACCGGATTTTATTTTTAACGAGAAGTTTGCTCCTTTACCTGAGGTCAGAAAGTGATGTCATAAAGCCTCAAAAATGCCTCAGGTTCTGCTTTTGTCTCCAAAACAATACAAGATTCAACCAATCGATTTCGATATCGAATCATGATATGAATTTCAATTTCAAAGATAATAATATGTAAAATAAATTTGAAAAATATATAAAAACCACTGAAAACGAACTTCTTTACAAGAACGAAGAAATAAACCATCACCCAGTTTCATAATATTTGCTTTATGTACAGCTGTAACTTTGTGACGATGCATTTTTGTCGCATAGTCAAAAGCAAATTTAGCAATTCGCTTGCACTTGCTTTCAGTTATTATTCTTAGACATTCAACAATTCCAGGAACAAGTTCATGTTCTAATGATGAATATTCTCCTTCAGTCTGTTCACGAACAATGTAAAAATCCAGCTTTTTTTTATGTCGAGTCTTTATCCCTTTTAGACTCTAAATACATAATTCTACTGATTATCGAAATTTGTAAGTAATAACAAAATAAAAAGCATGCTAAATAAACATGAAAATACGACAGCCGAAAAGATATTGGTTTACCATTTTAATGATTCGATTTCTGATTCTAACAAGGTAAGTCATTAAAAATGCTGGATTAAGCGATTCATTTGTAATTCTCTGTCGTTAAATAATTCCCTAGCGGAAATTTCTAACCGTTTATTAGCCAGCTAATAAAAAGTAATGAGCGATAACTATTTACTTACTCCATGAATAAAATAAAATATTTTTAATAAAAAACATTGGATGGAAGAATTGAAAAAATTAAAAATAATAAATGAAGAAAATATGATTCCTAAAAAATCACATTTTAGCCTCATTCCAGTGAAGTAAATTAAAATAAATAAAAAATTAATAAAATAAATAAAATATAAATAAAAATTTTTTAAAACATCTAACTTTAATATGGACGAGATTAGCAAATAGATCTAGTTCATTTTTAAGTGATACATTTATTCCATGAAGTTCTGATTCAACACCGTCGTATTCTTGAATTGCACCTTTTAATGCTACATTATTATTACGTTTTATGGCACTTACTGCGTCCGATATGCTTGCTGAACGTGAATAACTAATTTCACTGAAGAAAAAAATATAAATATATATAAATATTAAAATATAAATATAAAAAATTTGCAATATAAGAGACAAATCTTTCAAAAAAATTAAGCAAAACGATATATCAGCAGCTCAATCAACCAATCAACCTTTAAACTAAAGAAACCACATAACAAAATCATTAAAACAAAATATATTCCAATTGATTAAATTTCCAATATTGATTAAATTTTCATTTTTTACTTTGACCTTATTTTGATGCTGAATTTTCACAATTTTCACCATTACTGGTTAGGCTGGCCCCACTTGATACAAGGGTAAGACGTCTCCAAGCTATTCGGTCCGATGCTATCGCTGACAGTAATAAAAGCCATTCTTTTTTCCATCGTCTAAATCTATATTTCGCTGATCTGCCTATACATTCAAAATATTTCCTGACTATATTAATCAAGGTCTTGATTGGCCCTCCTTGCTTCTGATGCCATCCACCAGAAGACTTAACAAATAATGAAATACATGTCAACTCTTGTGGTGGGCAACGAAAAACATGTCCCTAACCAGCTAAGAAGGCTTTCTATAATGGTATTGTTAATGCAAGTGGTATTTAAGTGATAGTGGATGCAATATGTACGATTTTACCTGCTCGGCGGACCCATAAGATACATGGACATGAGTAGTCGTCAAAGATTCTCCACTCTCTTAACTATATAATAAGATTGAGCGAATTGCATCTAGATAGATGCGGGCTTCAGTGATTTCGCGACAACTGCATAAAGATTTTATCAATTGGAAGAAAGCATTTCTAGCTGTCATTATCCGGGTTATAATTTCGTCTTTCGCTTGGCCATTTGGAATTAGAGTGGTTCCAAGATATTTGAAATCTAGCATCTTCTCAGCCAGCAAAGAATTGAAATCCGATTCTTGTTGTAGTTGTCGACAAATTATTTGCATATCATAATTGTTATGAAAGAGGACTACATTAGCAGCGTATTCAAGATACGATGCTCTGGATTTATATGGTCTATTAGTTCCCTTTTGAGTGTTGAAAAACGATGCTCATTATCCAGTCTATCACAAACTTGAAAATTGTAGAGGGAAAGATGCAGCCTTGACGGCTTCAAAAGAGTCTATACCTGTCCAGACAAAATGTCTTTTTGAATCAAATGATTGTTAGATTGTTAGAACACTGTTAAGTTCCATCACCCTCCAATACGCTATCAAATGAATCGAAGGCAGTAGCAAAATAGATGAAATAAATGACACCCTTCTTAATGTGAATATCTAGTTAGCCGCGTCCCACCTTGAACCCAGCCTGATTAGGACGCATCCTGTTGCCTTGTACTGCTATCTGTTGATCATCAGGGAAACAAAAATTTTTCCGGAAATGTCTAGGAAGCTGATTTCTCATCATAATATATCCTGTCATCTTTCATAGAAATCTTTCATAGGACGCACAATTGCTTTACTCCACACCTCTGGCATTATTCCATTTTTCCATACCACAGAGTAAATTTGTTGGGAGTAAATATAACCTGGTTTTTTTTAAATTCATTTTCAAATTCGTTTTTAAGAGATTTTATATTTTTTGGTATTATAAGCAAATCTTTTGCAAAATTGACGTTTATTTTTGTCAATAATCATAATTCTTAATTTTTGAAAATAACCACTCTAATATGTATATAATCACTCTAATATTTTAATGCACAATTAAGTAAAACTCATTGCTCTGGCCATTAGTGCAACAATGAGAAACTTTTGCCAGGACAGTAGAAATATAGATGCATCGTCCAGCATAACCTGGATAGACCATTTCTAAGAACAATCTCTATTTAGTCGCTACAAAGGATTTCTCGTCATAGTATATCCTGTCATCTTTCTTTGGAATTGGAAGCAGAATTGCTTTACTCTAGTCATCTGGTACTATTTCATTTTTCCATACCACAGAGTAAATTTGTTGAGAATGAATATAACCTGTTTATAATGTTCGTTATTCAGAGATTTCCAGGCAATATTTTTTAGTTATTTTCTGCTGCCGGAAGCATGTATTGCAGGCCAGAAGTGAAAAAGTGCTAATGCTGTTCGGCCTTAACCAAGATGGATTTAGATCAGGACCCTTTGTGCTATTATATACCAGGACCATTCGATTATATAAAATATTCACTTCGAACTGTGCTAACTGTCCTCTTTATTTCCTCCTTACACTGATAGTATTTGTCATATTTTCTTTTTTTAACATTAATTTTCATTATTCATTATTTTGTTTTAACTGTTGTTATTAATGTAATGCACATGGCGCTTGCCGATCTGCTTGGTTTTCAGTGAATAAATAATCATATCCGGTAATAACACGATTTAAATTATACTTATAAGATTCTGTATGGTTATGTTAAACTAGATTGTCTAAAATATAATTTAGGCCAAATTTGAATCCAACAAGAACTAATGGGCTAAAATTACTAAAACCTATGTGACTAAACTAAGGACTTATGACTTCTTTATTCATACTATTAATTGCTGGAATAAATTACTGAAAAAACGAAGTATAGCTTGTGCGTCATCCCTAGCTATTCTAAAAAAAGATTAGATAGTGCCATTCCTGACATTATTTAAAAAGTTCACATAATGTAAGAAGTATGAACTCTCGACTTTCACCATCCAATTATATAATATATATATATAATAAAATTACTTCGAATTATACTTTATTATATTATTCTGCAATTACCTCTTTATTTTCTCCTTAAACTATTAAATTTTGTCATATTTTCTATTTTTCTTATTACCAAATTTTATTATTTGTTTTTTTTTCATCTTTTTAACTGTTGTTATTAATACAAGTACACGGCGTTGTCGCCCTGCTTGGCTGGTTTTCATTGAATAAATATCCGGTAACCCCAATGCTTTTTCATTTGCACTTGCCCAAAAAAAAATTGAAAATATTGTTATTAATCATTTCCGATCAAATGTTTAAAATTGGAAGAACCATCTTCTTTCTCTGCTAATGATTATTTTAAATTGCCTCAATTAAATATCGAAATGAAGATAGAAAAATTTTTAAAAAACCTGAGAAAAACTTCTTCAAATTCCAGTGGAATTCCCGTATTTTTAACAACGCTTTGTACAGCATACGTTAATTCAGGTCCAACTCCATCACCAGGAATTAGTGTCACTTTCAATTTCTGTCGCAAATCTGTTTTCTGTGTCTGAAAATCCAAATCTATTATCGCTTGAATATCGCTGCATAATGAAGTAAATATATATTGTGTGGTGAGGCATAATATTTTTGAAAATTAAGCTGGAATTTCCTTTTACTCAAAACAAAATAAAAATTGCGGAATCTCGGAGCTTCGTCCTGTCAAAGGTCATAAAATGCCGCACTCGTCCAAAATCTGACTTAAGAGTCCAATTAATTAGTCAACGAAAAAGACATACGACTGGAGAAGTAGAAGCAACAAGAGTTCTCGAAGATATAAATGTATTCCGTAGCAATTGTTGAATGCAACGACGGAGCATTTTATACTAAAAAATATAATCAAAAAACGAAAAGAGGTTCGAGTGTCAAATAAGTATACTGCTGGCAGCAAGAGAGAATGCGCGATAGAAAGCGATCAAAAGGGATTTCGAGTGAGTCAACCCATCGATATCGACATAGAAGGTGGGGAAGGATTTGAATTATTGCCAGGAATGGTACCGATCGGCTTGGCAGCGCTACTCTCGTAGCCAACACGGACAACCAACCAAACCAGTAATGCTGTTGCAGTGTGGTTGTAAAAAATTTCGATTCCCTCAGTATTAACAAACTAAAATAGAATTTCCACTTAAAGTCGTCGAAAAGCAAACAATATATAATATAAAAATTTACTGTTCCAATTTTAATTTTTTCAATTTTTTTCATAAATTTTCTTCCTCCATCTAGCGATTAATTTAAAATGAATATGAAATCGGCTTCAATTCACGATTCATCTTACACCATAGCCTAAGCCTGCATCACAGCACCACAGACCGACCCCCCACACAGCAAAATCCTCACAAAATCCAACGAACCTTAAGAACGAAAATTTTCAAAGCAAGTCAGTGATCGAAAAAAACAATAAGCTGATTTTTGTTATATGTCAGCAAAGATCCACTTTGAGCCACTACCGAACACTATTCGTCGGCGCAGCCCCTGACTCCACAAAATTCTATTCTGAATTTTTGTTTTTGCATATTAGATATAGCAATGGAATGTTTTTATATACCTTTTGCATATATATGACAGTTTCTAGTCGTTAGCAATTTTTAATAAAAAAATATTTAATTACTCCACAATTTCCACAGTTCAGAAATATAATAACAGTAGTTCCACTGCAGAGCACTTGGAAATCTGACCCCTAAACCAGAAAAGCGCCTTCCACAGATCCCAGGAACAACATCAGAGGGCAGACTCTACCCAGAAGATGGCACTGCCAGGAACAGCCAAGTACTGCGCAGAACTCCCAATATCCCTCCCGGGTCTCTGGTGGAGGACCCGGGGTGAGGACGGCCATCACCACTCGTAGGATGGGTTGTTAGAAGATTTTTTTGATGAACTGCTTTAACATACAAAAAAAGTAATAAGAGCAAAGTAAAAACGAAAGTAATGCTAAAAGTCACTTATAAGCTATGAAATCGAATAAACTGAATGGAAAAATTATATTTCTTATATTAATTATATTTAAAAATTGTATTTTTAAACTTGTGATTTCATTTTTAATCGTTTCTAAATCATTTATTTATAAAGTTGTTCAGGTAATAATTTTGAAATTTCTTTCAAAATTCATTTTCCTCTAAAAAAGGTGAGAAACCGTTTAGTTTATTTTTGAATGACTGGAAATTTAATGGTAAATAAATAAATATATATAAATAATAAACAATTATAAATCGGGCGGCTTTTAAATGCCATACCCCTAACGCCAAAAGTAGTAAGCCGAATCAACCAAACCAGAAATGATGGATAATGTTAGAAGAAAAAGAAGATATCAAGAGATTCTTCTTCATGAATAATAAATAATAAATATTTACAACACCAAAGATTTTGACAAGAATTATCGCATTATAAGGTAAATTTCCGACTAGTTAGGGACAAATTGTAATGAAAGGATAGCCTATTTTCCATAAATTAAAGAGAAATTTAAAATAGTTCTCCAAAATTACAAATTTTCAATTCATCCTCTAATGTTAATGGAAAATCTTTTACTTGGTAAAAATAAAGACAAATCTCTTTGAGTCGTGAAAAAACGACCAAACGAATCTAATAAAGAATTGATAAAAGAAAATGAAAGAAAAATAAGCACAAAAATCAGCAACAAGATCAGAAAATAAGCGCAGATCATAATCGCACAAATATTCCATAGCCCTTTAATAATTCATAAATCAAGGGCCTGAAAAATTTAATTTAATTAATATTAAAATTTCTGGTTTTACTAATGCAATGGCGAGAGAATTTATCTTAAGTAACAGCATGGAAAATTCCGGATGAATTTCTAATAATTTTCTAATTTTCTTTTCTCCATCCCAATCACTTCTAAAAAATCACTTTTCGGAGCTAAACATATTTCAGAGGAAAATAACATATAAAATAACAGGAAAATAAAATAAATTTAAATAAATGAAATAAATGTAAAATAAATGTAAAATAAATTTTACCCTCAAAAAAGGGTTATCGCCATTTATCACTCTTGAATCAACTGAAGAATGGTCACCTTCAGTTCTTGTGTACTAAATAAATTATAATTCAGTAAGCGAAACAACAAGAGAAAATATATTAAAAATATGTCATAAATAAAATAGTGATCCTTAATTGATTTTCTTGTGAAAAGGACATCGATAAAGTATGAAAAAATTAAATATCTGAAAAAACTAACTAAAGCCATTTGTCGTTCAGTAGTAAATATTTTTGCAATAGGCATAAAGAATGATGGCATCGTTTCCATTAAAGATGGATTAGCATGTGTTAGAAAAGGTTTCATAAATCTAAAAAAAATAATTTTCTATAAATTATGACAGATACATGGAACTATAAAAATTCCAAACATAAGCATATAAAGGAAATTAATATTTAACAAACAGAAAATTGAAACTCACACTGCATCGAAATTATACCATTTTCTGGGCAAGAATGCTTTGTCCCATGGATTCTGGCCACTTGCTCTTGATGATGCTGTATCAAGGCCTTCTAAATGATCCACACTTTCCTAAATATTTCGGTGAATTGTATTAAAAGTATTAAGAGCTAAATACACTAAAAGTATTAACGAACAAATCTGATAGAGTTTGTTCCTTCTCGATGCAAATTATGAGGCTAAACTTTGTGAAACAACTTACAGTATTCAGCTGGAAATGCGATTCATCTCGAACGTCAACACCAAAGCTACAATTATCATATAAGAAATAGACAATCAAAAATTGATGGTGAAATTAAAAATTGCATTATAAAATCGTTGCCTTTAAGCAAACATTTTAAAAACATTTTATTAATAAAGAATGATGTATCAAGAAAACGCGCAAAAATGACAAATAATATCTCATAGTGCCATGATCTTAGTGGCAATCGGACGGATATCTTCTATAATACCTAATGATACATCATTTTTATTTAAATAAAAAATATCTAAACCAAAAAACAACTTAATAGAAAGCTTCTCAATGATCCACGAAGCCAATCCACCGTTGAAAAGAACGGTAATTAAAACAATTGTGGAAGTGGTAGTAGCCATTATTTGCCGATTATCGGTAGCTGTGTTCCTATGAGCTAAAGCAAAAGCCATTGCGCCTCGAAGTCCTAAAATAGAATTTTTAAGACCGGATTTTATCCGCAGATCTTTTTTTATTTTAAAAAATTACAAAACTTCAAATAATTATCAAAGAAATCAATTGGAGTTAGGTAAAACGAAGGCAAAATGAAAGCCAAAATTCATTACCGGAGAAAAAAAGCATATGCTGGTAATTCACTGGAATTTTCGGGACTCTTCGGAGATTGAGAAATGCACATAGCGGATATACAAACGCTGCACGAGCAACAATTATAGAGACCTTAAAATTCAAGATTACCAAAACTTTTTAAATAATATAAAATAAAAACATGTCATCATAAATATAATTATTATATGCATCAATTGAAGAATAAAAATAATGGAAAAACAAAAAAAATTAAAACCAGTGTAGCGACTAAGAATAAAATATTCCATTTTTGACTATGCGAAATAAATACGCTGACACCAATATAGCAAAAGGTGAAACTTTCACTAAGAAAGCCGACAACCTTAAAATTTTTTATTAGAATAAGAACGGCCAGAATATTCGCTAGATAACAACGTGAATCTCGAAAGGGATTTCGCGACTCCTTAATCGAGCAAAAATTTCACTTGACTTGTGATTTCATTAATTACAAGAACAAATTCTTTTTTTCATTTTTGAAATTCCTTAAAAAATTTTTATGTTTGATGAGAAAGAAATCTAAAGTGGAAATAACGAAACATCATCAAAGAGTAAATTCCATAAAAAATTAATTTAATAACGAAATATGCCAGCGAATTCGGAAGCTTGGAAATGTCTCATCCTAATTAATATACGATGGATTATAATTAAGACTAGAATAATCAGTACTTCGAAAAATTGTTTCGTTCTTATTTGCGATTCGACTGAGAGATTGTTAAAGGTGTAATGGGCTTGACATATAGCACAAAACAATACAGCAACAATACCTAAACAATACCTAGAAACAATACATTTTGTTTTTAAAAAAAGTGCAAGATTTAAATTACAAAAAATAAATAAAGTATGTAACGGCACAGGAGCGAACAATTTTTGTTTATCAGTGCGGTTTATGGTAGAAAAAAATCCACCATTCTTCAGTCGCTCGTTAATATTAACGATTAGATATTTACTGATCATGACCATTTCATCATTTTTACACGCTGATTTAGCTAAAGCATTTAATATTGTTTCGCATAATAACTTATAGAAAATATTCGCAATATAGGTATTATAGAACTTATTTAATTAGATTTTTGCTTATTTGGGCAGTCATCACGGAATTCTGTAACTGATCCTTCATTATTTATATATTTATTTTTATGCATATGTATATTGATTATTGCTGTTCTCAATTTCAGTATTTATTTCTAAGATGAAATTATGCACAAACTTTTATGCACATGGGTGACTGTAATACGCTATCCTATTATATAGCTGCAAAAATATCGTCAGTGAGAGTGGAATATATCAGGAAATAACACATCTTTGACCATTCTTGTCTAAGGTACACCCTATATAATCTCCAAATAGACAGAATCATATATGATCACGTCACCTTCTCTTGAATACCATCTGCATTAAGAATATCGCCAAATTATCGTGATTAGGCCAAGTTCACCGTCCATTTGGAATTTATGCATATATTATAATTAATCAATCTTGTGATGGATGACATTAAAAGCAAAGAGAACAGAACCAATCGAGACATGATCGAGAAAGATTTTGAACGCATAGACGGCTTAATTATATAGGATTGTTTTCATATAAGGTATAAGAATGAGAAGCTTGGGAACGCCACACGTTTGAAACCCAGGTAATAGGTGCGGCTATTAGACTAGTTTTCTCCTACATTTAATATGTCAAATAAATTAACTAGAAAACTTGCAAAAATATCTTTCACCCCATTTAAATTGAGATCCTATTATTAACTGTAGGCCAAATATTTAAGTTGTATGGTTTGGATTTAGAAAATAAGATTTAGAAAATTTAGAAAATAAATAAGACCTGATTTATATTTAGATTTCATTCATCTAGACCGCAAGATATTCTATTTTAAATGCCTTAAATTTTGTTTGTTCTAAATTTGAACAATATAAAAAATAATTGACTAATAAATTATTTATGAAAATAAAATGGTGCATAATTTATTTTACTATCAAAATATCATAAACATACAGGAAATTATTGCTTTTTTTCGAAAATTGAAAATAAATTTTAAAAAAACCTGTCAGTTGCACAAATTCAGCCAAAAGGAATGATAAATAAGACAATAAAATAAATAAAGCCGATTCAAGAAGTGGAAATTCGTGGATAACGGTTAATTTAGTTATTAAAGAATTCGCACATCCAATAAAGGAACCGAGAAACAACGAACCTAAAACAACATCAAGGAATTCCAAAATAAAATTAAAATAAAATTTTAAAAAATAAAATTTTTTAAAAATAAAAATAAGTAAAAATAAAATAAAAATAAAGCTTAAGAGCTCATTCGCTAAAATACCATCTGATTTAAGCATTTAAGCATTTAAGCATTATTGCTTTTGCCCAATAAAATGTCTCCAGATTATTTCAATATTTTTTAATTTCAAAGAATGCTTAATAAGGGATAATAAATATAAAATATTTAAAAGTATAGCAAAATATAATAATATATATATAATATAATAATATAATAATATAAAATATAATATAATATATAATATGAATTAATATAATATTCCAAGGAATAAAATATGATTTAATAATAAACAAATTAAATAATAAATAATTTATTAAATAATTAATTGAACAATTAAATTAAATAATTAATTAAACAATAAATTCAACATTTTGCATAATAAGAAATAAAAATAATATTTAAATAAAATTTTAAAATTTGGATAGATGAAAAACGTTAATTTACCAAAAAAGACGGTTAAGAAATTGACAATGGATTCAAGAAGCGCACGAAAATCGAAATATGTTGGCGACGAAAACGAATCCACTGAACTAAAAGAATATCATTTATATTTAAATATTCACATCAAATTTTTGTTGCAAGATCAGAGAAATTTGCGACATAATTTAGTTCATGCATCAGAGAAAAAACTCATTTTTATTCGCCAAAATCACATATTTGTGAGAAACTTCCATAGTACCACTAAAAACTCTCCTAAGACTTCCTGTAATTCCGTTATTTTCCTTTAACATGCAGTTCACTCCTTAAGCCATCTTTCAAGCCATCGTTCTACACTGCCACAACTCCTAAAAATTCCAAGATCTGCCAACACCTTTTAAAACCACATTATGTCCGCTTTAACTCGTTAATTTAAACATTATTTTACAATTCCCTTTATTAACTTACCTTCCCTAACAGTACTAAAGACATTCCCTCAAAACCTATTACGACCCTTCATACTCTCAAATCCTCTCCTAATTCTCTTTAATGCCCTATTAAAACTCGTGTTCTTTTGCATAGGCAGTAAAACCTTAAAGCTCCTTATATTAATTAGGTCCTGTGAGCCCTTAATATTCGTTAAACTTCCTTTTTAAAGCCCATTAACAGTTTCTAAAAAAATGGTGACTGCGAAACATCGCTATTCTTTTTCCCTAAAACTTGCCGTACTTTTTGAAAAATCTTCCTAAACCCCATTAAAAATCCCAAAAGCAGTAGTGCTTTCCTTTGCCGTAATCCATTAATAAAGCAATATTAAATTTTTTTCTGCCACTCCCTCTTTAACTGCTTTATTCTCAATTGTAGCCTCTTAATGTCCATAATCATTTTGTTCCTGCCACAGTTCGTCAAATCTACAGAACACTTTTGAGCCGTTACAAACTATAAAAAACTGCAAATGGTAGTACGAATGGATAACATCGAAAATGGGTGAAAACAGTACAGCAGGACTGGGAGAGAGAAAGGTTAAAGTAAAAACAAAAAAATAGCAAGAGATATGCCAAGGTTTGAAGGTAATTCTGCTTGTTAAGATGGATGTTATTACCAATACAGCATAGTGAAAGAAAAAAATAAATAAATGAAACCTTGACAAAACAATCGCAACAGCATCATTTAATACACTTTCACCGAAAACCAATGCAAAAAGATCGGCTTCAACTCGCATTTCTTGGAAAACCGCAAGAACAGTAACTAAAATTTCAGAATCAACAAAAATTCATAATTTTTATGTTAACAATAGCCAAAAATCTTATAATCTTATAACTTTTTGATCTACAATAATTCTGGACCGAGTGAACCCATGGATCAATATACAAAATTCTTCCGCAAGAATCAATTGGAGATAGGTGGAGGCCCAACTTAATTACTCCTTCTTTTTAATTACCCGCATAAGAATTGAACTCGTAGCGACATAATATACTACATATGCAGAATAATAATGATTATGATTAATGATTAAATTCAAAATTTAAAATGAAGAATGAATGATAAAAAAAAGAAAAGCAATACTTGGATCAGTAGCAGATAGTAAAGCTCCAAAGAAAAGAAGTTCCTTGAATGAGAAAGAAGTAGCAAAAACCAAACAAAAAACGAACATAATTACGCTGTAGAATTAATTTTATAAGAATATCACAGAGTGTTTCATTTATATATTGCAGATGCCGCAATCAAATAAAAAAATCGCTTATTCAAAATACCTATGACTCTTTTTTGCTAAATTTATATTAATAAATTAAATTTTAATTAATAAATTAAATTAATAAATTTTAATAAATTAAATTTTATTATAAATTAATAAATTTATAATAAATTAATAAATTAATAAATTTATAAAACATACGCTATGCTGATAGCTGATATTGTTGTTCCCAAAAAAGCGAATGTTAAAATACTGCCAATATTTCGAAAAAAATGCCGCTAAAATAAATATAAATAAATATAAAATTGATCAAGAATAGATTGAATGAATAGATATGAAATGAATCTGAACAGGTTAAATAAATTAACATAGAAATAATTAAATGCTGTTACAAATTCTCAAAAACTATTACTAAATTTCATCCAAAGAACTGCTTACTGCCTTACTGGTAGGGCTTCATAAGAAAAATTTACCAAAGCCTTTTATTCTTAAGAAAATTTTTTTAGACACAAAAACAAACCTTTTTCAGACCATAACCAGCGTTGAAAATTATTGGTGGCAATAGCAAATTGAAAAACATTTCTGGTGAGAAAACTGCCTAAAAATGATATTAAATTAATATTAAAAGTTGGATAAATAAATGAAAATCGAAAAAATTTCAGTAAAAATGTTATAACCAATATATCACGAGTTCGAAACTTTTTGACTTCCTTTCTATGGATTTTCATTCCATAGAATTTTTATTTAGGTCCTATTCATGACATATTGCACACTTTTTCTACAAACCATGGAGATAATAAACATATCAGATGACTTTTACATGTTTTTGCCTCGACTACGCTACCATACATGGCACTGATGGCACCGCCACAGATCGTCAACTAGCCATATACCAGACATATCTCAGAAATTAAGTCATTCATATATGAAAGATGCAATTAGGACCTGTTATGGCTAAGAGAGATTTATAGATATCTCACAGATGACTAAATGAAATATGGGTTTAGACGGTGTAAAAAAGAGTGACTTCAGTATTTGAGATGACGTCGGAAAGGAAAGATTAGAAACATTAATCAGATATAATCAGTCAAAAATGGTGCGGTGTAAGACTGATATAATACTTTAAAATTCAAGAAAAAAGTAATTGAAATCTTCATAGATGATAGCCACTTTTTGTTCAACTTGATGCTCTATTTGTTCCTTTTTATCACCAAAAAAGCCTTCGATTAGTTCGTAATGGAACTGAACTTTCGGTGATGAAGGAGGTTTCACCTTAAACAAATCCATATATCTAATTTATAAAAAATATTTGATGCTTTTGAAACCTTCAAAATTTCGTAAAAATTTGAATTGTTTCATCATTTTACAAAGGAATCTATAGAATTTCCTTGATACCTCCAATTTTTCTATAAAAGTAAATTCTATAATATCTATAATACCTCAAGACGAAGATAATCGGGAGGCTCGAGAAGTACAGAACCATTTTCTTGTATAACGTTAATCGTCTCACTTTCAATTACACCAATATTCGTATAACGCAATAATAATCCTATTAATAGCCCTAAAATTTTAAATTTTTGATGCCATAAAAAAAACTAATTTTTTGAATTATTCACAAAAAAATAAATTATTTATTTTTTTAGTAAACAAAAAACTGTTTAATTTCTGATAAGAAACATTAAATAACTTGCCGTAACAAAGTGTTAAACCAGTTTCATGTATGAAACGAAAACGATGATGTTTAAAGAACCAAGCAGTTAGAACGATGAGTACAAGAAGAATAACAAATATCATTAATATTAATGTATCTATACGATGAATGTTCTCAGCACGCTGAAAATATTTTTCATAATTCACTATGCAAATTATATTTATAACTAATTTACATAGCTAATTTGACAATGACAAATTCACCTTTAACATCTTCAATCATGTAAAATCACCAGTTTATAAGATTCATTTAAGAGAGTTACGATGATTATTTTATCAATATGTTGAAAATATTTTTGTAAATATTTTTGTATTACGGGGTTAAAACTATTAAGAATGAAACCATTTCCTATTTTTTCTCATTTTCCTCAAATTCCTTAAAGTCAAACGAATTGGTCTAGTAGCATTTTAGATTTATAAAGCCACAAAAGTGAAACAGATTTCTGTTCCTTAATGGGAATAAACCTAAAGTGAAACAGATGATGCTGGAGATAATCTAAATTTCTATGAATTTTCTGGTGAAGAAACCTCTTAGCACCACTCACCTACAATAACCAAAAATGGTGAATGAAAGATGAGGAAATAAACAATTAAGATGAGTTACTACGAAAATGAATGAGAGTAAACTGAAAATTCGTATAAATCACAAAATGACAATACAAAAAAATATAAAATTTGTCAAATTGTGAGTATTCCGACGGAAAAAAATCAAAAGAAAACCTTTTCGGCGGCTTGTTCCATGTGACTTCCATATTCATTATGAGTTGTTAATACTCTTCTTCCAATAACTATTGTTATAGTATACATCAACAATAAACATTTAAACATTATTGTCTGAAATAAATATTTTTTAGAGGATAAAAAAATAATATACCACTATTTGAAGTGAACGAAATGTTTTGAGAAGGCATATATAATGAGAATATATTTGAAATAGGGACCAAAGATGCGGAAAATAAAGGCCAAAGTAGTAGTCTCAGTAATAATTGGAGCACTAGAAACTAAACTAGAAAAGATTAAAAACCAAACTTTTCAACAGATTCCAGGAATAACATTAGAGATCTCTATCTAGAAGGGAGGAACAACCAAGGCTCTGTGCAGAACCCCCGGTCTTGCAGGCCTCTGGTAGCGCTCCTGAGATCGAGGATGAACTTCACCACTCACAGAGGGCTAAGAAAGGAATTTCTTTTCATATAAGTGAACCATAGCAGTTCTCCATCAAGCACATATGAATAATTATTAGACGAACAAAAGCAAATACAAGCAAATACCCCGACTGGGCCTGTTGCGCTGGTTCAACAGGACCGGAAAATTCTTGCCACAGTCAGTTAATGACAGAAATCGAGTCGCAAGTTGAGATGGGATTGCATTCTTCGCCTTGCTTTTCGCTCCTAACCCACGTTTTTCTGTCCTTTCTTCCTAAACTAAAGTTGCTATTTAATTATTTTAATAGCTGTTTCACAAGTCCTTAAATTCGCTGACTTATTTGCTGTTAACATCAGTCTATTGTATTTATTTAAACCTCTTGTTAGCATTCTTACCATTTTCTTGCTAATATTTTCTGGCTCATTGCTTTAACAGTATTTATTTATAGTATTCATCAACATTAATCGATCCTTGCTGGATTACACTGACGATTTGATTAGTTCAAATCCTATTTTCGATATGACTTCGAAGTACCACATAGGGCTATATTTGCCACGAGGCCGGTCGATGAAGTAGCTATAGTTAGTGGCTCGAAGAACGATGAAAAGCATCTGCAAAGCAGAAGCCAGAAACAATGAGGAACTGCTGCATGGGCGCTCTAAAATGAGAACGACCAACTGAACGATTCTATAACAAGCGCATTCCGATAAAAGCAATTATGATTATATAAATAAATAAATATTTGTCCAACCAATCGTACGCAAAGTAAAAGATAAATAGGCTAAGCAGTAAAAGTAATCAATATACCGAAATTTTTATTGGAATTCGGTCTGCCAGGATTTCTTTCAGTTTTGGAAGAGCGTTAACAAGAAACGGCCAAGCGAAAGACGAAATGCGCCCTCTCGCCGGGTAATCTGGCTTCGATGCGAAATCACCATCACTTCTATTTGCATTGTGCACCATCCATAAAATATGCGGCTGCGAAGCATGCCCAGTGAGACGATACTATTCATTTACTTTGCTCAAACAATGACGTAGCCTACGCTGGTTAGGCCATGTCATGCATCACACGGATTGACGCACATCTCGCAACTTCCTCAGCAGTCTAATTAATAATGCTGAGAGCTATAGAAGAAAAATGAATAAAGATTAACAATAAAAAATATATCTTCCAACAAAACCTGTTTTTTAAAAATCCATAAGACCTATATGTACCTCTATCGCTAAGTGGTACTACTTCGCAGTAATTCCGACCTGACTGACCGGTGGAACGAGCCTAACTATAGAAGATGAGAAAATATCCTTTCAATAGTAGTGGTAAAGCCATACACACTATCTGCGATTTATTCTTTCTATCCACAATACATAATAAAATGCTCGATAAAAGCAAAAAAAATACGGAAAACTATCTGCCGCAAAAAATAGAGCCGCAGCCACAAATTTGATCCGCTGATGTCTGATATTCGTCAAAGCACGCCATGTTTTATGAAGAATGTAATTTCAAATGTACCCCTTCACCAGTCCATTAGGGATATCAGTTTACCAGAGTACCAGAACACTAAGAACATTGAACCACTTTTTACCTCTTTTAACATCCCGTTGTATCCTCTTAATGGCACCACTCATCTCTTATATTTTTATGCTATGTTCTCTTTGGTGACAGCAGTGTAGCGATATGTGGACTTAAAAGATGGAACTAGAAGTGGCTCTACTGCTGTCAGCGATGGCGTCGGACCAAACAGCTTGAACACCTCACCTTAGCCAACCAATGTAATCAACGGTGGCGAGAGCTGTTAGATGAAATGTGCCACCTAAGCGGCATATCTTCTAACATCCTACAAGAGCTCATTACACATTCCTTATTTCTCGACAACTCTTCCCACACTCGTCACTACAATGAGAAATGCTGGGCAGTGTTGGACAAAGCTGTAAGGGAGCGACACACCGAAGCGTTTAAGAGGCTCCATCCACCCCCACCTCTTCATCATCGCTTTCCTTCACTTAATTCACCTCCCCGACTTCAATTTGCTATCCACCAAATTTCATGTTCCCAGTCAACTTTTCACTTAATCTGATGAGAAGGGATGGAAAGGATCACGTCAAAATTTTCTATTAGCCTCCCTAAACTGATATGAAAGGAAATGAAACAAAAAAAAGGGCCATCAAAGTAAAACCACACTCGATAAAGTCAGGGAAGATGTACAGGACACACAGGGCATGTCGGCGACACATGGACCTACCCGATGGAAGAAGGAATGTTTTCTATTACGGTTGACGATGGCGGCAGACCTCGCCGCTCGGAAGAGTCTTGTCTTATAGCCAGCCGAACCAGCCTGAGCAAAAATGGTGAGAGCTGTAATAAAACCCCTTTCGCCCGTGCATAGCAAATATTTTATTTTAAAATCGACATTTGCTGATTTAAATAAACGCCATTAGAACAACGAAAACGCAATCAATTTCATAGAACAACAGTGTGTGAGCAACAATGTTTTTTCGTTAAAAAAGCAGCAAAAAAACAAATGTAAAAAAGAACGAAAAAGTGATTGGAAATTTAGCAATGCCATTCCATCAAAACAAAAATAATGGAAAATGCTCTTATAATGAACGACTCATTATAAAAACAGTACGCCCAAAACGACCTAATCTTCAGCAATCCGTTCTGCAATCTTATTTTGTTTTCAATTTTTTCGCTTTATTCTTCTATTCTCGTACAATCACTTATAAAATTAAGTTGCTAATAAGATAAAAATTGCTCCATTACGATGTAAAAACATTTAAATAACCTAATATCAGTTAAAAACCTATATTAGATCTCTATAAAACTATTAATTAGCGTAATAATAAAAGAATATGACGGTTATGGCAAAGTAAAAATATCCTTTTGCGGATTGAGATCAATTATTCAAGAAGCCAACATTTGAGTGCTTTCACTTTTCCAAATCCCTTTGGTCAAAATATCACCATTGAAAACAATGTATCTGATGATATTTCACTGGAAAAAATTGAATAAAATTGGAAATCGATAAAAACACCATCGGTAATATTAAATCACAACAATAAGCCACTTGAAATAAAAAATAAAATAAAATATTTTGAGGATGGTTGACTGCTTCTTATTTCATTCACGACCAAGCCATCACAAATTTAACTCTTATTCTATTTATTTGAGTGAGAAGAAATAGAAAGGATTATTATAAAAAACTTCTATTATGCCTCCTCAAATCGAGATGAAAGAGATAAAAGACAATGAAATAAAACGAATCAGTTTGCAATTATCTATATTATAATCATCATCATATATAATCTGCCTGAATATAAAAATTAATACTGAATAAAAATGAATAAGAAAAATTTAATCTTCTCAACAATTCCATTTATAAAGGCAAGAAAACAGTGCTAGAAATTCGCTTCAAAATTTAGCATAATATCCATCTGACTGGTTAATTCACTTCCTGTATTCATCGCCTCTCTACGACGTCGTTCCTGCAATACGAAAAAACCAATTGAAAACAAAAATACCACTTTAAAAATAAAGCCATTAATTATATAATCGAATACTGTACATGCTCTCGTTGTCTTAAATCCTGTTGTCGTTGCTTTTCCAGTTCGGCGTTTTCACTTGATAAATGATCTTTGGTCCGTTCACGTTCTTCTATTTCCTTTAATCTCTTTCTTTCCATTTCCTCATTTAGCAACTGCTGACGCTAAAATATATTCATTGAATTAAAATATATTTGGTGAAAATTAAACCTGTGTTTTCCCTAAAATTAATCGTACTGATAAATGACTTCAATGAGAAATTTAAACTTACTCTTTCTTGCTTCTCTTGCGTCATTTTCAGAAACAAACAGCGTTTTTCCTTCATTCCATTATCAGTCTTTTCAGGTGGATTAACATCATTAAGTTTCAAAGGTTCTAAAACAGGTGTATCAATTCAGCATGAGTATCTCCTAATTGTTCCTGGTACAAAGTTATTAAAATAAAGACTCGTTTAATACTGGGAAACATACCGCTTGTTTGCGCTGGAAGTAAATCATCCAGTATAGTTGACCGCATAACAGCAGGTTGCTGCGACTGAGCAGTTAAAAGTGGCGCTGAACCACTGTGCACAAATGAATGCGTTGTCGCATCATCTTTTTCTAAAGATACTCATGCTGTATGCTAAGAGACTCAAATATGATGACAAACAAATGGCGTTGGACACAAAACGTTTTTTTATAATTTTTTATTTTACGAATATTATATCAAAGATTATTTCACTAAATCAAATCAAAATCAATATACACTCTCTAATATCCCAATATCCTTAAGTACCCCTCCTCTAAATTTGACTTACTGATTGATGGGACAACAGGCGATCTTTGGATCGGTAACTGCAGCCCACAAGGAACGGTGTGAACCTTTGTTTGTTCATTATTTAAAGACGGTTGTTGTGCTGAACACTGAGGAAGCGACTTCTAAAAAAACTGATTATTAGTAAATAAAACTTTTACTTTATTATAGTTTTTGTTAAATGCACTTTTACCTCCATAGTTTGCTCGCTCTCGCTTTTCTGTAAGACGGGCAATGGCTTTTCTTCATCTGGAACGTCTGAAATTTCAAAGAAATGAAATACCAAATCCATTTCATTCATTCATTCGCCCTAAGTAATGTTGCGTAATTTTGGTCGTAATTTTAGAAACTACTTTTTGTTCAGTTCTCGCACTCGTATTGTTGAAATGATATTGCGTTCGGAGCATCATAAAGCTCATTTTTGAATTTTATTCAATTAATTCAGATAATTAAAATAATATGTTCAATTAAAGTAGAACTTAAAAATTATTAATGCATTATATATATATATATACATATATCTTTTGTATTAACAGCACAAAAAAGGATTAATTGTAGAAAATGTAAAAAAAATGACAATGACAAAGAAAAATGATATAATCACTCGACTGAGATTAACATTTGTTTGAAGATCTTTCTGAACAGAAAAAAAAATGAAATCGATGAAAATGAGATTCTCTGGGTAATTTGTAAAAACAAGATGCCATTTAAAATATACATAATAAAAAATATATGTATAATTATTCAGACCAAAAAGAAAATATACATAACGAAATTTAGATAAAAGAGCTAATTGCACCAAGAACTGGAAGCGACTGCACTTTCGACAAGTAACTGGCAAAAATTTTGTCAGGAAAATATTAAAACTCGGACAAATATTAAAACTCGGGATGGGATATAGGCAAGTAATAACAACAAAATATACATAAGATAAAATTTTGGACAAATAGAATTATTGCATACACCTCTAACTTCGCCCTCGAAAGAAAAATTGAATAAGCCAACATTTAAATAGCCTACTACAAAAAAATTTCAACAAATAGTTGATGGAAGTAGATATAAATGTAAGGAATATATTTTACAATTTGTATAATAAAGACACTGGGCAAGAACCTGATCACGAAGTGCAATTCCATTCCAAAAGATTCCCTCCACTCATCGAACCGATTTCATTATTTTTTCACTGGTTCACGACAATAAACGGACTGAGAAATATGAATGCACCATATGTTGATATTTACTCATCACGATTTTCCATATTAAAAACTCTTTTCCAAGCTGTAGCCAGAAATAGTGGACAAAAGAATTCCTAACGGCTTTCATATTACGAGGCCTTCTTATGAGGTAAATTTATTGTTGTTAATTTAATTAATTTATTGTTTATTGATGTTTTGTTTCACTAAACCTGGCTACATACATCATACAAATAAAAATATTTAAAATGGGTTTATTAAATCGCTATAATATCGCTATAATCGCTATATCCTTAAATCGAATGAAACACCCATAATTACCATTTATATAACTTATTCACAGGCCTTCATTCATCCAATAATATTCAGCATATCTGATTCGACCTGACTACTAAGGAATAACCCTTTCGCCAGAATAATTTTTTTTTCAACATACAGGTGGGTTCATTCCAAGCACCACCCGGGAACATCATTCAAAAGGCCACAAAACTTGTTAATCAACTAAAATTTTTATTTTTTTCCACATATCGCAAATTGGATAATATTTTACGCACTAGATTCAAGCAATACGAGAGCGAGAGGGATTTTTTCCATAACAGAATGGTAAAAGATTTATAAATTGCACTTACGGATCGGTCTCGCTTTACAGTTAAAAAATTTCAAAAAAGCATGGATAACCAAATAAGCGATCTGCATCAATACTATCCTTTATCTATTTTTTAAACCATCTATTAAAACTCAGAAAATTCACAAAATTATTCCTTTAAAAATTATTACCTAAAGTAAAAAACCTTTCTACCAAAAAAAAATTCCGGTTAAAAACGAAATTATATCAACAATCCTAATTACATTACTTAAAGTTATTTAATAGGACATAGAACGCAAACGGATGCTGACTGGCTTCCAAGATCATTTATCATCTAACCTGACTCACTGTCCGATGAATCTGAGGAAGTAGAATCAGATGAGCTATCGTCACTCGAAGTTGAATCCGATGAGCTTCCAGCCCCGCCGCTATTTGCAGGTTTTGCTCGACCACCATTAACAGCTAAAACTATGGTCATAATACATATTCTGTATTTTAACACAATTAAATTAGTAATGAACGAAATTTTTAGAAAATATTTTTTTCTTGATCTACCGGAAAACTTTTTAAAGTAATGAAAATCTTAAAAATAAATAAAATACATACCGGTAGGAGAATCTGTACTGACAACACCACCAAGACCTTTGATTTTTTCTTCCAATTCGCGTTTCTTATTATCTACATCTTTTTGCGATTTCGGAGCTAAATATGTTACATTTAGCATTTTTCATCGCTCGTCGAATAAATATCCACTCCAATCGAAAAATTTAAATGAGAAAACAGCTCCTCACACTCCGTCAAAAGGTAAAACATTGCTACTGATAGAAAGCATACTATATGGCTTGCGCGGTTTCTTTTTTAAGCAAGCAGCTACGAATGCTTCCAATTCGCGAAGTGTAGTTGGCTTTAATGTTTCAAAATCAATTTCAATTTCTTCAGGATTGAAATCACGTAACTTTTCGCGAGCTTCGATTATGCTCACCACCTGAATGAAAAATGAAAAAGAAAACATTAAAAAAGAAAAAAATTTATAAATTTTAGAGACAATCTATGATAAAGTTCTTAAAAATCTTACACTACTCAATTTGTCACCAGGTAATTTATTAATATCGAGTGAAAGCTGTCGCTTTTCATCGTAACTCATTGGTTCTGCACTTCTTTCATCCTCTGAATCAAAATCATAATCTTGTTGTATCCTCCGCGATTGAGATGGATGTTGCATATCCATTTGCAGAGCGGCTGACTGCGGTACCTTCGGCTTATTCTTCGAGCCCGGCTGTCTTCCGCGTCTCCTCATTGGTGGCTGATCAAGAGATGTTGTTGAATTTTGAGCCACACCTGTCGTCGATAATGAAGCATTTGATTGTAAGTTTCCTCTTCCCATGGCTGGCACCGGAACAGTTGCATCCGCCAATCTTGAATGAGCTGTTTTTTGCTGTACTGCTGGTGAAGTAACATTTTGAGGAATATTTGGCTCATTTTTCATAAGAACTGACGCTTCAGATACCACAGAGTGATTTGCATGAGTAACAGGCATGGGCTGTGTTGGAGTATAATTACGCGCTGGTCGACCAGGTTTCTTCCTTAATGCACCTGATACTGATGAATGGGATATAGATCCAGGTGAAATCACAGCTGGCACATTCTGGGTTGAATTTATGAAATCTAGCCTCGTTGACACGAGCGCTTGCAAAGCATTTACGGTGGCAGCAGAAAGGACAGGTACTGGCATTTTACTTGCTCTTGCTTCTCTTCTCTTCAATCTGAAACGAAAAAATTTCTATAATAGATTTGGTCATGCAAAAAATTAGAAAGTAATAAAATAGTAAAACTATATCATCTAAAAACTGAACATACCTTAAGGCAAAAATTTCCTGAGTATGGCGTTGGAGTTCGGCAATTTTTTCTTGATATTTGGTTTGTTCAGTTTGCAAAGCCATTAATATGAGATCAATATGGTCATCATTATCCACAACACCTGAACAAACATCGGTCGATAATATTGGCAAAAGTTCCTCTTTAACGGAACCACATAAGATGCTTGCTGACAATGGTGTACCAAGTGAAGTAGGTGTTGCACTAGGCCCTGGTGTGCCTATATCTGCTTCCATTCGTACTGGCTCATCAGGCAATTTGCTCCACTTTTCTTCGAAAAACTTCTACAATATATATGAATAAATGAAAATTCTATATATCTATAAACCAAAATAAACTAAAAATTAATTAAATTTTACCAGAAGTGCCTGGCCATGTTGATGAATGATGTCAGATGGTGGATTATATTTGAAACAATTATCACAAACTAAAAGAAAATCCCTTCGCAATTCTTCGGGAGAAGCATATTGTTTAGCTTCCAGTTTCTTCCTAAATAAGAAATCGAATGATAAAATTTAATTCTTCAAATTCTTTAAAGATAATAGCATAGCAGTAATGAAATGCCCAGCTAATGTGCAAAAAAAAAAAAAAAAATGGAAAAGAATCATGGCAAAAGAAACGAAAAAATCTAAGGATGATAAAGTGCAAAAAATTTAATAAAACATTCACACTTCATACTGATTCACTAATATTCTTTGGCCATACACTTTATTATAGAAATTTGCAACCGCTCTTCATTGTAGATACACACATACTCATAAATGCAAAATTAATAAACAATTATTAACAAAAAAAACATTACAAATTCACGTAAAAAAGAACTAAAAATAAATTAAATTAACAACCAACAGTAAATTAGTAAAAAAAATTTGTGAAAACATTTGCCTGATAGTTCCCAAATCCATAGGCTCTTTGATAATATCATAATAATCATGCAGTTTTAAACCTTCTACATCAACTGGAGCCAGAAACGGCCAAGCGAACGCCTTACATTTCTAAAACAAAAAATGGTTATATATTGCAAAATCCCTTCAAGTAATACGAGATTTCATTTTCTGAAATAATTTTAACAATTCACTAAATTTTTTTAAATAAATCGACTTAACTTAGAAAAAAGTTCATTAAGGATACGTTGGCAATATTTCAGTTGTTCAGTTGGCTTTCCTTTAAAGCGTGGCTTAAGCTGATTCGGCTGATTATCCAATAAATAATTCGGCTTCTTTGGTGGCCGACCAGATTCCCTACGGGTGGGAATCTTCGCTGCTGCTTCTTCTCCAAACAAGGTAGTGGTATCCGCTTTCCTCTTTACGCCTTTTTGTACCTTGAAAAAATGATCCATTACTGCAAGAAAATGATACGGAATGAAGTAATAATCAGTAAATTTCGAATCCATCAATATAAAAATAATTTTATAGGATTCCAAATACTTACTTTTGATGGTAAAGGGTGAACTGCTGTAGGAAGAGACGATGTAGGTTGAACATCCTCAACCACAGCTGCAACTGGAAGCATTGGAGGATGGTCGGTGCCTAAATCCATATGAGATGAACTATCAGCCATACCTTGCTGAATTGAATTTGACGATTCACTGCTTGCTGAAAATTTTAATCTTCACGTGTGTACTGTAAAATAAAATTTCAAAAAGAAATAATTGTCCAGCCATTTATTATGTAGTGGAAATTTGAGCCATTTACCTCCTCTAACTTGCAAGACTGATCGATTTGAACTTTTCTTTGCTATTTTCCCACTTATTTTCTTCGGTGCTGGCATATCCATATCCACTTCCTGCAATAAAAAGATTTTTTTACTTAATTCACTCCCTTAATCCCTTTAAATTATTTCCCTGATGCAATCAAAAAATGGAATCCAAAAATTATTTGAAAACCACAAAGTATACGATTTACCTCCACTGGCATCCCCTTAATTTTTTCCCGATAAAGATTTTCGATATTCTTGCACATTAATGATACGTCATCTTCGTTCTGATTAAATTTGTAACAATTTGCAAATATGATTTCAAAATCCTGAAAGAGCGAAGATCCAAAGACACTGTTCAAAGAGTTGAGCTTACTTCAGGTGGCATTGCAGCAAGCTTATCCAGTATGATTTTCTCGAGCGTTTTTGCCATCGTATACACCCCATATTCGGGTGGATTGTACGTGTAGCAATTGTTGAACATTGTCATTATATCCTAAATAAAGAGAACCACGCTTAACCCATCGTTCGCATCATATTTTTTTAAACAGGTCAGTTAAACAGATTAAGATTTATGTTTATCTCAACTGGCTAAATTGTCTATTACTAAACAAATTTCGTTGAGAACTAATCTAATATAATTAATACATAAGGGCTGATGATAATTGAATTAGTACATTCGCATTCAAACTACTTCCACAGAACTCGAAAAAAAATAATAAGAAAATGCAAGAAATATTTTACCGCCCCATAAAATTAAAGAAATATTTACATTATCACCTGAAATTCTCATCTATATTTTCTTTTTTTATATCTCAACTTTCCTAGACGTGACGATTTTAAAATTCAATCAAAGAATGCTTAATCCTTTGCTTATCACCAGGACTAAAATTTTGAAAATCCATTTCTTCGCAAAAAAATTACCATTGCTGTGGATAGATACTAAAAAAATTGCAAAAAAAACTGCACCCACCACACCCATAAACGCACACATGTATACATATATACACACACATGTAAACGAGTGACACAACCATATATACATTAAAATTGATGAATGAATGAAAGAAAATTATGTAAATTAATTTAAATTAATAAAATTATATAAAACAAAGAAGGATATCAATTTTATCTTCAAATTGAGAACAAAAATACTGCTGTAAGAGAGAGTGTGCAAATTTATTGGCTAATTGGGAAAAAAAAAACGAAGATTGGAATGCCATTCATAATTTTCTTTTTGATAAAAATGGAATAATTCGTTTCATTTGTTTGTTTGTTTGCGTTGTTCTCTTTTTTAGGAATTTAATGACATTGTCCAATATTATACAAAAAAGTTCAAATATATTTAATCCGTCATTAGAATTTGAAAAATTTCGTTCTCATTCCAAAATTAAGTAAAAAAAATTAAAACTGTGAAAAAATGAAACAATACTGAGCTGCAATGAAAAATGACAAGCGTTTTTCGCAAAAGAGAAAAAATTTTTTCCATTTTTATGGTTCAGTTCTAACCTATGAAATCAAATTTCCTCCCAAATAAAGTTCCATTTTTCGTACTGTACAGTAAAACTCGCAATCGTAATATTTGATCATTAAAAAAAATCAACCAGATATTTTCGCTATAGTAAAAATGGACCAAAAATATAATCTATAAATTTATCACCTAATCCAACCTGATGAATTCCTCATTTATAACAACTACAGCGAACGACAGAAATGGAAAAAACACCGCTTAGCTTAAAAAAATAAAGTTGCGTTAAAAAGAAAATTAAAGCAAACCTCCATGCAATCTTTAGCCGAACAGTAATAACGATTTTTCAAACGATTTTCTATTGTATGCATATCCATTGGCCTCTTGATCACTTTATGATAATCCTTTAAATATCATATCATTATTATCAATATTAGCTGAGGTTAATTTTTTGATTTAAAAATGGATGAAAAAATTCCGATAATTAAGATGTTTTTGAAACTCTTGTCTTTGCTCCATTAGATTGTAAATAATAAAAAAGAATTTCACAAAATGGATAAATTCACTAAATGGAGTACAGAAATACTTTACATATATATATATAAGTAAATATATATATCTTTATATATATTTTTCCCTTGAAATTCCCATCTGTAATATTTCCTTCTTTCTTTGCTCAATTCCATTAGACCTGAGGAATTTGCAATTCAGATGAAAAATGCACAGCCCTTTCCTTATTATCAAGATTAAAATTTTGAAAATTCAGAAAAAAATATCTTTATATATTTTATATAAATGGGATGATTTGATTAAGCCAAAAAAGAAATTTTATTAGGAATTTTATTGTTATTAGTTCATTAGTTGAATTTATTACAAATTGAAGAAATAAATATTTGATCTTTCAATTAATCGAATTAAAATTATATTGAAGCCTATTTGCAATCAGATAGGGAATTCAGAACTTTATGTACTATTGAGAACTGGAACGAACTCCAAATGGCGTAAATTATGCACCATCTATTTTACTTCATCCACCTGTTTATATTCGTTTTTATTTTACATTTTCTTCAATTTTTTAGAGAAAAAAATCGAACGAAATTATACATAAGCTCATAATTTGGCCCATGAACAATCATTCGCTGAAATCTATTCTATATTTCAAAATTTCGAAGTTTCTGTAAAAAAACGAAGCATCTACGGAACAATTTCCAAATGAATTGATTTATAGAACAAGGACAGGATGCTTAGTAGGTTGTTGCTCAATTCGGAGTGCCAATACTAAGGTCCTATTCCCAGCAGGAATAAATCTGTCCAAAAATCCTGGTTATGCTAGCGATTCATCTGTATTTCTAATGCCAAGATACTCTCTGGTATATTTGTCCAACGTGACAAGCCAGAGGAGCGAGTTTAACCAGTAATGGTGAAAACTCTCAAAAATAAGAGATGAAAAGAGAAAAAAAGAGAAAAAAAAGTATGGAACATTTATGATTCATTAAATATTTTGAACTTTGTTAAAATGAATCATTACTAGTATTCAAGATTATCGATACAAAAATGTAACCTCGTTTATTCCCTTATTCCCTTACTTCAAACTCGACAATACATTGCATTAATGCCTCAGTGTGGTTCTAAATTAGGATATAAAACATACAGGCAGCTTAAGTTGTACGGCGTTAACAGGCTTGAGAAACGGCCATGCATGTTTATGACGCATTGCTGGCTTCAGTACTTCTTTTAACATAAAATCCAATTGATTGGTATGCCGCGTTGGTTTACCAACTGGAGGTATAACTGGTGGTTGCACAATTCCATTCACCGGTTCCTAATGAAAAAAAATAAATAAATAAAAAAAATATATCTAACAACAATAATAATAAAATAATAATGAAAAATAGTCGTGTGGAGAAGGGCAGAAACCTGCCGTGGAGTTGCCCATGGTTTTTGCGTACTTTCTTCCGCTTGTGATGATGTTTCCTCTCCATTCATTGTATCACCAGTGGTGTTGTTGACATTTTTATCGTCATTAACTTCCTCAGATGCGATGATGCCAACCATAGATGCAGTCGCTTCATTAGCAGTTGATGTTGCGATTGGTGCTGACATTGTCTGTAAATCAAATGCTTTAAGCAACTAATTTTCACTATCACTGCTACATTTTCATAAACTTTAATGCACATCATATGCTGTTTATCAGAATTCTTTTAAACCAGGAAACAAGCTATCCAGATCTCAATTCGAATAATAGATCCGCTACCAAAGTAGTTGACTGATAATTGTCACCAAGAATCGAGGCTTGCCTTCGAATCTGGCCAACGCTGCTTCGGGTAGCACAGCCGTCTAACGGATGAACTGCTAGGAAGCGCTGATGCTGAGGTTCTACTTTCCATAGTAGTAAAACTGTACAAAAATCTGAATATGAGGCAACTGCACTTCTGTCATTAGGGACTCTCTGGCATATTTGTCTAGTCCGTTAAGTGGAGTGAGTCTAGTCCAGCAGTGATAGGTGCTCTTATAAAAAAAATTTCAATAAATCGGGTTCAAATCAAATACGTCAAACCACGATATAATGTTAAATTATTTATAGAAAATTAGTAACACTGAATATTTTCTCAACAATAGTAAAAAAAATGGCTTGTAGGATGCAGCGAAAAAAATAATCGAACGACAGCATAATAATATTTTATAACACTCATTATTCATTCATTCATTATTTAAAAAAAACTGATTAATAAAACAATGTATGGACAAGTTAGTGGAACGAATTCACTCGAAAATAAATTTACAAAAAAAACCACCATAAAGATTCCAACAAAGGTACATTTAAAATATGATAAAGCACAAAAAAATAATGAAGAATTCATCAAAGATTGAAATTGTATAAGTGAATAATAATTCATAAATTAATTTAAATTCAACTGTTCATATGAAAAAAATTGACGTAATTAAAAATTTTTGAATTTATTTTATTGAAGGAACCCCGATTAAAAAGAAGGGTTTGGATCAATTTTTTTTATATAAAGTTTAAAAAATTTTTCATCTACCGAGGAAAAAAGATGCAATAATTAGAAATTTTTTCTTTGCAAAAAATTCAATAAAATTCGGAAAATTAGCAATTTTTAACGAAAATTTCAAAAAAATGGAAAAAAATGTTATAAATGAATAAACAAAATTGAAAATAAAACAGAAAATGTGGGGGAAAAAATCGAAACAGGGAACGGAAAAACCTTTTACACAAAAATGAAGAATAATATACAGCACACTGCTTCTTCAAGGTCAAACAATAGATTGGAGAGCACGAGAAATGAAGAGAAACGGAGAATTATATACGTCAAGAAACTATTGATTGATGGACGCGTGCGTGCGCACAAAGCGTGTACATGTGTGCGTACTGCGCGCGTTTGAAAAACTCCCCATAGGGGAAAAATTCCAAGTATTGTACATGGAAAACGACACCTACATAGTTTTTATCTGAAGAGATTGTACGAAGGACGCGGAGGGCGCATAGAAAAGCCGAAAAAAACACGTAAAAGAAGAATGCGTGGAATTTCGAGCAAACACTTATATAACGAAATAGAGCAATTGAAAAGCGAAGAATTCCGCAAAGCGACCAAAAAAGTATTGGAAAAAATGAAGGCACAAAAATCAATCCGCGTGATGTCAAACCACGCAAAAATAAGCAGAAAAAACGTGAAAAAAAGGACGAAAACATTACAGTATTGATTGAAAGCACTAACCTTCATCGACTGACGACACTCAAATGCAATAGCAAACCGCCCAAATCCATTGCAACGTGTATCTCTAATATGATTGGCTGTTGCTATGGCAACCAAATCGCGTCGACACTTACACAAATGCCGCAAGGTCTTGAAACGATTTCCTTCATGCATGTAGTTGGATATGCGCCAATCCAACTCTGGAAAATTTTCCCTGATATGGCTGATTTCAGACTATTCAGGCTGACTATTCACGAAGAAATAGACGTTTTATCAAATAAGAATCCGCTGGAGACTGCTTAGATTCTCCTTTCTCGTTAGGAGAGCGTTTTGTCGAAGTGTTTAGCGATTGTTGGTGCCAGGTTTGGTGCATTTACGCAACTCTGGTGCATTTTTGGGCCAAACTGCAATGAAGGAATATATTTTTGGTGTATGCTTCATTTGCGTCCTTTTTTTAAGAGCGCTCACCGTTACTTATTAGAATGGCTCTGCTGGCTTATCGAATAAGTTCTCTGACGGTAGAAATACGGGTGAGTCGCCAGCATCACCCGGGTTTCTCAACAGGTTTACTCGTGCGCGGAGTAAAACCTCAGCATCGGCGTTCTCAATGTGCAATCACCCACTGAGCCATTCTACTCGCTTATTTATTTGCATTTAGTTTAGTTTATGTTCATGTTAAGTGGGAAATTTGCTGTAATTTACTAAATCTTTGTAGTTTTTTATATATATTTGCCAATATTATCAATTATTTCAAATAATGAATGCTGTAACATCTCAGGTTTTTGATATTAACTTAAGTTTTAATTTTAATTCTAATTTTTTATCTTTAAAATACATAGGAAGGAAGGAGGTAGAATTGGTGGAATGCATGGCTTCGATCAGCTTTCAGTAGTTGGTTCCTTCCCGTTCTGTTAATATTGGTAATGTGTCATGTAAACTTGAATCCGGGCACTAGTAGGTACTGGGAACACCATCTTCAATTGTATTTTTAAGAGATTCTGAGAGTTTTTTTCAAGAATATTTACCATTTTCGGCTATGCTTATTCCGATAACTTGCGGGACCAGAAAAGTTTGCCAAGATGTCAGAAGAAGGGATGGGTCACTAGTATTATCTGAATTTTTGAAATTTTTTCTACCTGGATTGTGACTATAGCATCGACTTTTCGAAGTGAGAACAATAAACTGCCCGGCATAAATGTAACGAGTCATACTTATTGTTGTATCTTGAATTTATTTTATTTATATTATTTTGTTTGTCATATGCGAATTTTTCCCATTTATGTCATTTTATCGAAACCTTCCTTTCCAGCTTTTTAGGTTGATTTAGTGTTTCATTACGTATATTCTATTTGGAATCATTTGCGTAATGGTAGATAGTTTGGCTAAAAAAATATATTATACTTCACACTGTACTAACTTGCAGCTTTCGAAGCAAGTATATATGGGAAGGATCTGCAGATAATTCAGATTGAGAAGTTCAATTTGTTTCGCACTCGAGGCATAAAATTAGTGCAAGGTTTAAATGTTTGATAACTAAGTGGTTAGGGTTTATTATATGTTGTTTAATTAGTCTGAAATTTGTGTAATAGGCTTCTGTACTAAAATGAAAAATAGCATTCCCACAATTTTTTGACTAGCTCAACCCGGAAGACCCGAATTATCGAAGCATCTCGAAATTATCTAAATATAAACAGTTCTGGAAAAAACCGGAGTACCAACTTTTTTGCTAAATTCTAAGTTCGGAAGTTTATGTCATGGTTATAGCTATCAACCTCATGAAAATCGAAACAAAGCCAGAGTATAAATCGAGTATATAGAGATGACTGCTTGAATTGGGCATGTTTGAAAACCATTTTTCTTCGCAAAATTTACATTTTCCGAAATTAGTGGAAGAATCCCAAATAAAGGTAAGATAGATGCCTGATGGGATTGGCGAAAATCGTCCCTCACAATGTAGATTTTCTGAAGAGTCAAACCGAACATGATTGAATCCCTTCTCCAGCCTTATTTCAGCTCACAGCCGGCAAAACAATTTGGCATTTGGTATTATTTGGCATCTATCAAAATTGAAGTGAACATCGGCGATTTAGGGAAAATCTATTCAGTTTTTTTTTAGTATTAAAAATATTTTTTAGAGCTTCAATCATGGTTATAGTTGATTCGCATTTTTTGTAGTACTTTCATTAATAGTAATTTCATTTTTTATTTTTACTTTTTTTTCAGCGAAATGGCAACAACAACAATTGATGGTATATCAATACATGAAGTTTTAAAAATGGAACGGATTGGTGCACATTCACATATTCGTGGTTTGGGTCTCTCATCGAATTTGGAGCCAAGCCGAATTGCAGATGGTTTAGTTGGTCAACTTGAGGCTCGTAAAGCTGCTGGTCTCATTGTTAAAATGATTCAGGTGATTCTTTTATTTTTTATCTTTACAAGGGAAGAAAGCAAAATTTATTCAAAAATGCAAATATTTCTCGTTACATAATATTCACTATATCTAGTTTGATCATTCGTCAGAATGAACGTAACTGAACTCTTTTGAAAATAAAACATTACATCGTCTAATAAAAATTGAATGAAGATTAAGTAAAAAAAGGAATCTCATCCTTAGTGATGCGATTCAGATGCTTCTATGATTCTCTGGTTATTTTCCTGTTCGTCAGAATCATTTTAAATGGAGAATATAAAGATAAAAATCCCGTTCGTCAAATACTTTTCATTATTAAAAATTAAATTAAAAACGAATAAAACTGAAAAATCATCTCTTGGTGAAAAAAATTAGACACCTAATGATATAAAAATATTTGGATGAACTCATTAATCAAATTAATCGTTTTGTTAAATGTGGTAAAAAAAAAAATCGTACCAGCAGTACCGATATTATAGTAATAATATTTGCTTGTTATTTGCGATGAAACTATCTGAAAAATCTACATGGGCGAAAATTGCATATATTTTTTATAATAATTTTTTTCAGATATATATTTAAAAGCTTTGAACATTCTTAGTTTTTGAAAATCGTATATAATTAAAAAGGCATTATGTAAATCGGAAGTTTTTTTCAGTAAAATCAAAGATATTACAGATTAGTAAATTGGTTTTATCTTCGGTTGCTGCGAGTTCGTTTGCTTAGGGGATTTTGAGTTAATTTATAAAATTTTACGTGTAATCTGTATTACATCTATTTAGCTATCACCATCAGTCAATGCAGTGAATTCCTGATTTGCAAATATAAGCAGAATTAGATATAATAGTATTGTTCCGTCAAAGGACCAATAACCTTAAAGAATAAAAATTTCTAAATTTCATTATAAATTAAATTTCTTAAGTTAAATTTCTTATAAATTTCTTTTTAAATTCGGTAATGTTCGAATGATATTATTAAAAAATGATTAAAAAATAATAGAAACATTTCAAGGAAATGAATTGAATGAAGTTAATGTCAATAAATTGCACTACCAACCCCATTAAGTTGATGCTTTAGGCGTAAGAGCAAATGTTTAGAAATTCAGAGAAGTCTCATCTTTGTTCCTTTTGACACATCTTATTGATATTGGTAATAAAATTTTTAGTGAAAATTTTTAATGAAATTTTTTTTTCGTAATATTTAAGAAAGGCGAAATTGAGCAAGTAGATAGTGGCTCAGATTTTCATTTGCAGAAAGAAGCATTGCCCATGCAAAAATAAGCCTGTCATTGAAAAGTTTGTGTGGTGTTGGCAACTCATCTTTATAGCCAAATGATAACGAATATTTCGAACCATGCTAACAGTTAATGAAATAAGCATAATCAAAATGCTGATCAGTATCAATTTAAGTTGTCTAATCCGCGATGTCATTCACATTATTTTATTGTTTCATTGTTAATTTTTTTTAATCTTAGTGCAAATTGAGGATGGTAAAATATCTGGTCGAGCCGTTTTAATAACTGGGGAACCGGGCACAGGAAAGACTGCGATTGCTATGGGGATTTCGAAAGCATTAGGTGAAGATGCTCCTTTCGTTACTATATCCGCCTCGGAAGTTTTTTCAATGGATATGAGTAAGACAGAAGCTTTAATGCAAGCATTTCGCAAAGCAGTTGGCGTACGTATAAAGGAAGAAACGGAGGTTAATTTATTTTTTTAGTAAGAATAAAATTATTAATTTCTTTTAAACAAATGTTGCTAATCTTAATAAAATTCGGGATATCAAGATATCGGCAAATCTTTTCTTTCGTTTTTTAAATTTTAAAAATTATTTAAAATTTTTGTTTCAGTCAAAGTATCGTATAATTTATTATAGGTGTTGGAAGGTGAAGTAGTTTCGATTGAGATTGATAGGCCAGCAACTGGAGGTGGTGCAAAAATCGGTCGGTTGACTATGAAAACTACTGATATGGAAACAATTTACGATTTAGGTAACAAAATGATCGAAAGTTGTATCAAACAGAAAGTGAGTGCTGGTGATGTCGTACAGATCGATAAAGCATCAGGTATTTGTTCATTACATTTTTTATACATATGTATTTTTATATATTTTTGCTCAATTTTTTGTTCATATTCAATATTCATAAATTCAAAAATTCATAATTTAAACTGAATACCATGAAAAATTTTTCGGCATGGTTCAGCGCAATTACCACAATGCCGATAAGTGACGAATCTTTTTTTATTATCACAAACCTTTCTTATTTCCTGCATTGCTGTTAAAATGAAGTATTTAGTTAATGAATCATTTGATAATTATACTACAGGTGATGCAGCCACTTGTATATCATTTCTACTAACACGTTTACCAAAGAAAAGGGACCAAGCCCGTGCTCTTTCCCTTCAGTCGAAATAGCATATGACTTAATCATTTTTCGATCTTAGTGGAAATATTAAATATTTTAAGGGAGGATAACCAAGATAGGGCGAGCATTTTCACGATCCCAAGATTATGATGCTATGGGACCACAAATAAGATTCGTTCGTTGCCCAGATGGTGAAATACAAAAACGAAAAGAAACTGTACATACGGTAACCTTTTTTTTTATTTTAATTTTTTATAATTTACGAAAGAAGAAATATAAATAGTCTCTTCAGGTAGCTCTACACGAAATCGATGTAATTAATTCTCGCACTCAAGGATTTCTTGCACTTTTCTCGGGCGATATAGGTGAAATAAAAAATGAAGTTAGAGAACAAATTAACAAAAAGGTCATTTTTTTTAATTGTTCATTTTAATTTTTATTTACTCGAGATTTGAATTTATTGTTTCAGGTAGTTGAATGGCGTGAAGAAAATAAAGCTGAAGTTGTGCCAGGCGTATTGTTCATTGATGAGGTTCATATGCTCGATTTGGAATGTTTCTCATTTCTAAATCGTGCCATAGAAGCCGATTTATCACCTATTTTAGTTATGGCAACAAATCGAGGCCATGAGTATATTCGAGGAACTCAGTTGGTCTCTCCTCATGGAATCCCACTTGATTTGTTGGACAGGTTGTTTTATTGAAAACTTAGCAAATACAGGAATTGTGCGGTTAATAAATTCCTCTTAAATCAGAAAATGCGAACGTAACGCTATGAAACAATAGATGGCAAATTTTATTTGGTCTCGGTCTTTAAACTCGAACGCATTCAAAAAAACGAAAAATTTTAAAATGTTAAATTTGATTCAGGTCGTTAATAGTGCGAACACATCCTTATTCAGAAAAGGATTTGGAAGATATATTACGTATTAGATCGTGCGAGGAATCGGTCGAAATTGAAGCCGATGCGCTTTCAATTCTAACGATGCTTGCAATGAAAACGTCTTTACGCTATGCAATGCAATTGATTTCTACTGGTAATATTTTACGAGAACGAAGACGTGGTGATAAGGTAATTTTTACCTCGAATAAACTATCTAAAAATAATTTTTTTTATTGTATTCAACTTGATTTACCCATTTAATCATTTCAGGTGACGCCCGATGATCTCAAAAAAGTTTATACTCTATTTATTGATCAGAAGAGAAGTGAAAAATTCCTCAAAGACTTCCAAAATTATTTTATAAATGATTAATTTTTCATTTTTATTCGCTCTTGTTATTATCGAAAGATAAATCTCAAAAAAAGCCTTATATAGGCTTTAATATCTTCTTTCCGCTGGGGTCAAATGTGGAGATCTACGTTAAAAATGATGCTGAGTGGATGCCGTGCATCGATTCCTGACAATCCTAAGTACGAATGACAATCCACCATACCTTCCTGGAAAATTGTTAAAGTGTAAATGTTATCAGATCATATTACTTAGGAACCCCACTTTATTTTTCAGTAGAGGTAAAATATTTTTAAGCGCATTTTAATAATCGTAAACTTTTCTACCTGTGAAAGGCATTAATTATCTTATTTTTCATTCATTTTACATTTACGTTTTACCATTTTCTCTTCATAGGAATTATTGACCACCCCGCTTTGCTTTACTGGTGAGTGCGATCCTTCCACTATAAGATAAAGGTATAAATGGTTCCCTAGCACCACCCCGACTTCTAGTCCTAAAAGATAACATTTGACCCTATGATGCCTTGACCTTATTCGAAGCAATATACCACTCGATAAATCTGTGTCCACAATTTTATTTCTGCTTCAAAGCAAAAACAGCGAAATCCCAAAATTTTGCTAGCACTACAATATAATTATATATGATTAGCAGGCACAACGGAATCACTCGATGAGTAGTATGACGACATTGGAATTTACCACCAAGAAATCAAGCTAAAATTTTTGTTTGACAATGATTTACTTTTTATTAAACATAATTTTAGATGATATATAGATAATATTAAATAAGATAAATTGCAATTTTTCTGTACATTACGGCATCAAAAAATGAGAAGGGTTTTTTTCTACAATTTCGATACGAAACCTTTTCAAACATTTTTATAAGCTTAGATTTTGATTTTTTCATCTCGCGCCGATTATGTCACTAAGCCTAGTTACTTAACAAAAAAGCGATAAATTACCCGCAAAATTAATTAACTGAGCAATTAACTTCATCCGTAATCGAGCGGAAGTGATGACCGCTAATGAGGTCAAGAGATCGTAAAGATGTCCAGCAAACCATATATACTATCCAAGGAATGAAGTCTGCAAGAGAACTTCTGAATATCGTGCCATGCCAAGTCTTCTATGTTTACCATGTTTTCAAATTCCCTGAATATTATGAGGTGTATTTGCGAAATTCCTTGGATATTAAGAAGTGCATTTGCGAAATTCCTTGGACATTATGAGGTGCATCTCCAAAACTTCTCTATTTACATCGACATTAGGAGTCGGAAAATCTGTTTAAATATTCTGACAAGCTATCAACAATTGCTTTCCGTTTAAATCGCCTTGCTTCACGAATTGCATGCCTTAAGCAAAGGCTCTGATCGTCAAAACAAAGCTCATTTAGCTCTTCCTTTTGCAATGAAATGATTTTTTCGCCTGAAAATTGGTTATTATTGGTTTCAAATATTCATCATCGCCAGTAAAATTGTTTTCACTGTTTATCAAATAAAATCATGCGATCAATATAGCATATATATCAAATATACTTGATAAGAGTTTCCGTGCCAATAATCCCATTTTTAACATTTTTTTCCTCAGCAACATCTCCTGCAAGGGTTGAATCTCTTCGCTAATTCGAATTCGTTTTGCAGATGTACTGGGAACTGTTTTACTAACTTCTTCTACTGTTGGAAATTTATTCGAATAACCATTTATTGAAGGGACCTGACAAGTAGAAGGTTCACAAAAACCATTATTTGGTTCTGAAAATCTTGCGATGAATGATGCCATTTTGATGTAAAATAATGATAATATGAATCACGCCCATCACATAACCATTAATATTAATCAAAAAACTAACGGGAAATATCTGCGTGGAGATCATCCTTTAATGACGAGACTGATGCTATATCAGAATCATAGGAAGCGATTGACGAACTGGAACACATCGACAGTGCTTTTCGTTTTCTAAAAGCATGATATTCTAAAAGGAGAAACTGAGCTCTAGAAATACGAATATATGCAGAATTTTTTTGATTTTTCAAAAAATTGCGTAAATATTCAAAAAGGAAATATAAATTATGAAAAACATTAACCTTCTCCACTGCTTTAATGAATCATGTGCTAATGGCCCTGGCTTTTTACGCGGAGGACGACTTGTTTCAGAATTGATAACGCTAGCACTAGTGGTTGCAGCTAATCTTTTCTTTAAACTATCGGCTTTACCAGCTCCACCAAGCAAACTTCCTTCTCCAACTTCATCAACTGCCATATTTTTCTGAATACCTTATAATCCTATACCATAAAAGAATATTTTTGAGCACAGTTTAAATAAGAAAAAGAGGAGAATCCAAAAATTTTTTCTTAAACCAAAACTTGGATAACCAACCTTATCGATTTTGAAAGGATTACCAAATGCGTGAACTCTGATAGCTTGCGGCTCGACTTCCCTTAAAGCTCCTCTACCAACAGCTTCAAGACTTTTAACATATTCCTGGTAATTGCCCATTTGACCGACAGGTAGACTGTGTAGATCTTCTGCAAAATTTTGCATTCAGGCCCTCTAATTCAAATTTGAAATTTGAAAAAAAAGATACCAGCATGCTGTAATTTGAGATTCATCCCCGGTCGACCCCCTTCGAAAACAGGAATTGCCCCAGAAGCGAGTTGTTGCAGTAGATTCAATCGCATCTTAGCCAAACATTCGACAAGTCTTTTCCGCTTGATTTCAAATGGATTTCGAAATTGCGCGGATGGAGCGATCAGTATCTTTGGTTCGCTAACACTGATCTGAAATTATAGTCTCTTTTAAGAATGCACAAAAAATGTCTATAATGCTCTCACAAAGATTACCTGCATTCCCTGAAAATTCTCATTCGAAATAAGCCGAGGTATACGTCTGTGATTAAATATCGTCTGAGAACGTATAGTTCTCTTTACCAAAGGAGTCTGAAACTAAGGTACGCATAAATCTTCTACTAAAATTTGCCATGGGAAATTCTTGCGTAATCGAAAATTTAAACAAACTTGGGTATGTAAGACTGGCGGTTTTTGCAGTGCTGTCGCCAAAGCAGAGCAATGTGAATCGAATTCTTCACGGGCAACATGCTTAATTTTTGTTAAGTATGACAATATATTATAGGAATATTGTGGAATCTGATCTGGCTCCAAAAGCGGACTCGTTATATTCAAACGAACAAAAGCCTTTTTCAATGGCTGAAAAGAAGTTGGTAAAGAACTATTCTCTTAATTAATTAATTCATTTAAAACTAACCTGCTAAGGAGAAAAACATATAGAATAGGTGACTAACCTGTATATAATAATTAGGCACATTCATGAGATATTTTTCCAACTTCAGTCTCCACAACTGACTAAGTTTTACTTTAGAATCCTGTTTTACTTCATCAATTAATGATAATAAGACTGGATAATTGTATGGCATTATAAATAAATTAACACACTGCAAATTGGTGGCTGCCTTGAGATATCCAAAAGGGGCAGGAAAAGTGCCACCATTACTTGAATTCAGAACATAAACCTGAAAAAAAGACCGAATAAAAATCGAAAGGAAAAGAACGATGAAAAGTGACTTTTCAAAGTGACTTTTCAAAAGAAGCTTACTTGCCAACAAACACTTGACTGTTTTCGATCAAGAATAAATTGTGTAAGAGCGGACGGTTCTAATTCATATTTGTCAAAAGGGAAATCCTGGCACACTAACGGCTCACAAGGTTCACATCGAAATGCTATTACTGGATGGGCTTTTCTTGACGGCAGTGAAACCCTTCAAAATACTGTTTTATCGAAATCTAAATTTTTTAACAACTCATTAATTAAATAAATATTGAATATAAAATATAGACACATATTTTTGTCCGGCCAGAATGATTCAGGAATCGGCCAGAATCCAGGATATGGTCTTGATGCTCTAGAATAAATTGTTGTTAGTATATTCCTCCAATCTTCATCTGCTACTGGTTTCAAACCATCTATTTCGCCATTACGTTTCGCTTCAGAGTTTTCAATCATTCCTATAGAAAATATTCATTCATTTCAAGGATTTTCAGAATTAAGTAGAAAAGCACAAAATATGGATAAATGGAGGTAACAATGGAGGTAATAAGGTGAATGTAGATCATCAAGAAAATTAGAGCCTTGAATGCTGCTTCTAAAAGGAATATGGCATTATAAAATCCGAGTTGTGCTAGCAACCCATATGAAATACCACTAAATAATTTTCTGGCAAAAATTTCTAACTAATAGCCAATGCCTAACCTGATATGATGGGAATCATATACTTACTTATTTACTTTACATTAAATATTACGCAAGAAAACAGAAGGAATATACCATTAACAGAATGAGGATCAGGTCCATGCTTCTCAAAAAAAACTAGAACGCCTTGTTGTTGAATTTTCTGAACAATTGATTCTACACACATCGCCAGCATTTTATGCGATGTTATGCTGTATGATCGACCTAAAATAGATAGGAATCCTAAAATTTTAGATTACAGGCCAACATACCAAAAATTAACCCTTCTAATCAATCTTTATCATATCTACATTTATTTTTTGTTTTCAAAAAATTGGTTAAAGTAAGATGGGATGCTTCACTAACCACCAGTAGCAAGACACATCGCATCAATTGGGCTATTATCCGGTGGCAGAGTCATACCGGATATGAATCGAGCTTTCGGTGTATGACCAGACAACCGCAAAACCAATGCAAATAACCGCTGATCCCAACGAAAAGGTTCTTCCGTTAATTCATTTCCAATGGCAACTGGTTTAGCGACTTTAATCTACAAAAATTATGTGCAAATATTTTTAATCGATTTCAGAAAAGAAATTTACACAATAAAAATCCACAATAAAAATCAGACAGAATATCTTTCACTGATGTTCCATTTAACTTAAAAACAACTGTTTTAGTTAAATATGGCTTTTTAAAGTTAAAATTATCTCTTAAACTAGAACTTTTCAAAAATGGAAACGTTTCATTTCATACCTTCCAGCTAAACTGAAAAAATCTCTTAAAAATAGTTACTTCGCCAAGTATGCCTCCACTTGGGCATGTCAATGAATTACCGTCAGTTATACTTATAATCACAACTGGCTCCATATAAAATGGATATCGACCACAGCCATAGTTATCGATACCAGTTTGCAATCGATTCACATTGACAAATCTAAATTTAAAAAAATTAAATAAAAACTATATTCCGACAGCTGCCACTAAAGCGCTAAATACTGTTGACATTATGAATGGAAATAAAATGAAATACTGGACACGAAAATTACTTTCATGCTCCAAAATATTTTATAAACTTCAAATAATAACACCTGAAAGCCGATCCTAAAGCCGCGCCGAATGTTGTTAATCCATGCGGTTTAAGCGATTTTAGTTGTTCTTGAAAAATACTTTGACTTTCACGCCACCCACACTAAAATTTAAAATTCTATACTGAATAACTGAAAGTTAATAGAAAGTTAAAGTTAATAAAAACTGAAATAGCTACTAACAAATAGACTTTTCCTATTTCTAATAATTTTACTTCTAATAGTTTTCTAATAGCAATAATATAATTTTCTAATAGTTTTCTGAATCACTCTATTCTGTGGACTTCGCCGCCAGTTTACGGATCTTCTCTTAAAGGCGCCTATAATTTTCTCGGGACAATCTTTCGGTTAAAGATAAATATACATTGGTACAATAAAAAAATAATACAACCCAGAAATATTTCCACTATTTGAAAAATTATATTAAAAGGTTAAAGATATCTTTTACAATATAGCTAACTTTCTCGTATTTATCTAAATTTCATTTGGGATTATATATGGGAAAATATAGAACTTTTTCCTCGCCCAAGTTCACAGGTCACAGATAAAGAAATATTTAACATGCTCTCTATTTCAGTTAAATTTACTGACTACTATGGTGAAGCGTTTAGTCAAAAAAACTAGGAGAGTAAAATCATATCGACGTAACCACGCAGGTTTCAAATATCCCATTAAAGACCTCAAATGTTGAATAAATATCCAAAAATTATATCATACCGTCTTCTTCTATACGAAAAAAATTTTTTGATACTACCAAGAAATTAGTCATAACTTTTAAATTTTTAAATAAAAAATTTCATGTCGCCATTATGCTCGATTTAAAGATATGAGGTCTCTTACAACCAACAAAATAAAATTTTAAAAAAAATGAAAAATCAGGAATCACTGATTCTTCGAAATAATAAAAAACTATAATCGTCAATCCCGAATTAATCAAATCCCACCGAATACTTTTTTGCTCAAAGGTTGACACTGTGAAAGTTCATTATTTCATTAACTTATAATAAAGAACTGTGAACGAGATGGTCCAATGGGTTGTTGCTCCCATCTTCGAAAACGAGGACGATCCCGGTATCCCCACCTAACTTCAGGTGACCCCATGGTAGAAATGCCGGACTGAGAAGTAAGCATGGTGAGTGCTCCTCAAAAAATTAGTATCGTTATTTAACTTGAAAATAAACTAATACATTTATTTAATTCACCTCAGCGACGCTATTTTCCTCTTTTTATTATTTAAAAGTATATGTATTAAAAGTGTTCCATTGTGTGAAACTTGAACTTGATATCAATATATCTCTTACATGTCAATTAAAAGCTTCTCTGGAAAGGTTAAATCTTGGTCAAGCACTACAATAAATATTCAAAATATGGGATCATAGAGTAAACTCATATTATGATAAACGACTTTAGACACCATCTATAATCTATTATTTATCATTATTGCCTACTAATAGTTCAAATTTTTTTTTTGTACATCAAATATGAGTAAAATTATCTACCGTTATTTTATTTAAATTATCTACTGTACAATTCAACCGCCCTGAAAAGCTTCCATAAGATATGACTCTTGAGCCTAAAAAAAGCAGTTGAAGAGCCTTTAGGCAGAATTTCGAACCAAGTTGGTTAGAAGCAGTTGGCCATACTAGCCAAACTAGAAATGAAAAATGACTCAAAACCCGAAAAAAATAATACTAGCATCACCAAGCATACAATATGAAATTGTTGTTGTTTGAAATTGTTGATTGATGTCTATTTTGTATTTTATTCGATACTTGGTTGCAGAAATCGTCAATTATAACCAATAAGCACACGTAGACTCAACATTTAAAGGCACAAAAAAGGCACGTCTATATGATATGGCTTCTATGAAATTTGTTTGATTTTAGACGAACCTTAACATTAGCTGGGAATTCTTCAAACGACATCAGCATATATCTATCACCTCTCGCATTTGCATCACGAACTCGTTGCTAAAAAAAGTAAATGAATTCTCCATCGAAGTCAAAGGACAGAAATTTCTCTCCAATTTCATTAAAAGGCAGCTATATTTAAACGATTATTTCCTATACTGACTGAATAAATTCGGCCTTTATCCAAGAATCCGAAATATCCGAGAAAATAAAGGTCAAATAAATAACCCAACCCAACCTTAAGAAAAAAAAGAAAAAAACCCAACCTTAAGAAAAAGTTCGACAATCGATCTTGCAATATCTAACATTGTTGTACCCAAATAAGTTTTTTGTGCCATAGAAGCACTTGAATCAATTAGAAATAGTATTATTGTCATAATAATAAGAATAATGATAATAATAACAATAACAATACACCTTGGCTCAGCTAAACTGTTGCCACGGGACAACAAGATAAATTTATCTCTTTCTTACGCCTTTTTTTTTAAACCAATTATAGCGAAGCAGTAATAACATTAATTTAACTTCTCATCTAATTACAATTCGGAACGTCAAACGCACCTTGACCACAACTCGACCTATGACCCTACACACTCAGCTCCAGACCCACATCTCCGACAACTACCAAACCACTGCTATACGCATCAATCTACTGATTCTGCTTTCCTCCGAATTTCCTATTTATACCGAAGGCGTGGCCTTTTTATTTCTCTGATTCCCCGAATTTTACACGTTATTTTCTTTTCATCGCGATAATTTCAACAATGACAGCACTAAAGTTTGGCATAATGCCATACTATTATCGGTTTGGATGAAACTTCTGTGCTGCTGAATTTGGATCTTAAATCGTAAAGCTTATTCGTCATAGCGTTAAGATAAAAGCCCATATCAAATATCAAATATGTTTTCGAATCCCCTGAAAACCCCGCCGAGGTCCGTCTTAGTTCACCAAGTCACCATCGTCCTCCTTAGACAACTCCAATTAATTCATATTACTCTCCTTCAAAACCCCCAAATACCGTCGTTTTACCTATCGCAAATTTGTGTTTGTAATCGCGGCAAAAAATATGGCAAAAGTTGACTAAAACTGCGTTCAAAACTGATATTATAAAAGAGCTTAAGAGGGCGTTGTTAATAGCCCATGGTCCATGGTAATACTGACGATGGGGTATCAAGCACAAGAAAAAAGGTTGCTGCAGGGCTGATACCAGCGAAATAAGTGGTGGGCTGCAATTTCGCTTTTCTGGGTTGCGGCCGCTCTTTTTCCTTCTATTTAGATGCTGCTTGTTAGAAATTTCGTATTTTTTTGAAATAAAAGTTTTTTGCCATGAATTGTTTCGAAATTTATTTAAAAATTATGCAGATTTGTTGGGTCAAACGATTAAAAATTCCTTAAATATTATTAAATACAAATAAAAGCTTTTTTCAACTTTTCTTGCAAATATTTTCAAATATTTTTCTTAAAGAAATTTTGAAAAAAGAAATTCGGAAAATTTGGAGAAATCGGAGTTGAAAAAGTATTATTTCAATAACATAAACGAATGTTTTCATTTTCTTTGAGAACTTAACTTTCCCTTCTATTTCTCACTCGCTTACCGTTTCTGATTTAATCGTTGCTTGCCAGGGAGTCGCTTGCGCGATAAAGGTACCAGATAAGTCGCCAGTATCACCCGGGGACTGGGAACCCCGCGTGGGCATTCCGAAAGCAAAGATCAGCTAACCGATTCTCATTTTTTTCTTCTAGCAACCCGCGCCATTTACTAATTTGTGTGGCTTTGCTGTTAGACTCCCATTCGGCACTATTTTCGAAATTAACAGAAGCCAGTCCATCGCCTATGTCCATGCATCGTTAGGCTACTTCCGCTTTCTTTGTTAAATCGATTAAAAATTCATTTTGCGATTTATGGAAATTTATTAAGATATTTTAACTAAGGCTAAACGTTGTCTTTTAATATTCGTGTTTTATCGGTAATTTTTTTACAAATATGAATTTTAAGGAAAAAAGGAAGCATGAAAGAAATTATTTTGTTTATGAATTTATTTACCTTTTATTTAATATTCTTTAACAAGAGATTTTGGTGAAAAAATTTAAAAAATTCAATGTCAAGAAAAATTTATGGTGATATGGAAGATGAAGAAGAATATATGAAGCCAATGTTGCCAACAGTTCCTGAGAAATGTGGACCGCCGGTTATTAGTTTGGGGCATCTTATCGAATTCGCTGTTCAACAGATCTTTCATGAACTCACCGTTCTTTCTGAATTGTAATTTGTTTTCGTTTCGTTCGATTCATTTATTTTTGATTACTCTATTCGGTATAGAAGCATGCTGAGTTTCAATCTTTTAATCGTTTGATTGGCGTATATTCTTTTACTGAAAGTGCTGGTGAACCACCTGTGAATTTAATCTTTAGCTGAATTTCTCTTTTCTTTCTTCCTAGTGGAATGACCAACCCTCAGCAAATTGTATGAATTCAACCGTCTTATATTGTTCTTATTGTTTATCGATTTCATAATGTTATGCACCATTTCTGGCTTTGTTGTATTGGCCATAAGAAAGTTATGAAAGTTCTCTGCCATGATATTGAAGTTTTTTTAAAATGTCATTTATGCCATTCGGTATTAAAGTGGATTCAAGGTATTTAAAATTGAGCACTTCCTCAGGAATGAGTTTATGAAAAGAGGCATTTTAATCATTTTCTTGCATATGAGACGGAAAGACAGTCGTTTTATTTACATCGACCCTGAATCCGATTCTTGTTACACTTTTGTCGACACTTTTTTTATTTGCATTTGCATTTCATTATAATTGTCAGGAAAAAAAGACTGTCACCAGCGTATTCAAGATCTATAATACGATGCTCTGGACTGATTTGTATACCTTTTGAGTTCTAATAATTGATGTCCATGTCCAATCTATCGTATAGTTGAATAGTTGTATGGGAAAGAATGCAGCTTTGACGGACACCAGTTTTTATTTCAAAGCAGTGTCATTTCGCCATATACATAGGCCCATGTCAAAGTGTGCTGATAAAATACCTTTATGAGCCGAATGATCTTCTCTGGGACACCGTCACATTCCATTTTTTTCCAGAGCGCTGCTCTGTCAGTTGAATCGAAGACAGCCACAGAGTCGAGTCGAAGTTAGAGTCACATAACTGTGGTTTGTAGATATTTGAAGCGATGTCCTAACACTCTTCTTAATGTGAATATCTTGTCTGCCGCGCCTCCTGAGCCCAATGATTAGGACGCATCCTGCTTCCCATACTGCCATAATTCTATTGCTTTACTTTAGTTTTCTGGTATTATTCCCAGTATCTCCCGGTTATGACCATGTTTTGGTAGAGACTTTGTTAGCAGTTTATTGAAATTTTTGCATAGAACTTATCTTTTCACGATCATCTGTGGACGAAGTTGGAGCATAGATATTGATGTCCGAGATATTGCAGAACTTACCTTTAAAACGTCCATAGACCATATGGTCTCTTACCGGTTTCCTCTCAAAGCAGATTGGTCCTTTCCAGATATTCAAAAAAGATATTGTTTAAAACAGTACAGTATATTGTATAATATTGTAGGTTGCCGAAAAAATTGGATTCAGATCGAAAAATCAGTATCGTGCAATTTGCTCATTCAACTCGTACTCTGTTTATTAAACTTTTAGCTGTTGTAAAATGGGTGAAATCGTCGAAGAAGTTTGAATCATGTGCTGTTAGTTTCTTTAATTTTTTTAAAAAAATAAATTTTTTCATAGTTTTTTTTTGTTAATGTTGATTTATTTATTTTATTTTGCTAAATATTTTGAATAAATTTAATTAAATTAATGCAATGATTTTTCAGTCAATTTGCTACTTTTTGGATCAGCAGTCGCAATATTTTATAGATACTGCAGATCGTCTTGTTCAATTAGCTCGTGAAGATTTGATACACGCTAGGTTAGTTGTTTTGAAATCTTTTCTTTGAAAAAATTGATCTTAATGAAGAGTTCATGATTTATTAGAAAAACCAATTGAACATATTTCTATTTGTGTTCGTTTGGGTTGAATGGTGCATTTTTTTAACGTAAACAAAGCGATCCTTTGAAAATTGAAATCTCTCGATCGGAGAACTCATATAAGAATATGCTCATAAACTCATATAAGAATAGTTCGACACAATAATAACTTTTTCTGTAGATGCTTTAATTACTTATCATCCCATGTTCCGTGAATTCCAGATTTTTGGTTTACATATATATATTTTCTAAGGAGTTTTCACCATTACTGGTTAAACTCGCTTCACTGGCTTGTCGCACTGGGTAATATGTCAGGGAGTCCCTTAGCGATAGAAATACAGATGAGTCACCAGCATCACAAGGATTTTTGGACAGGTTTATTCCTGCGGGGAATAGAACCTTAGTATCGGTGCTCCGAATTGAGGAATAACCCACTAAGCCATCCTATCCTGAAAACCAGCGGAGCAGGGCGACAAGTATATATATTTGTATTCACTGAAAACCAGCCAAGCAGGACGACAAACGACAAACATCATGTGCTTTTATTAATAACAACACTTAAAATAATAAATAATAATAATTAATGATAAAAAAAAGAAAAAATATGACAAAAATAAAAGAGAAAATTATAAAATATAGTATAATTCAAAGTAAGTTTATTATATACAATCGAATGGTGAAAGTCGAGATTTCACACTTTCTGAATGATGTGAACTTTATAAATAATATCATAAATATCATAATAATATCATATCAATATCATAAATGATATTGTTTAATTATTTTTAAAAGATAGCTAGGGATGACGTACAAGCTATATCGTTCGGTAATTCCAGTAATTAACAGTACGAATAAAGAAGTCGTGAGTCCTTAGCTTAGTTTTATACATAAGTTTTAGTAATTTTAGCCCATTTAGTTTTTGTTGGATTCAAATTTAAACTAAAATTATATTTTGAACAATTTAGTTTAACATAACCATACAGAATCTTATAAATATAAATTAAATCTTGTTTAATATGACGAACTGAGAAAGAATCCAGGTTATATTGTAGAAGTTTTCTTTTATAATTAAAATTGTAATTAGGAGAGAGGCGCCGTATAAAATATTTTTGGAGTCCAATTATTTTACTTGATTTGCGATATTTCATGAAGTAACAGATAATAAGATAGTCAAAAAGAGGCTAAGCGCTATATTTTTATAAGAATCTTCAATTTTTTTCTTAAACGAACGAAAAATAAAATTTAGTATCTTTGAGGATTTCTTTACCATGGTTCTTCAATAAAGATCGAAATCTAGGTTTTTATCCATTATTATTCCAAGATTGGAAATGTGTGAGATTATTCTGATTATATTACCATTAATAAAAAGATTAGGAAAATCAAAACCTTTAGAATTGATATGAAAAACGCTATACTTTTAAAAAGAAAGAGTAATTTGCACATCATATAGCCTGTTGGCTATTCTGTTGAGGTCTGCAATTAAGATAGGTTATCCGCTCTACCATGAGAATAATAAATTTTGCAATCATCAGCATAAAGATAAACGGTAGAATTTACCATTTTAGTGATATCACTTATAATAAATCACTTATAATAAAAAAAGCAATGGCGCTATACATCTACTTTGGGAAACGCCAGATTTAACAGATGTCACAGAAGAATATTGTTGATACATATAGCTGGTGGCGATATTTTGTGTAATTTGATACCCATTTATACAGGTTCCCTATAATGCCATAACTATTAAGAATGAACAACAATTTGCTATGGGAAACAAGAGCTTTGGCCAAATGGTACACAACTGATATTGTTTTTCCATTGTCAATTGGTGCTAACCAATCGGAAAGATTTACAGATTTGCAAATATTTGTAAAGTAGATTTTTTCGTACAAAAGCCATACTGATAGGGAGGATATGAAATTATTGGCATCAATATGAATAAACAACTTGTTGCAAATTAACCTTTCCAGTACCTTGCTTTAAATTATATGTTCCAGATTACCTGCTTTTCAAATACCTGCAGCCGTCGATGTTCTTACTCTTGGTACTTATCCTCGACTACCCGTTTGTATCAAGGTAAAAATTTTTATATATTGGACATATATCAGCTTCGATATTATTGTGCGTGGAATTTGCATTTCTTATTTTAAGATTTCCAGCATATCATTTTTTTTGCAATTTTTGTTCAATCTATAAAATTTCAGATAATTTAATCACTTATGATGAAGTTGGTTTACAGATTTTTTTTTTACAGTCGCGATTTATTCGTCCGAGCGAAATAACCGCTCGTGAACAAGCTTCCATTCTTGCAAGGCTTAATCAAGTTTTACAAACTAGAATATCAATTTGTGCAAAAAGAATGTCTCCTCGTATCACATCAGTGCTTATCAAAAATGGCATGGTATGTATAAATATTCATATCTGAATTATTTATAAAGTAAGAAAGGCGAGCTATTTTTTTTTTGGTTTTTCCTACTTTTTTCAACGATGTTGGTTTTCAGTCAATATTGCTTATTTTTTATTTTTGTTGTTTTAAGGTTACTTTGACGGTGCCTGGGGAATTTAGTGTATCTTTATCACTCCTTGGCGAAAGGGATACAACAAAATGGACATTATTGAACATTAAAATTTTAGTGGAAGATTATGAAATTGGTTATGGCACAAAGCTCGTTCATCCTCTTCAAGTAAATATGCTTCACAATGTTCTTCAGCTACGAATGGATAAAGCAGATGATGTTAGTTAGTTTCAAATAGTAAAGAAGAGATTTTTTTGCTGGGAATGAAGGTATGATAATTTTGAAAACCATCTACTTTTTTGTCATTTCAGGCTATAAGTGAAGTTTACAATTTTTTGCATTCCTTTGCACAGTCATTGCAGTTGGATGTTCTTTACTGTCAGGCTACGCAAGCGGTTAGAGGGCCAATGCGCCAATATACAACAATTGATCGATATGATCGTACTCAAGGAATTTTGATTATATCTTATTGGTTGAAAAAAACTCATCATAATAGGTCTAATGTTTTGGTATATCTGAGCGTCCTTTTCACTCTGTTCAATTTAATTCAATTTAATTTTCTGTTTACATATTTCGATTCTCGTCGCTTATTCAGGGTTAAATTTGTCAGTAACTGGTCATTTGGCACATATTTCTATCATTAAGACTTTCTGACAAAACGCCTTTCCCTGAGAGCCAGCTAACCTAACCAGAAAAATAGTGTGTGCCAAATAATAATCATTAGTCAAAAATAGTGAAAAAAAATTCGAGAGTTTAATTGTAATAAAAAGAAAAGTAATAAAAGATTTGCGCATAATATTGATAGAAATTTTTTAGATTTAGATTTTTTATATAAATTTTTTTAGATTTAGCTCACAATATCGTATAAAGATATCATCAAGCGCAGATAATATTAATTCTGGTTTACGAGTTCGACATTATCCAGATGGAAAGAATCTTCCTAAAATTGATGACCGAACAGGGTTACTTTTTTGAAATCTTTATTTTCTCAAATTATATGGTAATTCTTGAATATTAATCTTTGAATATTTTACAGATTTTCATATTTTAGAAGGCTTTCGATTAGTGGAATTTTATCTGAAACCGTCGTAATTCGTTGTCGTGAACGCCTTTTACAAATACGAGAATGTTTAAAGTCTTTAAAACCTTTTTCTCCTGTCTCGCTAACTGGTAAAGCAGCTCCAACCTTAACATATCCTCTCTTGGGACCAGAATCCAATCAAGATGAAATGCTGATTATATCTGTTAACGGTTTTTCTGGTGATGTATTAGTTATTGTGAGAGCACTAGGTTTTTTTTCAATTTTTTTATTTTTTATTTTTTATAGTATTATATAGTATTATATATAGTATTATAAAATATTTTGTTTTTTTTCTACATTACTTTAAAAAAATTTTATATAGAAATATCATTGATAATTATTCGAGATACTGCGCCTACTTTCTAATACGCAGCATATTTTTTTGTGTAACTGTTTTAATTCAATTAAGGTTCACGTCTGGAATTATGTGAATTGGAACGTTTCTTGAATGATCGTTCATCGATTCAGCGAATTTCCAGTCTAATTTATCGATTAAGGTCGATTATTTTAATTGAGAAAATTTTTATAAATAGTTTAATTCTGGTGATATTCTGTGTATTCTCCAATTTTTTTAGTTTTTTCTATTTTTCTTTATTTGCAAATTCTTTCATTTTATTTGGGAAAATTTTTTGAAATTTTTTTTTCAGAATCTTGCTAATGATGGAAAGATATCGTAAAAGCATTGCATCACTTGCCGTTCGAATTGTGCCTGAAAAAACGTTGTCTGTTCTTTTACCAAATATTTCTTCTTTACCGTCTGACAGATTATGTCTTCAATTTGTTAAAGAAGATGCATTTTTCCTTGTAAGCATATTTTATAATTGTAAAACTTTATAATTTTGCACTTTCTTTGTCCTATATTTCTTCTCGAAAATTCAGTGGAAATCTGTTCCTGTTGAGGAAAGAAAGATTTCATATTAACTATTGATATTTTTTTTAAAGATTATTTCCTGGAAATCAGACGATATTAAAGGTTTCGATATAGATATGTATTTATTTTGTAACACTGAACGAAAAACGAATATGATTAGACTTCATCCGAGTCAAGTATTGTCATCATCACCATCTAGTAATTTCTCTTCATATGATAAATCTATTGGAATGCCGTCTGTTCAGGTAACCGCCTCGAATGAAATTTAATTTTATGGAATTTTGACATTAATATTTTACCATAATCGATATCTTAAGTATGGAGAATTTTTCGTCTAAAATATTAACCAATTTTTTTCAATAATAATTTTAGCGTAAGAGATGGATAGGAAATGTAAAGGAATTGAGTTCTGCTATCGCAATAATCGATGATAGAATTGCTTTCATGCGAATATGTGAGGAACTCAGTAAACGTTGTGTCTCCTATCAACCCGTGACTAAAGAACCAGTAGTTGGAGGCCTACTTCTTCAGATTTCAGAGTGCTTTTATATTCTATCCAAGTTATGGACATTTATTGCACTGCCATATTGTTTTATTTTCTTTCTTTTAGTTTTTCTGGTGCACTTCCTTCTGCTTCAAAAGAATTTTTCTCATCAATGACAAATTGTTGCCTTCGGCTCGACACAAGATCTCGTGTAATTTGGCCATTTGAATGCACATTGACAGAAACACCACTTATCGCTGATATACCGGGATCGGCGAATGTTTTAGGAAAAAGATCTCGAGTTAGCCACCGTTTTTTAGGAAACAGATTTTCTTCTTATTCTTATTAATCGCGCCATTCTTCGCTAATGACTTTTTAGACAAAATTGACGGTAATGGAAATTAATGGTAGTGGTGGTATTTCTTCATTAAATACCTCGGAAAGTGTGTCTATTCATATGCTTGATAGGTTAACTATATTTTCCCATATGTATGAACCTGTCAGAGAATTTGCGGATGCATACTACAGTTATTATAATCAGTATTGTAACGTTAGTTCTTTATCCTTTACCTATTATTTCTGTTTAAGAAAAGCAAATTTATTTAAATAATTCTTGTACAAAATTTTATTTAATTTAGTTTTCAAATGAATATACATAAAAATTTAATTAAAATTTAGATCGTTGCATTTACGTACCACAAACTGGTAATCGCTTATGGAACCAATCGTAATTATTTGGTAATAATTTCATGGAAATCACAAAAAACAACGAAACCATATTTCTATCTCACTCTTGGCATATGGCCAAATCAGAGAAACTTGAATAATAAATGTGAACAAATGAACGAAAAGTATTTTTTTTTCGAATTTCGAATTTATGAATTTAACTTATTCATTAAATTTTTATGAAATTTTTATGATAATTTTTAATTTTTATATATTTTTTAATTTGAAAAATGTTTTTTTAAAGGAATTTTTAGATACTTTTAAAATATAAAAGTTCCTTGAGTCTTACATTGCTTAGTTGAGAGTACGCAGCACGTTCGATTCCCTTAAAGGAGAGTGTGGAATCCAAATACATTGTTGCATCAGCATGAACTTGTCATTAAAAATGAAATAAGGGTGGGTATGACCAACTTGTATTTGTCCTAATAGTCAATTAGAGTTGGCCAATAGGTTATAGTGCTTCCTGTTTAAATAAAAAATTTGGAAAATCGACATTCAAAGTGGTTGAGATTTTTTATAATTCATAGAATTTAATTTAGCGTGTGGAATCCACATATATTAATGCATCAACGTCTTCAAGAACAATTCAACAGACATCGATCTCTGTGTCAGTTAATGCAATATTTAATTGATACGATATCGCCATTATGTTGTTTGCATAATTTCATTCATATGCGACTTCATTCTTTGCGAGCATACTGTCAGTTGTCTAATCTGGAACCGTCGCTACCAATCACTCTTCAAGTACTCTGCTATTTTTTATATATTTTCCTAAAATTTATGTTTTAATTGAATCTTGGAAAATCTGTGAAATGCAATTAAACCTTGTATTACAGTGAATGAAGTATTTTGATTGAAGTGCTTGCTTTAGGCAAACTTAAGCGTTATTGACGAACATACGATACGTCTGTTGTATGGGAATATTCATCTTGAATTTTTACTAGTTGGTGGATATCGTGTTGGTGTTCGAGACTGTGGTCGAGGAGGAGTTAGTGCCCATAGATTGAAAACGTTTTGCAATAAATTTGTTAGGTATATAATATTCTTTTATAATTTTTTAAAAAAATTTATTATATTCAGTAATTTTAAAATTTTCATCCACTTAGTTGGTGTTTTTTATAATTGTAAAAAAAATTGTAAAAAAATTCTTTTGATTTATAAAATATTTGTTTTTTAATAAATTTTTCGAGGAATTTAAAATTGTCAAAGTAAGTTTTTTACAGTCCCGAGATGCGGAGTGCAAACGATGAACCATCAGCTTACCTAAATTGGATGCATTCCTCTTCATCTGGTCCTGGTTCCCTTCCGCCACATCAGGTTTATTTAAAATGTGACTAAATAAGAAAAGAACATATTTTTGGCCTATAATTATGGATAAGAATATTTCATAATATAATAAATTAAGTGTATTTTAATTGCCTATTGATTAGTGCAGAGTTTTATAGATCAGTCTGACTTTATTTTACTGAACTGGAAACTATTTTTATTTGCTTTATAGATAACTCGTTCACCTGCTTCTCGAATAGCTGCATCACCCATGTCTTATTTATCATTGTCTGTACCACCAGCTGATACAGTTCCATCACCGCTACGTCATCCTCAAGGAGACCATTTGCGGTGTCGTTCCCCTATTTTGATTGATCATGGAGCACTCCAAACAATGACAGCTATAAATGATTCAGGTTTCATTTTAAAAATATTTCATGTATTTAGGCGAACCGAGGCTATTAAATAATTGAATTCTCAAAATCATGAAAATTATTCTCTCATCATCCATGTTGCTTGACTTGTAGCAAAAATTTTGAATTATATTATATTATTATTTCATATATTTTGCTTCAAATACCTATTTTCTTGAATCTTATAATATTTTTACCGGTACTTGTCCGCTGGAAGATTATCTGTTTTCGCTATCGTATTTGTCACGATTGGGTCCAGCACTTGAAAGTTATCGTCGTGATAATCGAGGCAATAGTCCACTTCCTGCAATACATTTAAAATCACTTCTAACTACACCCGAACTTATTCGGATATCAGTCTCAGGCGCAGTACCTCCTTCGCCTAGAAATGAATCTTTTTTAGCTGTTTTAAATGTATATTTGGACGATGATACGATGAGTTTGAAATTGCGTATTGATTTCGGTATGGCAAATTTTTTTTTGATTGATATTATATCTTCAAATTTTCCTTTTCCTTCCATAATTATAGTAGTACCATATAGTGCAGTAATACCATAATTTATTTGGAGTGTAAATTGATAAAACTTTTTTTATTTGTTAAACTTTTTATTCAGAAAACAGTTCCCCTCCATCTGAATCTGATTTGCGAATATTTGAACGTTATTTCAAGCGTTATATTGCGAGGAGCGGTAATGAGATAGCATTTATTGCTTTTTCAAATGCTTGCAGAATTGTTTCACCTGGAATTTTTTCATCGATAGCCAGAATTATGGAGGCTCAAATGGTATTTCATTTCTGTTTTTTGCTTTTATTTCCAATTTTTAATTTACTTCAAAATTCAGATTTGACGCTGATCATCATCAAATGAATTTTATATTTTTAAAAATTTGATAAAATCTAGAAAATGAAATTAAAATACTGAACAATTTGAAAATTGCCTTTTAACACATTATTTATTGATTTATTCAGGATTGGTCTGAAAATAGTCCATGGAGGCCTTCATTACAACTTACCATGTGGAACCAAGAAGGTTCAACAAGTCGAGCACGAATTTCCCCTGGTATTGCAATTGATCAAACGAATACAAATATCCTTATCCCGGTAATATTGAATGTCTCTCTTATTTTTCTTTATACTAAAATATTTCTTTTATACTCCAAAAGCCTTATATTATATAGCATAACACTGTGGAAAAAAGGAAATCCAAATTTTGCATCCTTCATTGATCTTTTTTGATTTTGATCGATTGAAAATCCTGTTTTACTTAATTGATATATTTATTACAGTTATGCTTGCGACCGACGAAAAGAAAGGATGGAGAAAGGAACGCCGATGCTAGCAAATATGTGATTCCATTAATTTATAACACTCAAACGTTAGTTTATCTTTTTTCGAAGATAACGCATTCATAAAAAGTTGATTCTGCTTTATTTAAAAATTTTTCATAAAAAATTTTTCGAAATATATATTTCATCATCAGCTACATCAGCTACTAGACTGAGACTTTTTTCTTCATAGAATTATTAGAATAGAGGTATATGTGGATTTGCAGCAACCGCGCATATTTCAATGTTCAAGTTAATAACAGGTTCATTGTGGTAAAAAAAAGATTCAGACCTATTTTTTAAATTATTTTTAAATTTAAAAAGATTTTTTAAATTTATTGTTAAAATTTTTATTCGACTTTTATTTGATTGAATTTTCTTTTGCAGAAATATGATTACTCGCCGAAACAGCGAAGAAGATTCAAGTAATGCAAGTACTATATTATTATCCATAACAGAACAATATTCACATACCACTGAATGTCCATTATGGTTTGCTGTAAATTCGTTGGCATATAAATTTGTACCATCGAATACCACTAGCAGCATACAATGCTAAATATTTCGTGTCTGTATGTTAACATTATTGTTAACTGATAATATTCACCAGTGCTTTATAGATAAATTAAGTTTTTTCGTCCTTATCAGCGCACCATTATCATCCATCTTTCTTTATAAAATTTTTCATTATTTGATGCATTCAGTTCATTTTTGGGAATATGTAAATGTTGTTGTAAATCTGCTGAATTATCCGAATCATTTATCAGATTTCTTTGTTCTTTGTGAAAAATGATAATATAAAGAAATGAAATATTGAATGGATATCAGAAAAAAATTCTTACAGGAAATTACTTTTTTTAATCTGATTAACGAAGTTAATTTTATTCTCTGCAATAATATTAACATAATATAAATATTCATAAAATATGTTGTACTATAATTTAAAATAAATTATAACATTTAAAATTCGTTACTTGCTTAGCAGAGAAAAATTAGGATTCTGTTCGGTGATAATTCATACATTATTTCAGATGAGACAGTATTACATGGTAGGAATGAACCTAAGATCTTACTGATAACTGGTGGGGATCCATTTGCGCCTTCTCTTAGTTGTTTCCTTGGTTTCTTTGAAGCAACGATATCCTAGTAATCAAAAGCGGCCATAGCGTTTGATTTCTTGGTGGAGCAAATCTTTTATAAAAAGTCAAATTCGGACGACGCCACCTATAACCGTATCTCTGTGGTGAACGTTTGGTGAACGTTAATCTCTAGTGGTGAACGCCAATTTGAACGTAAAATCTCCGTTTCTTATGAAAATTTAAAAGTAGGGAAGAGGGAAATGTATCGATAAATTCGATTTTCCTTGTAAGCCTTTGTAGGGTGTGCACCATTACGCGCCTTCTATGCTTGGTTAGTCCTAGCAGTTGCCAGAAAGAGACAAAACGGCGGAGCGATTGCAGTTCCGATTACCACCTCCAGCACCATGGTTTAGAGCAGCCCCTGCACTAATATAAATATATATAAAATGATTTAAATTATAGACATTTAAATTTGTTCTCCTTGCTTAAGAGAGGAATTTAGGATTCTGTGCGGTGATGAACATTCTTTTTTAAAGAATGCTCCCGGTTGGATTTATTTGCTCGACCAAACAAATTTATCATTTGGCCATACAAAATAGAGTTTGGTCACCAGCACGAAACGAACTTTTGAACGACACATTCACTGCGGAGATAGAGTCCCACCAAAATGAAAAGCAAGTAAATCACCTTACTGACAGACAGGTGAGGTCAGCCTAACCAGAAGTTTGCCTGCCACTAATATATTCACTGGTAACTAGGATAAGGCATTTCCAGGCCTTCTGATGCCATGTTTACATTAATTTTTTCGTTATTCGAGGCTAATTCAATGAATTTAGGCTGGTCTAAGAGTGAAATTCTCATTATTAAAAAGACAGCCAGAAAGTACCACCCAGGTCAGTCCCTCCCACTTACTGTAGAAGTTCCACATCGTCCAGCGTCAGTTCCAGTCCCCCTTTTCCCCAAAAAATCCTTGTTTTTATTGAACAGAACGTGACGCATGAAGTGTTGCGTGCGTCTCATATCTCATCATTGCCAACTTTCTCCTCAATATTCCTATTTTTATTGCTACGAAGGAGGTTATAGGGCACGTCGGATGGGGTAAGGTTTTCATGGAATATCCCTGAGGGGTCAAGAGGGGTGGGAACACGTAGCCTTAAGGGATTATGATGCACTCACACCAGTTAAAATTCTGAACGTGAAGTAGTTTTAGTTTCTAAAATGTTCACTGCAACGTGTAACAATGATTATTTCTGTTGCATTGCATTAAATTGTCACGAATGAAGTATTTTTATGAAGTATTGTCACGTATTCATTTTATTTGATATACGCGTTTTACGTGATTTGCGTGTGCAGTTGCCAGAAAGAGACAAACTCACTCATGAAATATAATTTTTGAGATTTGAAGAAGGCTTAAATACATTGTTTTTAAATTCTATTATCGCTTCGTTAAGACCTCAAGTGACCTCAAGTGTCATACTTCTTAACTTTTTCTTCTCGTCAATCAGCAATCACCGTACTGGTTAGGCTGCGCTACGTTGGCTTCAGGGGTAAGGCGTTTCCAAGCCACTCGATTCCATGCCATATCAGAGAATAACAGAGGCCCACTCACATTTCCATCGTCTAAGCCCATATTAGTTGAGCTCTCTCCCTATACGTTCAAAATCTCTTCTTTATCTCCTCTTCTATAATTAGTCCAGAATCGTGATTTCCTATCGTCGCTTTTGGCGTCTATCATAGGGTTTAGTAAGTTAGCAAGTAGTGAGATATGCTCAAATCTGGATGTGCGGCGAAAAACGTAGGCCTAACCAGTACACGCTGTGACGACAATATTAATGCAGATGGTATTTCAGCGGAGGGTTTCCCACTCGTGCTTTTGGTTGACGAACTACAAGGAATTTCTCATAATCTGAATGGTGTAAGGATGACACGCAAGGGCACGTTTGGCTTGAGCACGTTTTTTTCAAATTAATCGATGAGTATCGAAATTAAAAATCGAGAAACTTCGAATAATTTGCGTTTTAGATGAAATTTTGTTTTTTAGTTTACTGGAAAGAAAAGAAGATGGGTGCAGCGGCTTCAGGTGTGCAGACCCAAATGCAAGCTGAACACGATCCAAATGCGGCATTTCCATGGTGGGTGCGGTTTTTGGCTAAAGGACTTGGTGTTTTCGGTGGATTTGTTGCGATCTTTTTCGCGGTGCTTGGATTTATTTCATTCTCAGCTACGTGTATTATCGCTGTTTTGTTACAGTTGTTTGTTTTTCTTTTTTCATTGCCAAATAGTGTTTTTTGATAAAATTCATCAATAATCATTTATGAGTCTGCGGACTGTCACTTCGACCAACACATTTTTCTTTTCCTCCCTTATTGTCGTGATACTGAGATTTTAATCTGGGATTTTCTGTGGGGTGCAATGACTCGGCGAGTTGTTTTTCTCGGAGATGCTAATGTTTTACTCCAAGTAGGAATAAACCTTTCTTTCAAAAGTCCAGGTGATGCTGGTAACCCAACTGAATTGTTATCGTCAAGTGATGACCCTCTGGTATTTGTATTGATTTTATATTTGTATTAGCGGAGGGACTGAAAATGGTGAGCGCTTTTAGGAGAAAAAAAAGGATTTTCTAAAGTATATTGTTAATTTTTAAAATTAGTTATTCATTAGATAAATTTTAAAATTAAAGTTAATTATTCGTTAGTTAACTTTTTTTTAGAATTCATATGGTTTTAGAGCGTTTGGATTATTAATAATCTCATTAGAAGCACCATTTTGCTGCATGTTTGTTGATTTTATCGAGAAAATCGCTGTATTCTCTGAATCTCGAAAATATTGGCATAAAGCTGCTTTATATTGCATGTTGGTTTTTTTATTCTTATTTTTTTTAAAGAATTCAAAAAACCTTAGATATTCCAGTAAACTTCCCTATTAGATTTTTTTGGATTTGGCGAAGTAGATGTTCGAGTCTTTTCTAGATTTGCCTTATATTTGTGCTCTCTTTGAGTGGCTAACAATCGGCATTCAATTCATTCTGCCGAACCAGAATTGGCACGTGCTAGAGGAAGAAGGTTCAAATGAAAGAAGAATTCTTTCTTATTCCTGAGAATTGCCACTCTGTTTTTAATACTGCAAAAATTCAGACTAGCCATAAACATTTTCAGTATGGGAATAATTCCAATAATAACTTGTGTTGAACTGAACACAGTACTTGGAAGTGGTACAATTTTTGCATCCGGTGTGGTTTATGGTTTTATGGCATTGGGTAAGAAAGCAGATCTTTCAGCGATGGCTGGTGGTTCTACGGATCCTGCATGGAATGCTAATGTCAATCAACAAACACCGGCATCTTTTGGTAATCCATCATTAGCATGATTTGCTTTAGTTTTTTTCTTATCGCTGATATTATCAGTTAACTATCATCTCATTTTGATCGTCATCATTGTCTTGTTCATAATTTATATACAAATGTTCATAGCTTATTTATTATATAAATCTTTTAAATAATAATCTCTTTAGTGGCGATATTTCCTTTCATATTGTTTTTATTAAAGCTTTTATTTACTATTCCTTTTTTTTTAATTTATGCTTTTCTATACGTTTTGCATCGATTTAAAAAGAAAGAAACAAAGAAACATAAACATAAAAGATAAGAAAAATTGATTTGAGTTGATTGATTTATTAGTTGAAATTATAAATTTAATGGATTGCAAATTGATCGGAAAGAGGTTTTTTCTTTCAAAAATTTTCAAGTTTTTGTTTCATTCTGATTGTTCACAGTTCGGGATTGGTTCTCTTCAAAAATTTTATATCCTTTTCCATTCATGATTTACTCATTGCTTAATTAATTTGTCGATACGGCGTCTTTCTTTTTAAATTCAGATGAGCCACTGTTTCATTTCCATTTTTTCACAGTTTTTGCATTCATTAATTATTTCTGCTTTTTTTTGTGTGGATTCGAGTTATATTGTTGGTTGTATTATTTCATATTATCAAAATGTTTTCAAATCGGTCTTTTAGCCTGTCAACAATGTATTTTTTTTTAATGGTACTATTGCAATTTGCAGTTGATATACACAAACAAATTTTTTTCTTAAATTTCTTTTGAATTGAAAGATTGTTCTCAAACGACTCGGGATTCGATATGTAGGAACTCTCAATGACCCGAGGTTCTCCAGAAATACCCAATTTTTATTTTTCTTTAAAAATAACATTCCGCATTTCGATAATACAAATAATACAAATTCTTTTGATATTTTTGTTTTTCCTGCCATTTAATATATACATATATATATATATATACTGAGGGAAGTCGATAATTTTGGTTGATTTGGTTACCATGTTTTTTATCTAATTTAGCAACTGACGATAAATATCAACAGAAAAAAATGCTTGAGAAAATCTTATGAATTATTTCACTCACTGGATTAATTTTTACCATTTATTTATTTATTCACTGTGCAATTACGACATATTATCAAGTTGTAAATAATGAATTCTTATATATTATTAAACGGACATTATTAGACGATTAAATTCATGTTTAACTGATTTATTGGCGATAGGAAAGTCCGCGATCTACTAGCGCATGCTTTTTGAAGAAAAAATCAAGTTTTGATGCCGTTCACAGAGGCCGAGGCCGAGGTATACATGCTTTCAGCTGGGTATTCAGCTAATATAGTAGTAGACCTCTTCTTCTGCCTTATAGGTCATCGTTCCCCATGTAACAAACGATTCAGCGCAATAATTCTCAAAAAATTAATAATCCTATGGAAGGAATTTTAGTCTTTCTAATGTTAAATCGAGAAAAAGCACAAACCAATTAGATGTATCTTCAAAGGATAAACATTTCTCATCTAACCTGGTGAGTCGCTCTGCTTTGTTATCAACTTGCGTTTGCAGCTGTTGATTTCTTAAATTATTAAAATGCATTAAAAGCAAAAGAACAGAAAATTTATTATGAATAAATATTGTTAATATAAATAAAAATATAAATAAAAAATTTACAACTAAAACTAAAATTTACTAAAATTTTCTTATTTTTTCAATTTGAATAATTTTCAGTTACAAAAATTTTTTTTGTTCAATTCGAAGGGGAAATTTTTCAAAATTTTTCGGATTATAAATTTTATTTAACAATAAATATTAACAACCAAAATAATTTTTTAAATTTATTTATCAAGAATTATCACCAAATCGATTTAAATGATTTCATTTCACGGAAAAGAACAAAAAAACGTGAGATGGGATTGCCGAGCTTAATTAATTCATTACAATTGATACCCCATAATTGAAGTGGTTCTTGTAAAATTTTGAATTTCTGAAAGAAAAAAATTATTAAAAAAAATTAATTAAGAATTAAAGGCGAATATAAAATATGAGAAATGCGCGAAAAGTAATAGCAGGAATTAATATTTAGGAATTAATTAATAGGAATTAATTTTTTAAATTAATTTAAATTAAAAAAATTTGGTACTACGGTGTTGAATTGGAAGGCTTATCCAATGATGTTTCAATTTAGCAGACTTTAAATTGAATAAGCCAAGCAAATTAAAAAGGATATAAGGATATCAAAAAATAAGAATAAATACTACTGAAGTATGTTTTTCAAAAAGAATCTCACCGTGTCGGGGGCATCTTGACGATATATGACATACTCATTAACATTGAAACAGTTTACAGCGGCATCTTGTTCGACGGTTAATGTTTTGTAGCGAAATGTTGCTTGACGTTCAATACGCTACAAAATAAAAATTTTTTTCAGAAAAATTTTTTATAAATATAAAATATTAAGAATTATTTTGATAAAGCGAACAAGATAAAAAACGCGTAAACCTGTAAAACTTGTTTCGCTTCTTTCGAACTCCCGACAACTAAAATATTTTTCGAAATAAATGAAACATAATGTCGAAGCGGTAATGTTCCAGGCAATGTGATGGGTATAACAGCAAAATCAGCGAATGTTCGCCCAAGAATCTAAAAATTTATAAATTATGTTGAAAGTCTAGCAGATTTTAACTGATTGCTGACTATTATAATGAAATTTCCTCACTGCACAGAAGACAACATAAGAGGTCCTCAACAGTCATCTGCCTCGGAATAATGAAAAGACCACTCCAGTCATAGGATTGGAATCGAACTCAAATACTGTTGATGACCGTTTCTACTTCCGCTATCTTCTATCAACGAGCGTACCAGGTTGAAAATTATAAAATTATATAAGGATAAATGTATATGTAAATGTGTGCAAAATATGCGTTCGATCATACATTGTTAACAATGTAAAAAGAACCAACCATAGCACCTTCAATATTGGTACCATTCTTCCGTAAACCAACAAAAATCTCTTTTCCGGTGAAAAGAACATCGCTTCCTTCAAGGAAAATTTCTTTTCCACGTTCACTTGCTGGAGTTTCAACGAGTTGCCAGCATGAACTGCGTAAAGCGACTGCTATCTATAAAAGAACGTTTGCCACCGTTAAATGACTTCACATCACGATAAAATTATTTCAACGCAATTTTCCCAATATTTATCTAAGTTACCAAGGATCTCTTTCTTCAGTACGCTGGACGAATGGATGAAATTTTAATGAACACTTAAAACAACGACCTGTGAGAAAATAAATTAAAACAAAAATTTATCACCTCATATAGCCGACTTCCCGGTTTTTTCGGCCGAGTAATTAAAGCAGTTCCATTGACAAAGATCGCACAATCGCCGAGTAATACACTTTGTTGTGGACAATTTTCTTCAGGTGGCAATTCAATAATTTCAACACCTGACTAAAAAATTTGTAAAAGTTAACGAGTTTCTATTTCAATTAGTTCTTATTAGTGGCGAATCCTCCTGTTTTTAAGAACGTCTCTTTATAAGAAAGTCCATAGAAGAAGAGAAAGTCTGCTGGCGAGAGATCTGGACAATGTGGTCGACGAAGGATTTCGACATCGCCTTGAATAAGCTTTTCCATTTCTGATCTAACATTGACATATGAATAGTGCTACCAGGATGGGTTCTTTTCTTTTCTGTTGACCATCGCCTGATGCTGTTATTGCAGCTTCTGGTAAATTTCCAATTCGTTGCCTATGAAGTTATAACGGAAAACACAAAACAAAACAATACAGTTTTCTTCAGATTTTGGTCGGATTTCGGCATAAATCGAGGGCATTTACCAAGCCACTGCGTCGACTTTTTCTGCCACTGCTAAGAATCCATCTATACGACTTGAAAGCCTAGGGGCACCAATACGGTAAAGATCCGAGCTTTGAAAACGATTCTTTCTTTCGATATGTCGTCGTCCAAAGCCGTTTGGATATTGTGAAGTGCTTCCCTCGCTCGAAGCCCTAATTTGAATATCGACATGGCGAGCCAGCGATCCAGCGAATCCAAAACAGTGATAAAAAATTACATGTGGCCGCGAAATCAGATATTTCTCCTTAATTAACCGAGATGATCGCATTAAAAGATAAGGCTTCTGCTTCTTCCCAGAATCTGGGCACTGCTGGGCAATCCGTCTATAGTTTTATCGTTAAGTGGCAAAAATTTCCAACCACAATAACAGAAAATGGGGCCAGCTTGCCCAGAAATAGCGATAGTTCACCATTTAACCACTTCATTTCTCCCATCGATCGTTTCTCTGTTTAGTCTGGCTGATTATTTAGGACTGAGCCATTTAAAGCTGAGCCACGCTTTTCACAACAGACTTTCTCCCTAACGATGAACAGCGACTGACTTCAAATGAGTACCTAAAAAACGGCTGAAAACATCAGTGAATTATCAGCAAAATGAAACCTCTCGAAGTGTGTCGCACAGACTTCCCAACTGCTGAAGTGCTAATTGCAAATCAATTTTCGCCTTTTTTTCGTTTTCTAATTTTAGTGTTTTAGGGATTCGAACGAGTATCGCATGAGTATAACGCATTTTAACGCTATATTACCACGTAGACCACGCAAACCACGCAATTCACGTAATTCTCGTCGTTTTATCGGTTCTTTCTGAAAATTTATGAATTTTCGTATAGACATCGCACGTCAGATAGTGCTTTAAATGCTTCTGCACTGGCGAACCGGAAAGATCGTTTGGAAATCCAATACTTTAAAACAAGCTTTTATAAGAATATAATAAATTGCAGCTGAAGAGCCAAAACGATTTGATGAGAGGGACGCTGTCTGCAAAGGAATGGACACTGGCTACGAGGAAGCGACGGCCAGCACCGATTTTCAGTGAGCGGTTGAAAGGTCTTTCATCGAACGGTGAGGGATTAAAGGTGAATAGTAGGATACGGGGTGAACTTAAGGATCAAAACCAGATTATAAGCAAAATCCCTATTACGCCCAGTTAGCCATTATGCAGACCACAAGGCGAGCGAGCCATTAGCCCATTAGCAAAGCAGTGTTGGCTCGAAAGGTCAGCGACTACGCACCACTGCAATATGTGTTCGATTTAGGCCTAAAACGTCGGCAGTGATTTTTTTGTTGGTAAATAATAATAAACAATAATAATAATAAATAATAATAAACACAACAATAACAATAATAATAATAATAATAATGAATACAATAATAACAAAAGAGGAAAGAGGATGAGTGAGTTGTTGATCGATGATGTTTGCTATGAATTTTATTTAGTTATCGATCATCCGTCAACCCAACACAAACAACTATCCGAAGCTTTCCGGCCGCAAAGAGATCCACGAAAACAGCTGTCCTGGCCTCCCACTTCAACTATCTCAGCCATCCAACCAGACGACCACCAACCATCCACCCAACCAGCCGCTATTTCCTCATTTGTTACCCGTTTCAGATGACAATAAATAAATCTACTTATATGCCTCTTTTCTTGATTTTTCGACGGTTTTCACATTCTTCGTCAACGAAAAATACTTGTAAGAGCTACTGGGGGGAGGGGGGGTGGGAAGGGGGTGGCGAAGGGGGTCTCATCAATGGCTCATATCCGAGAGTCGGAGTTTCCGTACATTTTTGTAGCTTAAGGCACCGACTACACTAAATATTTTATTCTCGTAACCGTTCATTCTCTTTTGAAAATTTTTCCTATGATCGTTCCTGTGAATATTTTCAAATATTTTGGATAATTTCCCTATTATTTCACTTTTATTCATGAAAAACACTGATTTTCTTGCATAATCCTGGCCTCGCTTGTCTTTTGTCTATCGGTGATCATCGTTTATATTGTGAATTTTCAATATTTTAACGATTATCTTAAATTTTGTTTTTTTATTGCAACATTACTTTTTTATAGTACAGCGAAACATTTATTTAATTATCTGTGACGAAATAATTGCTGTGGTTAGCTGATATGGTAAATAATAGATACTGATAATTATATTGAAATAATGTGCTGATAAAAATAAACATAAATAAGATTAAATGAAATTTATCGCTACATTCTGTCCCATCGTTTGAATGCTTTGATTTGATATCAGTAATAATACCCTTATTACCCTTCACCCTTCACCCTTATCACCCTTTATCACCCTTATCATTACCGTTCTATAACAAATAAGGGAAAAATTTTACAAAATTTTAACATTTGTAGCTTATGATTATGTAAATTTCTTAAAAAAATTTAGAGTAATAAAATAATTAAAAATTTACATATTTGCATGTGGATATCTACAAATTAACATTAACATTGCCATTCGAAGTTAAAGTTCGTTTTGAGAATGAGCTTAAACTCCATTTACCCAGCTGATTCGAAACGAGAAACAACACTGATATCTTCTTATTACTGTTACATTGTCCGCTAACTAAATCGAGTCCATGTTTCGCGAATTCCATCATTCTAATTTAATAAAATGAAATTTAATAACGTGTAAAAATTAATGCACCTTTTACATAACTCAAGTTGGTCATAACATTATCATTCCAATAATATAAAATCATTATCATTATCATTTAAAGTATTTGAGCCATACTGTTTACTACAAATTCTCTTATTTGTTATTTGAATCGCTAAATTCTGTTGCTTCCTTTTCTTCATTGAATTTATATCTTGATTCAGTGATAGATCAGTCCATTTAGGAATATCAAAAATAATTTTATGCGATTCATTACTTTTGTTTATCATAGTTTTCCGACCAAGTAACACATAACTTATTATTGAATATGGAGTAAAATGAAAATCTTCCTGAAAAGTTTTAAATTATCAAATTTATTCTAATATTTTTATTCTAATATTTTTGGCTTAATAATATCATAAATGAGGAAAAACCTCAAAAATCTTCTTATCATTGATATAATCATTTTAAAAAATACACGAGCCTGAAAGTATTCTTGCAGAATCAGTTTGGCTATCGTTATTTCTATCAACGTTTTTGATAAAAACGGCATCTGCTTTGATGTTAATTCAGTGAGCTTTAAGCCTGTTATTCTTCCATTTGTATCCTTTGATTTGGTTTGCTCCTTAAATAGAAACGTTAGAAATGGAAAAACAAAATAAAAAAGCGATAAAAGTTAAGAAATCGAAAGTGATCGAAAAGTGATTATTTGATAAGCAAAATGCTTTAGTCCAAAATTTTAAATATTACAACGTCAGATGTATTAAATCGTCATACTATTTAATTTTGCTTTTTCTTACTAACTTTTTCAAGAATATCAGTCATAGTTCGCCAGCATTCTGTAACATCAACTTGTCTGGAAACTAAACTATTTCCATCTTCTTTACAAATGTCACACGATTGATTACACAATAATTGATCACATGCTGTGTCGAAATGTTTGGCAAAGATTGAGCGTCGACACTTCCTGCTCTGAACATTTTTAACGTCTCGTAATGAAAACTAGTCCACAATAAAGAAAATATATCAAATAGCCTTCTCCTCTCTTGAATCCCAATCAAAAGATTCTTTAAATAGAGAGTTAAAAGGAAAACTAACAATCTGGCGAAAAGTGTTAAATGAACTTATTCAAGCCATAGCCAGTTCAATAACGCAACAATTTTTATCATTCTCATGCGTTGGAATGAAAAGTAATACCTCCAGGCAATAATCAAGCATTGAGTATAAATTGGTTATACCCGTTTTTTCTGTACAAACCATCGTACTTAATCGAAAGAGATCATTCAACGAATAATAAAGTAAACAAAGAGCTTTATTCCCATCACGACCAGCTCTACCACTTTCCTTTAATCAAAAAGTAAATGATCACTGAGGTCAACAAAATGGATTAAGTGCATCGAAAAAATTCTTTTCAACCTGATAATAATTTCCCATCGATTTTGCCATCGAATGATGAATAACAAATCGAACATCCGGTTTATCAATTCCCATTCCTTCAATTTAGAAAATACGAAATAGATTCGCTAATTCAGTGTGAGCATTTTCAGAAATGATGAATAATTTAGGCAAGCCTCTTTGAGGTGAAAAAAGTGAAGCTCACTTTTGATTCATCCACATCTGTAGTTTTATGTCTAAACATTTCACCTTGTAGTCAGCTGAACAGCCAAATCATGTATCATAAGTGATTGTAAAAAAGAAAGAAATTGGTCAAACCAAAAGCAACTGTTGCCACTATGACTTGAATTTCATCGTTAACCCATTTCTGATGTATTTTCGTTTTTTCTTCATTCTCCATAAAAGCTTGATAAGGCGCTGCTTTAATGCCTTTGGATCTGCAAATATATTTATTATTACGAAAAAGAAATTTCAATCAACAGACCCAGAAAATGCTGAACTAGTACCATAGAACTCATAAATTGGAATTAGAAGGAAAATATGACCTGAGAGTTTTAGCGAGATTTTCACATTCTTTCCTTGAAAAGCAATAGATGATACCACTTTGACTACCAAAGCGATCTTTGATGAGTGAAACAATATTATTCACGAAAGTATCGCTGCATGAAGATTTAGGCAGAACTTCATAAAAAAGATTGGGTCGATTAAAGTCGGCACGGAATTCAAGTGCAGCTAAATTGAGAAAAATTTTTGAATTTGAGAGTTTTTCTGCCTTCCTACAAACAAAAAGAATTAAAAGATTGGAAGACATATTTGATATTTAAATTGTGGAAAAAACTAAAGTGAACCTGGAATACTTAAAATGTTCTTAACATCTCCAATTACATTTGTCGTAGCTGTTGCTGTTAATCCTAATATAGGCACTTTTTTAAAAATTCTTTTAAGAATATTCAGAAATTTGAAATCAGGACGAAAATCATTTCCCCACTGTGAGCAGCAATGTACTTCATCAATTGCTATTAGCTGTAATTTAATAGATTAATCTTGAAGAATTTTTCAATTTGCAATTACTTAAAACCTTTTTATTGCAATAAATACTGGTTTTTTCAGGAAAAAGATAAAAATTAAAACCAGAAAGAATATAGAACATAAACTTGCTAAAATATTACATAAATATATTTACCTAAAACACCCAAATGAAGCCCAAATTTATCATAAGAACATAATTTTCAATAATTTTCTTCATTTTTTAGAATGAAAGGAATAAAGAAGAAAACAAACTTTAAGGCGATTAAGCTCAGCACATTTTTCCAGTTTATTCATGATCCGCTTACTTTTAGCTAATTTTTCAGGAGTGACATACAACAAGCGAAATGATGATCTGGAATCGACCAATGCATTTTCAATTCGCTTCACCTATAACAATAATGCTTTCCGAGAATAAACATGACGGCAAAGCAAACGAATTCCTTTAATTGATATAAAAGTCTATGAAGATTTTTTAGTTATTAGGAATATGTTTTAGCATAAAACGGATCAAAAAAATTCATTAACATGGAAGAGAAACTTATAGGCCTTAATGGCTCAAGATTCAATCATATAAGAATAATGAAATTAATAAATGATATTAATAAATAAAAAATATTATTTAAGCCGCTTGTGTTTTCGTTCCTTTTCCTAATAATTAAGTTTTTTAATTTGTAGTAAAAATAATTATGAGTCTTCTAATTACATTTTTCGTATTTCTTACTTGACTTATCATTGAAATTTGAAATCCAAAGTGGATGTCAAGATCTCGCCTTCACAGTTGGGATCTTGAGATTTTGCACCCGTATTCCCAAGTACTTCTATTGAAGGAGCCATAAGTGAAATGGCATCCACAAACCGCATTCCGACACTTTTATACTAATAACAAAAGTATGCTTTTGGTGCAAGAATAAAAAAAGTTAAAAAATTAGCACCCAGTTCTATTCTGTTTATTATTATGATGATAAATTTTTCTAACAGAATCACTTGCCCAACAGGTCGTCACCACCACCCAGAGGATAAGTGTGAAATGAATCCGAGAAATAAATGGTAATTGAGTTGAAATGATTTATTTGTTCAAAAAGACTAGCAGAATCCAAAACTAAAGAAGTATTTCCTAACTATCGGGCGCTTCAGTAGAAACAGATAAAAATTTTCAGCGATGTTGCCCCGAAAATTTAGATATTTCAAATTTAGATAGTCTTATAGAAGGCAATCGAAAATTATTTCAACTTCTAAGGAACTCGATAGGTAGACAGTAAAATAATCCAAGATGATGTGTCTATAAGGTTTATATTCTCAATATTCTCAATGACGGCCTCAAAGGATAAAGTTCATCCTAAATTTAATTTGTGATCCGCCATCCGTTAAGGAATCCGTTAAGGAACGGCATTCTGAATCATTAACAGTAGAGAATCTTGAAGCCAACAAATCACTACTGTATTGCAATTGCAATTTCACACTTGAGCAGCCATAACTACTCAGCACAAAAGGCACAAAGCGCAATATATGGATTAAGATGATAGAAAAAGAAACAAATTCTTTTTGTTATTTTTTGGTAATAAAATAGGCTTGGGAATGATACTTTGTAACCAGTAGCTTTAGCCTAACCACTAATGATAAGAAGGAAAAAAAGAAACTTCTTCTTTAGTAGTTGCCTGATTTATTGTCGCTGCTTCGACATGAAGATTTCTTAAATGATATAGCTGATCTTCGATTAACGAAACCAGTGGAGAAACAACTAAAGTGATACCTAAAAAAATTATTTTTTATAACCAAGCCTTGATTTTTAATTCAAAATTCTCGCTTACCTTCAGAAAATATTGCTGGCAGTTGATAACAAAGACTCTTTCCACCACCTGTACTCATTATCAGTATTGCGTCTTCGTTCGACAACACGGCATTAATGACAGATCTGAACTATTAATTTCATTTTATCAACCAAATAAAACTTGAGGACAACAAAGATACAGATATTTTATATGGCCAATCACCGAAGGTGACCAAAAATGTATCTGAAATTGGCTCTTTATAAAAGGTATATTTGGATGGAAAATTAGGGGAATTTAGTGCGCACGAAAACAGTGCAAACAGAAGTTCGAAGAGATGCTAAGGGATATAACGAGTTATGCCAACATTTTACGACGATTGTGCTTGTCTGCAGGATCACTTCTGACTAATATATAATATTAAATTTTTTATGCCTTATTTAAAATATAAAATATATTTTGAAAACAAATGATGAATAATGATGAAATGATGAGGAGATAGGGAAAGGCCACCGAACTAGACGTCTTATTAAAAGAGCAAGAAAAACATTTTTTAAAAAGAACCGTTGAAGTGGTCGAAAGTCGTCCAAGCGAAAAACTTTGTGAAGAATAGAATAACATTTTTTAGTCCACGGATATTCATCATTTTCCCATCGTGATAACGAATCATTCACATTATCATTCCTAGCATTTATCCGTTTTTCGATCTATTTTTTTAAATAGAATTAATCAAAATTTGCCGAATTACTGGAGAAAATATCAATAAATTAATAAAATTCACAAATTTACTTGTTGAGAGAATACATCTTTCTTAAACAATTTTTTACTTTAAATAAATAAAATTTCTACGATTTCCTTTTTCGTGATATCCCATAACCTTCTTCAAATTTTATTAAATTTTATCATCAACTACTAAACCTACTAAAAATCATCACCTAATTCCTCCTAATTTCGTTATAACCTCCTCTTTGACCTCGAAATACGGTATGGTATAAAGAAAAACAATAAAAAATTCACTTACTTCACGCTTTTTTTGAAGAAGTATTTCTTTCCTTTTTCTCATTAAGCTTATATTTTCGTCAATTTCCTTCAATTCTTTTTCAACATCCATCATTTCCAACGAAAGATTACAGCCATTAATCGCCATTTTTTCTGCTAATAAATTTCAATTTTCAACAGAACGATCCTATAATTAGAATACAATAATTAAAATACAATTTAATATATCAATATATTCAAAATAAAAATATCGAAATAGAAAGAAAGAATATAAAACAATGGAAAATACCACTCACTGTCTTTATTGAACATAATTTCTAAGTTCTGTTGGCAAGAAATAAATCTACTGGATTTTAGGAAAAGCAAACACATATTAAGCAATATATCTATGTAATATACAATCGAACTGAAGTAAAATTAAAGAAAAGATTCGAAGACATTAAATACTGGAATCAACCTTATAATTATAAAAATTATGAGAATAAATTTTATTAAAAAGATAATATCCAAGCAATATATATAATCATGGTACCATTAAATAGCTAAATGATCACAAAAAATATCTTCTATTATACGAAACATATTAAATGGCACTTTGATAATATCAAATTATACAGGAACTATGTTCTATTGCTATCAATTAAGACAACAACGACAAAAATACTTGAAAATTTCCAGTCATAGATGGAATATTTTATGAAAAATCTAAAATCATCGCAAAAATTGCAGAGCAGAGTTCGATCTGAGTTTATAAAAATTTATGAAATATTCGATCTATAAAATACAAAATCTCTAATAAAGAATTACCGTAGCATCAATTAGTTTCTGTTCTGGAAAAAACTTACTTGGAGACTAAAACTACTCCTAAATTTCGTAAATGAAAATAATGCAAACCGAGAAATCATATGTATACGTAATATAGGATCTCATGTATTTCGTATTTCTGTATTTCACTCAGATTCACTCGAATTAAAAAATAAAAGCGGAAACATCCCAATAAGACATCCGGAAATTAGACCAAAAGCACGTCCTAAGTTCACTATTGTTCGCGCGAGAGTCGAATTTAACTGTAAGGAGAAAAGAAAATAAAATAAAGCAAAAAAAACAAAAAACGCCGGTGTGTTCTCATAAACTGTTCTCTCATAATAAAAAAATATAGAAAGATGGTTAAAGAGGGTTACAGAAGCCTAAACGCCTCGTTAAACTTCACTTGGAACGACCTCTGCCACAGATTATAAAATTGGTAGCATGACACCAAGAGCATCGCAGGAGCAGAAAAAGATAGGTGTGAGAATAAATAGGGATTATAGGGATTTGGCAAGTGTGAAAGACAAAAAAACTTCAGGTCTGGAAGAAATTAAGGGGTAACGGAAATATCGTTAGTGATAGTTAGTGTTTGAGGATAATTCTGCGGATAATACATTACCTTTTTCTAGCTCCAGAGAAAGGCAAATTTCTAAGAGCTGCATAATTATACCATAAAAGGTACGAAATTTAAACGAACAGTGACTAATCCACAAAACAGGATTAATTTTTCACATTTTCCAGGTCCATATGGTAAAAAAAAAACAAAATAAATCTATTGTTTTGCTCCCACCTTAAGTGAAAGACCCATCTTTTAATCAAAGAAAGAAATTCAACTTGTTTATCTGTCAGTTCAGGATGATACAGACCAAATTTTCTAGCAACTGCTTCGACATAATGTACGAGACCAATGCCTGATACATCGGAAATTGTATTTCCTAAAGCTGCAGCAGCCATTGTTGAGATTGCCAACCATACACCTATGGTCTGAATATACTTGAAATTTTACAAAATTTACTTGCAGTATCAAAATTCTTTAAGCGATTCATACTATTTCTGATTTGGCTGGCTTATGTAGATGACTTTTGCTATAGCAAAAATTAGATTCGGGCTTTTGGTTTTTTTTTTTCAAAAATTTTTGTTGAGCGGTCATTTCAAAAAATACTCTCGATTTATTTTTGTGAATTTATTTTTCATTTCTGATCACAATTCAGCTAAGTCCTCTTAATTTCTTTTTACCAAACAACGATTAAAATTAAATAAAATCAAATAAAATAAATTAAAATTAAATCAATTAATCAAATCAAATCAATTAATGAGGCGGCTGTGCTGACCAGATATTCACATTAAGAAGGGTGCTGGAACATCGCTTCAAATATCAGCAACCCAACGTCACTAGCTTTATCGAATTTGCAGCTTTCGATTCGCTTGACAGAGCAGCGCTGGAAAGTGATGGAATGTGACGGTGTCCCAGAGAAAATCTTCGACTCATAAAGGCATTTTATCAGCGTAACCTGGCGCAGACCTGTGTATATGGGGAACTGACAAACTCCTTCGAGATAAAAATTAGTGTCCTTTAGGGCTGCGCTCTTTTCCCTATAATATTCAACTGTGCGATAGCTGGATAATGGGCATCGCTTTCGACACTCAAGAGGTGTGTGAATCAGTCCAGATCATCGCATCAAACTCTTGAATACGCTGATGATGTAGTCCTTTTTGCTGACAGTTATGACGAAATGCAAATAATGCTAAATAATGTGTCAGCGACTGTAGCGAGAATCGGAATCAGGATCAATGTAAATAAAACGAAAGTCTTTTTCGTCTTAAATACAAGATGCTGATGAAATACCTTTTTTATCAATTCATCATCGATGGTTTGATTTTAAATACTTTGGATCCATTCTAATCCAAAATATCAAGATAAATTGTGATCCGGATAACGACAGCTATAAATGTGTTTTCCAGCTGATGTAACCTTTATGGAAACGTAGCGAAATCACCATGAAGACGAAAATCCGCATCTATGTAGACATGATCCGTTCGATTTTACTATATGCTTCTGAAACATGGCCAATGAGAGTGGAGGATATTAAGAAGCTATTAGCCTTTGACCATTAATGTCTAAAATATATTTTACGGATCCGTCGAACGGATAAACGCATTATTGTATCCATCTTCACTTAAACACCACCAATATTAATAACTATCACAAAACGTCGCCTTCGCTAGTTAGTTGTTCATCGCCCATTACAGAAATTGACGCAAATTTCGCCACTTGCCGAACCCCGTGATGGCAGGTGTCAAAAGCCAATGGTGGGCCAATCAAAACTTGGACTGATACAGTCAGGAAAGATTTTAAACGTATAATGGGACGAGCGATATATGGACTTAGACGATGAAAAAAAAATGGCTCTATTCCTACAGATGGCGCCGAGCAGTTTAGAGACAGTATTATCCTTGTAGCCAGCGCAGCCAGCCCAACCAGTTATGGTGAGAGCTGTTAGAAGAAGAAGGTCAAACCAACTGAATAGTTGAGCCAAATCAAAAATAAGCATATAAATCAGGAATGATAAAAACTGATATCAAAAAAACTAAACCTGATCAATATATTCTCCAGCTATTATCATAATAAAATTATCAAGGAAACCAAAACCAACGAATGGTATAGAATTTATTAAAAATAACTGTTTTTGTTGTTCTTTTGTTATTTTAACTGAAAAATTTCAATAACAGAAGAAATGAAAATAAAAATAAAAATATTTATAATTGAAAATACATAAAATAAAAACATTTCTAAAAAATTGCAAGTAAATTTCTAATTTCCAGTAAACTGCAAGTAGAAGAAGACATTTGCGAAGAAAAAATCCCTAAAAAGACTTACTAGGAATGATTCCTTGATTTTTCATAATTTTATTAAGAGCATTTGAAAGGCGCTGCTGTTCATCAGGTCGAAGATTTAAAACTATGAAACTAGCTTTGTGATCATCCTCTATTCGCAGATAATCCAATCGTTTCATGATTCCTAAAATTCCATTCAATTAAATAGACTTCTAATTCTCATCAATATTGGTTAGAATTGGCTCAGGTTACAAGGATAAGACGCAAACTATTCAATCCGCAGCCATCACCAACGGTAATAGAAGCCATTTCTTTTTCCACCATCTAAGTCCAAATGTCGCTGGTCCACCTATTTAAAATTCTTTCTGATTGTGTCACTCCAGGCCTTGATTGGCCCATCTTGATTGTTTTTGATATCACAGGGTTTAGCAAGTAACGAAATATATGTCAACTTCTGTGGTGGCACAAGGCTTCAAATATCTTGGCAATGAATAACGTGTCCATCCTAATCAGCGAAGACGATGGTGTTGATTGTCTATGCAAGTGGTATTTGAGTGAAGAGGGATGCACTTATGTGAGATATAATCCGCTCTTTGGCAGATCCGTAAAATGCATCTTAGATATAGGTGATCAAAGAAAGATAAACTTCTTCATATCCTTCATTCTCTCAACCATATATCAAGATCGAGCGAAGTGCAGCTATACAGATGCGAATTTTTAATATTGATTTCGAGTTCATAAAAGGTTTTATCAACCAGAAGAAAGTATTTAGCATTTCTAGCTACCATTATCCGGATTACAATTTCATCTTTCGTTATTTGAGATTAGAGTGGAGCCAAGATATTTGAAGCCTGGTCTTTCCTTAACCGGCAATGAACTGATAAAAAAAGGAAGGTTTTATCAAATTCTTATATAAGATGAAAAGATTTTCGTTTTATTTACATTAATCTTGAGTCTGGTTCTAATTACAATTGTCGACACATAGTTTAGCACCATTTGCATTTCGTTATATCAGCAAAAATGACTACATTATTAGCGTATTCAAAATCCTATACTCTGGACTGATTTTAAACTTCTTGAGTGCAGACAAGCGATGCCCATTAATTGCTGAACATTGTAGAGGAAAGGACATAACCTTGACGGACACCAGTTCTTATTCCAAAGGATTCAACAGTTCCTCACAGATATGTGCAGATATTCGCTGATAAAATGCTTGCTTTTATTATGCAAATGATCTTTTCTGGAACACCGTCACATTCCATCACCTTCTAAAGCACTGCTCCATCAAATGAATCGAAGGCAGATTCAAAATCGATGAAAGTGTGACAGTGGGTTCCTAATATATGAAGCGATTCCAACACTCTTCTTACGTGTATATTATGCCATTTTTCTCAGGAATTGGAAGCAGAATTGAAAAAAAAACAATAAACGAAGTGGTATGATTAAGTCCGAAATAATCCAAAATAAAAAGTGAAAAGTAAAACAAAATTGATCAGTTTATTTAAATAAACCTAAGATTAAGACTAAAATTTTAGACCAAGTTGGAATGCAGGCTCGTTATGAGGAAATTTCCTGGTAAAAAAAAGCAAGCATTTTGATTCGTAAGGTGCTCAACCAATCAACTTGGAGTCCGCGATTTATTAAGAAAACTGATAAATGTAAAATATAAAATATTAAATGGTTATGAAGCAAGGGCAATGAGGTGAAAAGAGGTACAAGGACGACTTAAGACGATACCACATTCCTGCCTAAGGCACACCCATCTATACCACTTAGTTATAAGTTTTATATGATTGATCTCCTGAATATATTTGCATCGAGAGCACCATCACAGATCTCTGCTCACATAGATCCTTCGTTGTCCATCACTGTCCCAAATGTTGCAATCAATGTTATCGAAAGCCAAAAGAAGTAATCAAGCTTTCCAAAATTTGAATAAGGAATATGGGTTTGCATGGGTTTTGTTTTTCATTTTTTAGAAAAACGAGTGAGGAAATTTTCAATTATAGCGTCGGGAAATTAGGGAACATTTGGCCATAGTGGAGTCGCCTGAAAGAAAGAAAGAGCACGAATTACTCGAAAAAATCTACCTGATGTCGAGCTTCGAATTTGTAATAATCTTATATGCAATAATTTTGACAAACTCCGTTCAAAAGCTGACCGCCCAAACATACAACTGATTCCAGCCATATAAAATTTTTTCTCTGAATATTTGATATTATTTTGTATCATTTGAAGTTTTCATCTCACAAAAAATATTAGCCTGGTGAGAACAAAAGAAATATCATCCTGCTAAACAATTAAAATAATACATCGTTGACAATAAAGACAATTGGGAAGATAGGCAATATAAAGTAACCTGTTTCTTCCACAACCTTTTTTTTCTAAAATCCGATAGAATCACTTCGCTTGCTTGCCTGTTCCACTGGACAAACTTTGCCAGACAGGCATTTGGCGACAAAACAAGAGGTGACTTGTGAGCAACATCCGGATTTCCAAAATACAGGTACTGCTACCGGAACATCAGCACTCCTCCAAAATGAGGGCAACAACCCATTGAGCTATTCTCTATTCAACTTCCAGTAATATATAAAATTTTATTAAATTCCTTTGAAAAGATAATTTTTAAATAATGCAAAAATACTTATTTCCTCCATGATAAATTTTTTTTCCTCATTCTTATCGTTTGCAGACAAATTAAATGCCAAAAAAAACACAGTACGCTATATGCTCCAGTTGCGCAGTTTTCCAATTGAATATGAAGCCTGGCAACCTTCACAAAGAAAATAAAGTATAGGCCATTAGAGAGAATGTATATTATACAGTAAATAAAATAATAGACTAATTCTAACTCGATAGACTATATATAACAGCTCAAATATCATATATCATATGATATGAAAAAATTTTTCGAAAAAAAAAAAAGATAATATTCTAATAAAACCGAAGATAACCGAAGCGAACCACGTCCAAAATTTCCAAACTGCATTCTACATAAAGAATCAAGAAAATAATGCAAAAGTGAAAAAATATTTCAATTCAAGACTGCATACAAAATCAGCTTAGTGAAAAAAATGAAGACTATATTTGCAAATCTTCTTCATTGCTTTTTATGAAAAAAATCCTTCCCGTATACTTAAGAATAAAATCTGCATTGTATTTCAATTTAGAAAATAGGCAATTTATCAGTATCGATTGTAGCCGCCACGATAGCCGCCACCACCACTTCCTCCTCTACCGCCACGAAACTGCCGATGACCACCACGGCCATCATAACGCTGACCATATTCTTGCATAAGCTACAAAAATTTTTTTATATGAGGGTTCAAAATGTTCAACTGCAAACAGAACATATAACCGAATAAAAATTTCAACCTGACTCTGAAAACTCTGAGAGCCCTGGCGGGCATAAGCATCTTGATTAGCATGATAATTACTACGACCACTACTGAAGTGATCACTACCACCACCATATCTAGCACCACCGCCACCTACAAATTTTTTTCTTAAAAGATAGATTTTCGCTAACGAATTAGAAGTCTTCGACCTATTTTTCTCGTAATTTAATAAGGTTCTCGTAATAATTTGATAAGGTTTATTATCCTTCAGATTTAGTTTCATTTCTCATACCTCTAGAATACTCTGATGTTCTTTCTTTCATCCAAGGAGGCATTTCCGGAGGAGGTGCACGCATATCTGATGGTCTGCCACCACGATCACCAGGACGATTCGTCATTAATACCTAAAATGGACTTGGCATTTAATTGTATAAAATTATATATATTTTAATAAAATTAATAAAATTATATAACAAACCCATTTTTTTGAGAAAATTTGAGAAAATTTTCTATCGAAATCCCTTAAGGAAAGATCTTTAAGAACCTCAGAAATTTCTGACTTCACTTTTAACTTTCTCGTTTTATTTCTCTAATACTCTTTCGAAATTTACACTGATTTCACCGTCTAAACCCTATAAATCTCCATCTAACAATTCTCGCCATAATTTTTCAATACTACCATCATATCTATTATTGTCTTTGGAATTATATTTTATTATTTATAATTTTACAACTGCGTCGCGACAAAATATAACAGATTATGGCAAAAAATTGTGATGATGAAGAGAAGACTACAATGGAATCTCCGATGTCTAAGTGATTAAGAATATACAAAGGATTATCGGTACATACAGGAAATTGCTACTAATGGGGCATGGCACATAAGAAAGAATAGAGTACGGTCTAACAGAGCATTAACGAAATATATTGGAGGATTGATAAGAAAATGTAACAGTTTCCAAGAAAATAAAAATATAAAATTTGGAAGAATTTTGATAAAATTTATATTTTAGAGAAAATTTTAGAGGTATCGATATGGCAGAAAATAACTTTATTTAGAGGCGTTGAAGTTCTTTCACGCAATTTCTCATTACTCGTTTTTTCAACATTAAGCAAATCTGTATTTGCTGCTAATAAATCATACATATGCACATCAGAAAATACCAGCATTCGATCACGCATTGGACGATAAATTGCAAGAATTTCATCCTGAATTTATATTTTAACATTAAGTATTTTAATTAGATATGATTGAAATGAAATGGAAATATCTGGTAAGCAATTAATGAAGGGAAAACTTATGATATTGATAAAATTGCTTGAAAGAATATTACAATGTTTTGAAGCTTTTTTTTTTTTGCTTATTTTACCTTGCTGTCACCAAGTGGATCTTTTATCATTTTCATTATAAATTTCCATTGTTTGAATAACTCAAAAATAATAACACGCCAATGGCTTTGCTTTGCTTAAACAAATAATATTCTAAAAATTACAGCTTATCTCACCTCCATCTTTTTAATGCGATCAGACCAGAAAAAAGAATGAATTGTAACATCTAGACGTTTCAGTAAAAGTTGAATACGGCTACGATATTCTTGAGTGAGACGAACATTTAATTCTTCGACTTTTAACCACTGTGGATCTTTTAGCGTAGCGATAAAAAGAGGTCGAGGCTTAATCGCGCATTTATTCAACTGATTTGTTACCTGGATTAGAAAATAGATAACACCAATTAAAATAATAAAAATTAAATTAATAAAAATAAACTTCTGTCATAGTATAACACTTCTATCATCTTCAATGCAAATAGGTGTAAATTAAATGAAACAGTAAATCGCATTTATTCACAATTATACACTGATAAAGACCGAGAAAATTAAGGTTGTATATCTGGTCAAAATCAAAGTTGTATATCTCGTGGATCTGGTCAAAAATGGTACTAAATTAGAATAGGAAGATAAAAACTTACCAAAGATCTAAATTTATTAAAAAGCTGATCAATAGTAAGATCTGGTGGTGGTGGACCAGATCCCAACGTTTTAAGGGCAATTTCTATATGTTCTACTTCGGCAGTTTTCTGCTGAAATTAAAATGCTAAAGAAAATATAAATTATAAATTTTTATAGATTTTATAAATTATGAATGTAATTTCTTTTTTGTATAGCAAATAAAGGATTATGTAAATTTTCTCTCTCAAAAAAAAACCTTAAGAGACAAGTTCTGAAGCCTCTGCAAAGCAATTAAACGTGCTGTTGGTATATGACCCGTTAAAAATAACAATAATTTCTGGCGACTTTCCACCGAAACAAATCTTTCTGTGATAGGTCCACGAACAAGAGAATCAACCGGGCATTCTTAAAATTTGAAGTTAATAAAAATAAATTTCATTAAAAATATAAAAAATGAAATTTTTTATTTATTTTAAATATATTATTTAATAATTAAAGCAAATAATAGGCTATTATTTACATTTAATTTATTGCTAAAATTCTTTAATTACCTTTTTAAAAATATAGTAAAATTAAGTTTCTATCTAACAAAATAGCTTTATTCTGTTTGAAGAAACTTTTCTTTTTAAATCTTCAATAAGGCGAAACTAAATAAAGAAATCAGAAAGCTGTAACTAACTTTAAAAGAATCTAAAACTCACTGATCAATAAGTTCTTTTAGCTCATTTCTTGGTAAACTTTATAATAATTTTTGTTAAACTTGTCGAAAACCAATTATTTCAACAGTAAAATAAAAGCGATGAAAAAAAATACATTTCGACTTAAAAAATACGTTTAAAAGATATGTTGGAGCAATAATATATTGCTAATGTAGTACGAGATCCACATGCATATAAATATATAGCACAGAGTATATATCTTCTTGTTGTAAGAGCGTCACCATCTCATTGGGCTCACTTCACTGGCTTATCAGGTCAGACAAATTTTACCAGAATCCCTTGGCGATGAGTCGACATAACCCGAGCTTTTGAAATAAAAGTTTAAATAGAGGTTCACGCCGAGCGCTAAAACTCTAGTATCGACTTTCGGAATTGACAGCAACAACCTATTAAGCCATTTAAGCCTTACGGCTAAATTCATTTAATGCACTTGATTTGATCCAAAGCTAACTAAAAAGGTAATATAAGCTCGATAGATTCCATATGTTGATGATTTTTAAGTGAATATGAATATCTAAATAATTTAAGCAAACCCAATTCATTAAGTAGTGAGCTTAATTCAAAAAGGAATGATTCGAGATCATCATGTTCTACAACTGCATGAACATCTAATTCGTACAGCGCTGACAGTTCACCACATAACCATACGACCAATTTTATAAAATCCTTGTTATTCAGTCCTTCTTTAACTGCAGTTGAAAGATTCCCTTTGGACAACGGACTATTATAACTGAAATATAATATAATATAATATGCATATGTAATGTCACCTATACCTTTAAAATTTAGACAATGATCTATTTTAAAAATATAATCCTAAAGAAAAGACGAAGAATAATTATGGAAATAAAATAACATAGAACTAAACAATTGTCAATCTTGGATTTACTCATGGTCAAGCATAGCTGAAGTTTCAGCTCAGCTATAGCCAAAATCCTTTCTTAGACCTGGTGAGACGATTAAAAAACCAAGAACTACCTGGCTGGAGCATTCATAATCCTATTACGTAGCCAGTAAGACTGGATTATATAAAGAAGCTACTAGCTTTGATTATGCGGATAAATTCACCCAGTGAATAGGTTCAAAATGCAAACGATTGCAGGTGCATTTGATGATTTTCAAGGAAACATCCAAGACACTGACTGACACAGTCAGAAGAGACCTAAGAGAGACATACAGGCCAGCCACAAGCAACTCAGCGATGCAGCACAGCGAAAAAAGGAGTGATTTCTATTTTCACTTTTAGATATGGCATCGAGACGAGTGGCTTAGACGAGTAGAAATACCTTATCGAAATCAGTGGATCAGATCCTGTGGAGCCATGGTGCAAGCTATGGTGCAAATGTTTAGAAGAAAGATTTACCCGAAAGAAAGAAGATCCTTACATAAAGCATCCCAGTTGAAATCGTTGGAATTCATTAAACACCACCAAACTGACAGACGCAAAAACAACTCTGCAAATATTGCAAATATTCAATTCAACGACACTAACAGCTTTTTTTATAACGACGATAATGGTTTCTTTTTAAAATCAAACAGTGGAAAGGTCAAAAGGTCAACCGATTGATATTCACAGGGAAATGCACTTAAAAGACAAAACACAAACAGTACCATCCATCTCCTTACCGCCTCCTAATTAGCCAATCCTAGTTACAAAAGCGGATTTTTTTATTTCGCAAAACCTTTTATGGCCCATGCACGAGCCGTTACCGTAAATTTATTGAAGGGCCGTATCTGGGTTCTTTTCAAACAGATTTTATTTCGGCCTGCTAAAGAAAATTTTTTAGAGTGGATTTGCTTCTTTTTTTTGTATTTTGAGGTTTCTTGTTTGGAAGTTGAGTAATCTGGTAGGGTACCTCAACTGCTTTCACTTCGGCCAGTACCAAGGTTCATTTTCAGTCCAAATGGCGCTGGGCTTCTCTTCAGTCCCTGGCAAAATTTGTCTGGTCCGCTAAGCAGTGATGTGAGCCTAGCCAGAAATTTCTGTAAAAAAATAAACTACGAATTAAATGATAAAAGCGCTTTTTTTGGTACTTTCTTTTTTATACAGTTAGGCTTTTTTTCAGTAAATATGTATAATGACGATGATGATGACGAAGAGTATTTATGCTATCGAGAAATTGACGGTGCAGTCGGCGAATTTCATGATGTTTATGGTTATTCAACCTCCGATCCATTTAATACATCGTTTACAAACGCAATGTCTGACCTTGCAAGTAGTCCACAACAGTGTTCAAATTTGAATTTCATTGCACAGCCGTCAACATCGGCTGATAATATTTCCTCACCATTCCACTTTAACAACGGTGATTTTTTTTTACATTTTTGAAAACTGAAATTTCATTTAAATGGCTTTTTTATCCAAGGTTTTTTGACGGCAAATAATTAGGCATTTTGGTCCATTAAGCCTAAATTCAGCCTTAACACGGTGCAGTAGATACTTGGTGATTACTTTTTTTCTTTTCCTTTTCTTTATTTCTTTTCAGATGGCATTTGGGAAGAACGAGCTGCAACTGATCCGTGCGAACATGATGAATTGGCAGCACTTTTGGCTATGAATGAAGCATATGATGATATACTGGATAATTTAATCGGTCGAGTGACGTTTGCTTTAGCAAGAAATAAGGAAAAACAGGTATGTTTCTTTAAAATATTTGATTTATTAGGTTGAAATTCTTTTTCGTCATTTTTTTTGTCATTTTCAATATATATTAAGCATGAGTATATGCATATAGAGCAGCGGTTCATTTTCTCATCAGACCTTCCTTAATTTCTTAAAATTAGTTTTTATTATTCTTTTTTGTAGTCTTCCAGTTTAAAATATCTAGTAAAATATTTAAAATGATATAAATAAAAAGCTAATAATCGAAATTTTCTAGAGAATATTCCTGATCAAAGCTAAACATTGAAAAGTTACATAGCTGAAAAATATCTAGGATTTCAAAATATCTCGTAATTTCTTTTTTTTTTATTTTAGATACTGATTAAGGCAAAAATGAATCAATCAGATACGAAATCAATGAATGATTTTCGAAGAAAATTGCCACTTTCAAGATTTCTACCTCCTTATTTTAGAGACAGCTATGATATGGTTTTTTAATTTTTATTTTATTAAAACTGGAGTTTTTCGTGAACGATTTCGATTTTAGATATCGCTTTAATTTTACTATAAATAATCGTAAAGCAGAAAACGGTGTAAATTGTGTTGAATTATGAGGGCTTCCTACAAAAAGAAGCTTCGCTTTTAACTTTATGAATGAAATAATTTTATTATCTATGTTGATTTGTAGAAAATATTAGTGGAAAATTAGTTTTTGAAGGGATATATTTTCAAATTTCATTTTAATAATTTTTATGTCGATTGTTATTGCGATTTCGATTTAATGCTTCTCTAAGCAACAGTCCATCTTATGGTCATATTTGTCAAATAATCAATTATTATAGGAACCGCCAATGAATTCTGAAGCGAAAGAAAAGTTAAAATCTGGCGAATATGATCCACTTATACGAGCTCCAAGGCGATGTTATTTGTTTATTTATTTATTTTTATATGTAAATTACTTTAAGATTATATGTAAGTTACTTTAAGTAAGAGTTCATGATCATTTTTATGCTTCCTCCTTTGGTGACAGTTTAGTGGAACTATGTTGTATTCTCAAATAATTTTTATTTTTAAATGCAGAAATTATTTAGTATTACGATGGGAAAATAATGTTTTGTCTTATTTCTATTAGGATAGGAGATATAGGTATTAGGATAGGTATAGGATAGGAAATTCTTTTCTACGATTTGCTTCGTTATTTTGTGATTGAAAAATACGAAATATCAGGATTTGTGAAAATAAAGGTGTTTTTTTTTAAACCTCTCGTATCTTCTAAAATTAGTTGAAAAAGTTTGGAATTTTTCATCGTTAATTTTTCTAATTTTTTTCATTTGCGTATGGTAATATTTGATTGCAGGGACGCCTAACGAATTGTTAAAACTAGAAAGTGGAGTAAGAAATTCGATTATTGAAATTCGCATATCTCCTTATATCCAAAAGTATGGTTTTTAAAGTTACTTTTTTACCATTCAAATTTCTCATTCCATAAGCGTTTTTATTTTCTCTCCACAAATAATAGAGAATTTTAAAATTTTAATTTGTTTATTTTGATTTGTTTTGTTTTGATTAATTTATTTATTTATTCATCATTTAATTTTAATTTTAATTTGTTTATTCATCATTTGACAATTTTTTTAATTCTTGACTTTAAAATTATAGAAAATAAAAATATTAATGACGATATTTTATTCAAAAAAACAAATTCTTCCGTTCGAAATAAAATTAATAAAGGCCACTATTGAGTTTCTAATTTGTTAAAGCGAAGGAAATAGCTAGCAATATCTGGAAAGTATAAAAGAAGGATGTTAATAAGTAAATCAAGTAAAATTAAATTTCCCAACGTGCACTATGGATCTTATCTGATCACTCGCATCGTGCTAAAGCGTTATCCTAGAATAATTGTAGTGCCTTTGCAACGAGTAGAAATTCAGGCTTCAACCCGTTTTCATTCTAGTAGAAATTCCGCATTAAATTTTTGGCCATTGGCAAGAAACTTATAATAAATATATAAGCGGAATAAATCAGCGAAGATTACCGTTACCAGCAGAACTCTACAACGATTGAATTTGATGGATATCAAATTTTGTTTCTCGCACGGATTCATTAGACGGCAGCCGGTGACACAAAATTTTGGTATTAAATGTTCTATTCTGTTTTTCATCTATTAGATATTGATATATTGGTCTATTGCTTCATTTATTTGACACGATGAATAAATTATAATCGTTAAAGCTTATCGCTTTATATCAACTCATCTGTTCAAATCATTTTTTATAGTCGATATGAATACGAAGGGGTGGTCACTTTTCGGAACTTATTGCAATTTAAATATAATTTGGTGCTGGCCTTTAATTTATTGTCATCGATCGATGTTTTTTTCTTGAGAACTGGTCCTTCAAGGATCTCATCTTCTGATATAAATTTTATGCAGATTTCACTTTTTGGCTGTTCACTATACCTCATATTCCATGTCATATCCCATCTAATGCTATATCCCATCTTCAGTAGCATCACTTTCAAATTGATTATACGTCTTTAGTCCCAGGTTTTCACGCGTAAAATATGATATAAGCATCCTGAAGATATCTTCATTGCATTACCCAGTTTTATAGAAGCCCTGTATTTCTGTATAAGTATTTATGATTTGGTGTTTCATTAGTTTTTAACTTTCCACTAGCCATATTTGTGCTTAATTTTCACTTTTCATGTGGCGTTACCTAATAATCTTTTCAGTGAAGTTACAGCTGTGAGATTTTTAGAATTATATAATTATAATTGCTGCCCAAAACTAAATTTAAATTATCGCAGGCGTGAACTGTATACAGAAAAAATCAACAATGCCGGTCGAGAAACCACATCGCAGCAAATTGAAGAATGGGCCCAGACAATTAACGAAATGAAACGCTTAATTAATTATCATAAGTTCATATATGTTCATGTTCTAATTTTTCCTTTCATTATCTTTAACTTTAAATTTTATTTCTTCTTTTATCAAAATTATCCTTTTTAGAAATCTTCCTGATAGCGAACTGTTAGTTGGTGATTATGCGGATATTGATTGGGCGAAACTGGCCAAATTAGATGTAATTTCATTATTTTTTTATTTTTTTTTATTTAAATTATTTCCAGAATTCTCCAATATCTTTTGTTTATACAAATATACAAATATTATGAGTTTCAGTTCCAGTGTAGCCGAACTCCAATGCAGTTACGTTTGAAATGGATTAATGAACAATGTCCTAAATGGTCAAAATCTCCATGGTCATTTAAAGAAATTGAAAAACTGCGTAATTTGACTAAGGCCAACTGGGTAAATTGGGATATAATCGCGGACAAACTTGGCACCCGTCGTACACCATTTCAGTGCTTTAGTAAATTTATGTCTGAACTTGCTTGTGATGTTTCAAGGTAAGAGTTTTTTTGATCAGCATTTTTGGATTTTTAAATTGAATTTTCGTAACTTTTTATCCGATATTAATTTTAATTTTAATGTATGAAACTCTTAGGATCGTTAAAAATTAGTTTCGTCTCTGTATTGCTCTTATCAGCAGTTGACGGTTGAAAACTTTCCGGGTGATTTCACTTTCAGTAATCAATAATAAATATTATTAAGCGCATACATAAAAATACCAAATAGAAAATTGAAACGATTTATCTGAGAAAAATTTTTTTTAATGCAAGTTGAGCCATAGGCAATTAAATAATTCTAACGAAAAATTTTTTACATCAGCATATTTCGTAATCATGGATCTTGCTGATTAACGCTTTAGGTATTCGAAGGCCTTAATTTCCCTATTATCCTGTTATCAAAGATTTGCATCTAAATTTATTTTTAAAAAAGTGAACAAATATTTTTCGTGGGAATTCCCTGCAATTTATAATTTTTATACGAAATTCTAGTTGGAATTTGTTTATATTCAAAAACAAATTCGGGCTTTCGAATCTTTTACACATCTTTTTCTGACTTTTGTCTTTAATTCTTTTTAGTCATTACACCAAAATCTGTAAATATATTAAATATATCTTAGAAAATTGAGGGCATAGTTGCAGTGGGTTAAACGCCTAGTAGCATTGAGCTACACCATTTACTACTGGTTTAACTGCTTCAGTTTTTTGTCAGGCATTGTTGAGAAAGAGTATGAATTGTTATTGTTGCGCTACTAAGAAATTTTGGACCGGTGAATTTTCGGTTCTTGCCGATATAAAATAATTCTTATCTATTGCTACTTAATCCTATGATCTGTTAAATAATTTTTTTCAGTAATCAACTTGGATTGACTACACTGTAACATATCTGATATCTACCCTTTTTATCCTTTTTTGAACGGATCAATTTACACATTGCACCTTTTTTATTTCGAAAAATCTAATATTTATTTAGATTTTTTTCATTTCAATATATAAAAATTATATAAGTTTGTAAATTTTTAATCGAATTATAAAGAAAATTTTTATAGGCCATGGACCAATGAAGAAGATTTCCGTTTGGTGAATCTTGTACCGATTTTAAAGGAAAGTGGCTATGTACCTTGGTATAAAGGTATATTGTATTTGAAACTTTTAATTCATTATGGAAATAATCTAGGCTCCTTTATTACATGCTGTTTCTTCATAGCTTCTTTTTCTGGAGAATAAGCTTGATTGAAGGCAAAATTATAATTTTTGTTGATTTGCTTCGAGAAATTTTTTTTATTTTTAGAGGAATTTTATTTTTGACCAATTTTAAAGAAAATTTTATGGTTTTCTTAATATACACACTGGTTTTATGATAATTATATAGATACTTTAATACTCTAATAAATTGATCAAAATGGAGATTTTTCTTTTTCAGTGTCTATGATCATGCGCGGTAGAAGCGCACAGCAATGTTACTGTCGATATAGACGAGCTCTTGATCCAAGTTTGAAATCTGGTAGATGGTCTGAAGAGGAAGACTTGGTTATTTTTTTGAGGAATTTAAATTAAATTAAAATCAAAATAAATAGTGCCATACCATTTCATAGTTTTCAATATTTTTACCATGAAATGATTATTTACATAGAAGTCAGCCAGTCCTAAGCAAATCATTTTTTAATTTTTTGGCGTCTTCATTATTGTCACTTTTCTTCATTGCATTGTTATAGCATTGATTCAGATGTTAACTTGCGCTGTTTGTCGTATTGGTACAAAAAATTGGCTAAAAGTGGCCAGTTATGTCCCAGGTAGATCTGATTCTCAATGCAGAGAACGGTAAATCGTTTGCTTTTTTTTTCATTCTAGTTATTTAATCATTTTCTTGAAATTGAGCGTTGTTATATTAAAAACGGTTGAGAGGGAGATATTACATGAAAAAATTTTTGATTTTCCCGGTTAAGGTGGGTGAATGTGCTTGATAAAAATATCAAGGATGAGCAATGGACTGTTGCAGAAGATACGAAACTTGTTGAAGCAATAAATCGATTCGGCCGAGGTATTTTTTCAAATTATTTCGACGAATTGTCGCATTATTTCACGACAATTTTTTTAATTGAAATGCGTTCACTATTTTTGGTTAGGCCCAAATTTGACCACGTTTATATCAAGACCATTTATATCATTAAATATTAGTCACTTTATTTTTTTAGTTTTTTAATTTTATTAGTTAATATTTTCCGATTATTTTAGTAATAATATTTTTGTAATAATATTACTTAATTTTTTTAAATTTTTGAATTGGAATTACAAAATAATTGATAGGAGGTTCTCATTTCAAGGAAATCTTTCATTTTTAATTTTTCATGAAATCCTTAAATTTTTCTTAATAATAAGAGACTAATATTAAGAGATTCTATTTTTTGATATTATATACGATTTATATTTAGGTGAATGGTCTCAAATTGCGACTTGTTTGCCGGGAAGAACACCACTTCACTGTAAAAATCGTTACAGATCTCTCGCAGCTGCAAAAATGAGGGTGTTTCCCTATTTATTTTATTTGAAAATTTCAATTCCTTAGGTTGATATAAGCAAGATTAGTCATTTTTGTTTTATGACTTCATTTTTTGAAATTTTAATTTATATTAATTATTATATTAATTATATTCAATAGAAAGTAAACAAAAACTAATAAAATAATGAAAAAAATGTAGCTAAAAGGATAGATATGACAGATTTTTTAAAAGGGCAAATTGCTTGATTTAACCTGATTTTTTGACATAAACTGTACGTAAAATTTCAGTTATTAAATAAATTATTATTATTGGAGGAAAATCTTTTCCAGATATCCAATCTGTTTGATATTAGTCCTTTGTCGATATTGCGTCCTTATGATTATAAGAAAAGAATTGCAAGGCGTGAGAAGGTAATATTTATAACTGTATTTTCCCATATTTATTTCTATGCAATAAAATAAAGTATTTAAATAATGGTTAAGCTCAATTAAATATAAGTAATTTGTTGATTATTTTTAGGTGAAAGCTCAATTTTTAGCGCTGTTGGCAGCAGATGGTAACATAGAAGCAGCTGAACAAGTGCTAAATCGTTTTAATATGGTATTATATTAATTATATTAATTATTTTATATTTTATAATTATTATAATTATTATTAATTATTATATTAATTATATTCAATAGAAAGTAAAAAAAAACTAATAAAATAAAATAATGAAAAAGTTGTAGCTAAAAGGATAGATATGACAGATTTTTTAAAAGGGCAAATTGCTTGATTTAACATGATTTTTTGATATAAACTATACGTAAAATTTTTTTTATAAATAAATATTTTTTAAAATATCCTTTAGTTTTTTTCGCTGGTTTTCAAGTAATTCGAGTGATGCTGGCCACCCCCTTATGCCAGATGACTCCCTGGTAAAATTTATCTTATCCAACAAAGCTGGCGGGGCGAACTTGTATAGAAATAATGAATTCTCTTCAGAAAAAAATCTAATGGTATATCATACCAACCATGATGCTTCCAGCCACTCGATAGGAATCTTTCAAGACAAATTTGGGCGTTTTTGGAAGTCCCTATGTTTTAAGCATGTTTGGATTCTTTTATTTCAAAAAAGAAACATTTACAATTTTTTTAGAGTGCTATAAATATAGGAGATATAGGAGTTCAATTACCAGTTAATCAACGCGATCAATTTTCCTCGAACTTGCTTAACATTGAAAAGAATGCAGTGACTACGACTATTGACGATAACCCCGATGGAATGTTGCCAAAAGATATGGAAGCCGAGAAGTAAAATTTTGGATCTGGATTTTCCTATTTCTCCTACATTCCTATTTTGACTTCTTTTTCTTTGAATTAAATGAATTAAATGAAAAAATTGATTAAAATTTTTGGATTTTAAACGATATTTATACATAGTGTTTCTCTTATATATAGTTCTAATTTTTAATTTTTTAATAAATTTTGTAAGTTTTAAATTTTTTTTGTTTTTTAAATTTTCTAATCGGTCTATATCAAATAGAATTGCTTCCCTTTTTACTATGTCTATGTATATCTATACCTTTCATTAAAAGTGGAATATGGATGGCTAATGGAGATTTACTTATGCCTTCACTATATCACTTCCTAACAAAAGAATCGTTAGCCAAACCAAAGATTACGTACATTGTTTCATAACAATTTTGTTTTTTTTTAGAGATATGTTTAAAAAATTATTTATATTTGAAATCTTTCTTGACTTCTAAGAAATTTTACCGCGAAAACGTTAGTTTTTATTAATGAAGTTATATTTCAGATCTGATTATTCGCAATATGTTACAGATTTTGCTATATTAGATAAGAAATTGAAGCATCCTAAATACATTCGCCTACGCTCCACTTCTTTGTTAAATGCAGATGAAAAATGCCACTTTGATGAAAAATTGGCAGAGCTAGAAAATGAAGAAGTTCAAAAGAGAATTTTTAAATAAATTTTTAACGATTAAATTAAATTTTATTGATCCAAGCAATTAGTTCCACATCTTAATTTTCTAAAAGTTACGGCCATTCTAGGCGAAACGACAATTTTTAACTGATTCACTGTGTAATTTAATCGAACGCATTGAAAGCACAAAGAGTCAATCAAATTTATTATCGATGAAAAGAATTGTTCTGTCCAATCAAATCAAGGATATTTTTTATAAAGTAAAGGGATTTTTTGCTATACTTGATCTTCATAAATGATTTTCATGATATACCTTTCGAAAGTTCTTTTAAAATTTTTATCGGAATTCACAGTATTTGTTTTTTTCTGTTTTTTAAAATTGTTTCAGTTTTTTTGATTGCAAAATTTTCCGTTAATGTTTTAAAGCGATTTTCAGATTTTGATTGAAGAAATCAATGACAATATTGCTGAAAATAAAAAAATGATGCCACTTTGGCCGTGCATAGCTTCAGTCTCTCTCAGCAATTCTATTAAAGTCTTATATTTGCTTTTTATTTGCTATATTTAATTTTGACTACAAATCCGACTGGAAATTTTTTTTTTAAAAGAAATCCATAAAAATCGAATTTCATTAGGAAAATTTTTTTTATTTAATTTTTTCTTTATTTAATTTATTTAATCTTTTTTGTAAAGATTTCTATTTTATGTTATTTATTTCCAAAATATTTTATTTTCAGGCTTTCCGACCAAAACTTTGTGAATTGACGGAAAAGCATTTTGATCGATTTGAGCCGGTTATTTTTTAACTCAACTGCATTTCTCTGTCTTTTTTTTGCATTTTTGGTTTTTTTGCAAAAATCCATTTTACTTTTTTGTTTCATTGCCTTTTCACATAATTTTAGTTATTCATAACTAAGATTTTAGGGTACTGATTTTTTCAACATTCGTCTATCTAATCAGATGGTACAAGAACCAGAATATATTATGTTGAAAGTAATTTTTTTTCAAGTTCAAGGAGTAGAATGGTTCAATGAGTTGTTCAATCATTTTAGAGCACCATTCCCGATATCTCTCAAAAATTGGGGTGGTGATGGCAGCTTATTTAATTATTTTCTATCGCCAAATGACTCCTTGGAAAAATTTGTCTGATTCTATAAACCAGTGACGAGCCTAAGCAGACATTTTTATGACCAAAAATTTCAAGAAAAAAATTTTAGAAAAAAAGTTTTACATTAAAATAAATTTTTGGAGCATTTATTTTTTCTGGAACATTTACCATTATTTTTCAAAAATTTTTAAGAATTTCAACCATATGTCATCTTATCTTAAGATCTTAAGATTCAATTACAATTTATTATAATAAATTATTATAATTTTAAATTGCAGCAGATATTAAACTCGATTCAGTAATAGGACTCACAGTACATTTTGCAGGCCAAGTTACGTTCATTATTATTTTGGCCGATGATGTTGGATAGAGCGATTGAAAGTGAAGAATCTGCTAATAAACGTGTAATGCTTCGTCGCAGAGCTGATGAACTGGATGCAGAACGAGAAAAATTATATTTCCTGAACCAAGAGCATGATCTGCAAGATGATTCGCTTGATCGTTTGCAAAGGGAATCTAATGCTACAGTTAAAGATTTTCTACTGAAATTTGGAAATAGAGATGTATGTTTTTATCGAAATTTTTGGAATCTATTTCTCATTCGTACATGTTTACAATAGGCTCCTGAAATGTTTTTTACATTAATTATAATATATTATTATATGTTATAATATATAATATATTATTCATTTTTATGCTAATTGACTATACTTTTTTCTGTTTTATCAATATATCCAAAAACGTTTGGAAATATTGTTTTTATTCACTTATTACTTATCACTTCATCCTTTCTAGAAATTCAAGCGACTTGAAACTCGTTTGGCAAGAATTGATCTCTGCATTAAAGCAGTTTGTGATAAAGTTGATGCTATATACGAGCGCGAATTTTCAGATAAGGCAAGTTGAATTTCGTTATTAATAAGTTGAATTTGAGTAAAATTTAAAATTTTTTTGCTTTAAAAATTTAGCTCTCTTTTAATCTTTCTATTAATCTATTTCGCTTTGTTGCAGAAAGATAATAAAGATAATACAAAAAATTATGAAAAATCCGGAGATGATTCAAACTATATAAAAAATAGTGGCGAAGTCGAAGCTGACACATCTGTAATAGGTGATCAAGAATTTGAACGTTACAGTTTTCAAAAATATTTATCATATTTTTTCAAACTAAGGTTTTTACTTTGTCGTCCAGAAAATGAATTCATTTTTTTATATTTTCAGATTTATCGAAAGAAAACTGTGATGAGACTGCAATGAGGATGAGAAAGAAAAGAGAAAAGGAAGTGTCTAGTAAAAAGCGAACAGCTAAACAATTTATTAATTCAGAACTGTCAAAAACCATTGAAAAATCAGCGATTAAAAACAAATATCGAAACATTAGAGCGGGAAAATGTAGAGTTAAATCTGAGAATTCTGAAAATTTCAACTCGAACAATCTAGGCAGTGGTGAAGTTCTCTTAAACATATCAGAGGTCAATACAGAAGTGGATAAAGACATAAACCAAGAAATAGTGGACATTGTATTAAAAGGCACCGAAACTAATGACACTGATAATAAAAATAAGATTGTTGGCAAAGAAGAAAAAATTACAAGGCAAAGAAGATCCGAAAGATTAAATAAAATACGTCAAACGGCAACAAATAACAAAGCTATTGAAAATAAAGGAGATGAAGGGAGACAAAAAAGAAAGCGATCTTCTGTTAACAGTTGCGAAAATTGGAAGAAAAAACGGTCGAAAAAAATTTAAAAGGGTGAAAATTTCTGTTCGATCATTTTGTGAGAAATTCTAATTCAGGCAATAGATACTGCAAAAAAAAGTGGTGAAAAGAGTTTTGCAGGTCGTATTATATAAAAAGCTCGAGTAGGTGAAAAAATGAAGAATTAGATATTTCTTTGAAGAAACTATTCGGGCCTAGGCGCTTGTGAAAATATTTGTAAGTGCCACCGTATCACCACACATTCGCAAAAGGGATGAGAAAAGGAATAGGGAAATAAAATTCCACAATTATTTACTAAACAAGAATTCGTTTGTTGATAAGATTTCACAGGATCAATAGAAGAGATTCTTTTTTTCTGTTTATTTGTTCCACATTTTATTTTTTTGCTAATGGCACTGAACGATTTCTGGTTCGTTTGACTATTGAATGTTAAAATGAAATCCTTTCGCTAAAAAATCATAGAAGTACGGGAGAGGATTTTGATATTGTAAAAATATAGGAATTGAACTGTATTGCTTAATCTCAGCCAAAGCAAAAACCATGCATTTCTCATGTATTTTACCTAATATATTTTAAGTAGGAAATTTTTGTACAGAATTTGAATATTTATTTCTAAAATTGATGGAATTTTCGTTTTTATTAAAATGAAGTAAAATTTTCTTATTCATCTTGTTTTTTGCATTTTTCGATCAATTTTTGGCGATTTCATTTTTCACTGTTTAAATCTATTAAAATCTCATCAATTTATGACATTTGAAATTAACGAGGATTTTTATATATTGGGTAAGGATGGTTTGAGCCGTCGGCTGAGCCGTTGGTGTGAAGTGTGTGCCAAGCGTGCTTTTTACTAGGATTAAAGTTATTCTAGTTGTGCAATGGTCTCGAAAGACGAAATAAAAAAGTTGATTGAAAAAAGAGATAAACTGGATCAACGGATTGCCGAAAATGAAGAAATTTTGAAAGCGGTAATGACTTTTTGATAATTTGGCAAAATCAGTTTTGCTGCTTTATATATTGCGAGGTGCTCAGTTTAATTTTGTGTGCATTTTTTGCAGAACGGAGTTGATATGAAAACTGATTTGGTTGATGAGGAAGGTTATCCGATCGCTAGTGTGGATATAATGGCGGTGCGTCAAGCTCGAAACATAATTATTTGTGCAATGAATGACAGGAATCAACTGACATCTGATATTGAAAATGCGTTACATGAATTGCATGCGCAAGTTAAAGACTCCTTGGACGAATCGAGGTACCCATTGAATTTAACTAATTTGAATGAGTTGCACATCTTTGAATAATTGAAATAGTCGAGATCATTGTGAAATTGAGATATTTTCTGAGATATTTTAATTGATCGAAACTCGAATTAGCCGCGTTTCGAATCTAATTTATGGGTGTTGTCCGCCGTAATTTTTTTTTCCTAAGATTCATCATGTCTGGTTAGGCTCATTTGGCTGGCTTTTCGGATTAGACAAATTTTACCAGAGAGTCACTTGGTGATTGGTGACAGAAGTGTTTGTGAGTCATCAATATTGTCCGGATTTTTGAAAAAGACAGGTCCAGTCTTGATGGAACAACACTGGCACTTCAAAAGCAACAACCCAGTGAGCCATTCCTTTCCTAGCTGTATAATTGTTATTAAATTATTCTTCATCCTAGTCTGTTTTATCTTTTCGTTTTCACGTATTTTTGTTCATAGATAAAAAGATTTGATTAAGAATGATTTTATCGCCTTACTTAATTGTAGAGATGAGGTACCATAGTAAAAATCAGTTTTTCTATGGCACCTTATCTTTATAATTTACATATTTTTCTTTATTATGTAGGGCCTTCCAACCCAAATTTGATAACGTTTCGTTTATTTTAGGCAACAACGATTTATTTTATTTTTATCTATTTTTATCACTTCTCATTTAATTTTAGCATCACGATTCATTTAATATTGATAAAAAAGGACAAAATTTTCTTTTAAGCGGTGAATACCAGCAAATGATAAAGTATTGTTAATTTTGTGCATAAAAATCGAATATTATATGCTAAATATAATATCCTGAAATCTCGAGGCTAAGAATAGGCCAATAGAATACATCCAACAAGAATTGAATAAATAAAGATGATCGTAGATTTTATTAGGAACTTTATTTCCTACACACCAAGAAAAGAGGGTCTCCATTCATATCAACGAGGTTTCCATTATTAAAAATCATTCAAAATCATTTTTTAACATTAGTTTTTGTATTTTTATATTTTCAATAATCCTACTGACTTTAATTTCGGCTTTTGTGAATTTTATGGATGAGAAATTCTCTACCTTAATTTTTCATTAGGTCATTTATTTCTTAGCCCGACTTTGCCATCTGTGCATCGGATAAGCAATCGGCCTTTTGCAAAAATCAAGCAAGTCACTCCCGGATCACCTGCGGCAAATGCGGTATATATCTTTTTCTTTTATTTTGGAGTGTTATTTCAAGTGTTTCAGCTTTTAGCTTTTCAGCTTTTCCTCATTTTGATTAACTATTTCAAATTTACTTTTTATTATTGATGACAAATTGCTTTAAATTTCTGAATATTTTAGGGTTTAAAAGAAGGTGATTTGGTAATACAATTTGATTCGTTACATGCTGACAATTTTAATGATATTAAGCAGTTGAAAACAGTTGTCGAAAATTCGATTGGGGTGATCTCTTAAAATTTAAATTTCATTTTGCATTTAAATAATATGTTTAAACTTGTAAGTTAAATCTTAATCTACCAGCTTTTTCTTTAAAATTAATTTTTTAAAAAACTTAAAAATTTATGAATTATAAATTATTGTTACAGAAAATCATACGAATAACTGTCACTCGACAGTACGCACCTCATAAGCTTGAGCTTATTCCTAGCTTATGGTCAGGACCAGGTTTCCTTGGCTGTTCTGTTCTTCCGCTTAATTCTGCACAAGTCATTTAGGACCTAACCAATGGACCTTTTTGAGTTATAATCATATGTAATATAGCTGCGATAACTCTTGAGAAAATGGATTGCGTTCAAAGCAGTGTTTCATTTGTGTCTATAAATTTTTTTACTTTTTGTTTTTTCTCTCTTACAGAATTTCATTATTTCGTAGAGAAAGAATGAAAGAGAAATATAAATTATCATCATTTATCTTGGAAATACAACTAAATTTTTTGAATATGACTGGTTACGGATCTACATATGGATGGTCGTGATAAACTTCCAATAATAATTACTGGTTTGCCAAAAACCAGTCAGCAGTCTGAATTTTGTTTCCAAGTTTTCTTCTTTCCTTCCTTTCATCTAACTAATAGCTCGTACATGGTTATGTACATGGAATTTTTGTTTTCTTTTGCTTATGTACTATGCAAAGCTATTATATAACGAGATTAACGTCTCTTCTTCGAGTTGATTTCAAATTGTCATTTGGCTAAATTCATTCATTCTTTTATAAATGTCTTGTGATTTTTTTAGAGGTATTTTTAATCGGTGTTAAAGAAATATTACATAATTTTATCTCCCGTAAAATTATTCTATTCCATTTTATCATTTTTTTTGTTTTTCATATTTTTAATAATATTAAATAATTTTTAATAATATTTAATATTAATATTAATTAATATCGATGTATATGTATAAATATCTTTTATAAAATTTAAAACAAAATTGCGTTTTGTGAATTTGAATGGGATGGTTGCCTTTCGTGAAAAATATTGCTTTTCGATGGATTAAGTTGAGAAGATGTGAGGCCTATAAATTTCTTCGTTAATAATGTTCGTACATTTTTCGTCTTCCTTTTATCGTCCTCACAATTAATGCCAAAAGGACAATGGTAAAGATGATTACTAATTGGGTTCGTTGACAGAGTGATCCAGTCATTTATAGGATGTTGACATTTACTGAATTCCCACATCTGAAAATTTGAATTTTTTGACAAAAATTTAATTTGAGTATGACCTTTTCAATGAATTTACAATTTTTAAGGTTTAAGGCCTCCATACTATGAGTTATGCCTATACTAAAGGCGACAAAAAGAAATCCACAAAACATTCAGGTAAAACCGTAGGATGAGAATTTTTTGTCATAGACTGGGTCGGTGGTGGATGTGAGTCACAAATAATAGTATCCTAGGTTTCAACACGCCGAGGAACAGAGACTTAACGCTGAATGTTTCAGCCAAAGCAATGCCCAGCTCTAACCAATTGACAAAAGCCAGTTAGCTGAAATTGCATGAAATAATTAGTGAAATGGTGGTAGCGCTGGCGGTGATTTATAATGTAAAGAAATGTGAAACTTACGAAACATTTTCTAAACCAATGATTTGTATCTGATTTCATCCATTTTATATGCACCATTGCCAAGTGATTGAAATAAATGAAACAGAATTTACGCATTTGTCGATTAACAGCTGAAAGGCAACGAAGTGAACCACTGTCGAGATAATCAACGATTGCATAAAGCACATCGAACGGCATTTCACACATCGAATAAATCGTAGCGTTTGGCTCTTCGTGGACGTTTTCCACCTCCGAACCGCAGTGAACCACACTTGACGTATACGAATTGTATCTAAAAATTAAAGCATTTGAATGCGGTCGTTGAAGTAATCAACGGAGACTTCTTGTAAACGCATCATCACCATTCGCCACAGTTCAAGTGCGCGAACTGCAGACTTGTCCTGCAGATTTGTGTATGTCCTGGCACACATTCTGATTTATGTGGGCATAATTTCCTACGTAATGCATAATGCGTAATACAAGGCCTTCCTATTTTATTTTAACCTTTAACCCTGAAACTAAATGAATGGCTTTTCAAAATCGAGTGAAAATCAATCTGTTTATTTATTATTTTATGGTTTCTTTCTACTGAACTATTTCGCCCTCTTCGCTTTTGCCGTTCGATGACATCGACATTCGGCGAAGCGAGTTAGCCGAATCCGAACGCCACGAGTCATCTAAAGTTCATCTCTCCAATTTAGCATTTTTTGCTCATCGAATAAATTCATCTGACCTTAATGATCCCCATTTAGGCTTTTTTTTGTGGTAATAAAATGGACATCCGGAAGGAAACGAAGGACATCTACCGATAAATTCATCATTTTCCATATGCGAAAATTTATAATGATTGCTATATTCATCTCGACGATAACAATCGTTACAAATGAACGTGTAAACTGCAATTCCTTTTCGTACGAATGGCAAATTCTCATCCTTCTTAACAAACATCGATATCCTTTCTCGAATAATGTTCACCTATATCATAAATTATTATTTCAAAAGAGTACACGAGCAAAATTTTTGGTTCAAGAATTTTACTGTCGACCTAATAAAGACCCTAAAATCCTAAGTCTGAGGTCCTAGTGTGAGGACTTTATTTTAGTGTAATGATAGATTCCAATCAAAAGGATTGCAAATGAAGAATCGCAGAATGTGCTTTTAATCGAGCTCTTTCCCCCCCCCCCCCCCCCCTCCTAGCCGATACAATATAAACTACCATATTTCCAATCAAACTAACCAAAATGTGACAAAGAAACTGAAAGAAAATCTATTTACAAAAATTCTGCGTTCAAGATAAAATCGAGGAATTGAAGTGATTTGAATTTGTGGCAAAATTGCATCCAGATTGTCTTTTTCCGACTGAATGTAATTTCCAAGTGTATGTAAGTGTTGACTTGATGGATCCGTTTTGCAAATGTAGCAGTTTTCGAACGGTGATTTCTTTTTTTTCAGTTGCAATGCCTCAGAAAAATAATAAATATAAATTTTCGGTAAAAGACTATGAATGACTATGGGTAATTACTAAACCAACTTTTTTAGGAATCACCCAAAGTTTTAGGAATTTTACATTTGTAATGAAGAAATTTCAAAGAAATTTTTGACCAAATTGGCATTCCCAAATTTCAATGTATCATAAGTTTTAGAATGAAAGTTCTGGCGAAAAAATTCTACCTTAGCTCGATTTTCATCATCACTACTATCTTCATCAATGAATGTTTCTTGCTTTTGTAATGCGATCCTTAGAGGTAACGGAGGGTGACAAGGATTATGATAATCTGTTAGGCGTTTACGATCTTGGCGACTTGTGCGATATGAATCAAGTAAAACTTCCTGAAAAACGGCAAAATATGTCATAATCCAGGCGGTGAAAAATCTTGTTTTGATGCGAGCACTCTGTGATTTGATTCAAGCTGGTATTGCTTTAGCTTCACCTTAAAAGATAGTGGATTCGCTGATAAGTAAGGTTGGGAATTTCGGCGGAGTTGCCATTCTTTTTGCTACCATTAGTCCACTTTTAAAGACAATTTTGGTTGTCGGAGCCACAATGTTCCTTTCTCAGCCGAAATCAAATTTAAACCAAAATCAAGTAAATCGTTAAACAAATTGTTCAAAGTTCTTAATGCTTTTCTTGCATTTACATAATAATAAAGAAATTATTACTGCAAAACTGGTTTTACCTGATCTCGAACAGTCTCACAAATGTCAATCTCTGATGCATCGATACGAATTCGATCGCTAAATTTGTCGAGGCCCTTTGCGAAGCGTTTCATTTTACGCTTTGCATAGCTGCTAACCACTTTCCGATTCCACTGAATGGCACAGACGACTACCGAAGCGCAACATCTGTGCAAATGTGTAGCAATTTTATCTCGAAAAATACGTTTCCTACATCCATACGTGCTATTCGGACAATATACCAACACCTTTAAGCGTGTTTCTAACTTAGCTGGTGAATTAATGTAGGGTGGATTGGCTTTGTGGGTTGTTTCAAAAGTTTAAACGATCATGGAAATGACCATAAAACGGCCTATAAGGTGAAATTAGGCTATTTCACCATAAATAAGCCATCGTTTAGCTGCGATTGCTATGATTCACCCGTCAGCCAATTTTTAAATAAAGGCTTTGCCAATTTAAAAATAAATAAATATTGTTTAAATGGTAATGTAAAAAAAATCACCTTAGGGCATATAAGAAAGTGGTCTTCTAATTTGCACGCATGAAGTCGAACAGAACATTCCGGGCAACAAATAATAAAACATTTATTGTAGTTACAGTCAATCCGATAACAATAAATGCAGTGTAAATGATCATCGATTTCCAGAGAAGCATCCATAATTTCAGCGAAATAAATTGTCCGCGAAAAAATGGCAAATTCACTGAAAATTCTCTTAAATTCTTAAAAATTTGTGCAATATTACATTTTAAAAAAGCGTTATATTATATTATAAGAATTATCAATAAAATTTATTTACAACTTTTAATGAAAAAATTTTTAGATTGAAAAATTTATTTATTTATTTAACCTTTGATAGTTTTGATAATTCTTCACCGTTGATTTGATTTTAAAAAATGGTGTCAACAAGAATTTTTTATTTTAGTACCAAAGGCTTCGATCGACAACCACTTATTTCTGTTGATAAATTTATCCTAACACGAGTAAATAATTTTTCATATAAAAGTATGAAAATCTTGTTTTCTTCGTTGACGAGAAACTTAATTTCGACCTATACAGCAGACCCATTGCAATTTTAAACCCCATACTTATCAGTAAGATTGCTTTCTTAAAATTTATAGGTCTAAATTTAGATTACAGCAAATTAGCAAAGTTAGAAAGAGAATAGAAATATATCGCTTAAATCCTAGGCTCTCCTTTAGAGAGACGCTTGGTCTCTACTACTTTCTTGGCCAAATTAAAACTAAATCTATACAACCTTGATTTACTAATAGAAGAATTAAACAAAATTTGAAGATTTTTGGAAGATTTACAAGATTTTATTCCGTCAAATCAAATTAAACTGTGCTAATTATTATGATTTCCACTTAAATTTTAATACCAATAGAAGTAATGACCTGAAATTACAAAACCATTAGTATTAATATGTGGTGAAACGAGGTACCATGGGATTTCTTACCTCATCGATTTTAAAACCAAAAATCTATCACCATCCACCATCAGCAAGATATCGCTTTTCGATCTTCGGTTCGCATTTGTATTTAAATGAATATTTTTAAAATATTTATAAAATATTTATTAAAATGAATTTTTAACATATTAATAATATGATAAAAAAATAAATACAATAAATTGTAAAAAAATTTTATTTGTGAATTTTAATTTTGTTAATTTTGCTATTTTTTTAAAATTTATTATTTTAATTTTATTCTTTGATTGAATTTAATTTTATTAATTGTTAATTATTAATTTTTATTAATTATTAATCCTTATAATATAATATAATTAGTGCTGAAACAATTTTTAATTATAATTTTTAAATTTAATAAGATGAATTTAAATTTAATTAGCTAATAATAAATTTAAATTATAAAAATAATATTAATTAAAATACCATTAAGTAAGAATGAAATAAATAAAGTTTTAAGGGGATCAATGACTTCATCATTATCACTAAACAACTGCGATAACCGCCCAGTTTTTTCCTAAATTATCACCGAACTTTGACCCGAGGATGACTTTTGTGGAAAAAAATACTAAAAGCGATTTAAAAAATTGCCGAATGGGAAAAATCTAAAATTTACCAAGAACGTAATCAAGTAATTTTTTAAAAATTAATGTTTCGAACATTCACTGCAGAAAAATTGGGGAGAATAAGGGATAAAAGTTATAATCGGATCGCAGTCGACTTCACCATTATTTATTGATCAGAAACATTACACTGTAACCCTGCTTTTCTTGTTATCATTTTATTATTTTCATTACTATCACTGATTCCTTTTTTTAAAGAAACCTCACCATTGGAGTCGCTCGACTGGCTTGCCGCACTCGACAAATATGCCGGGGAGTCGATGGAAGCACACGTGAGTCACCAGCAGCACTCCCATTTTTGGACCTCAATGGAACTCCCGCCGGTAATAGAACGTCAGCATCGCCACTCTAAATTAGAGCAACAACCCACTGAGCTATTCCTCTCACCAATATTGTTGATTATTGCCATTAATTATTGCAATTTCTTATTACTATGATTAGTTATTAACATTAATAACATTTTATTCTATGAGCATTTTGTTATTATTCTATTATAAATTTATTGTTTATTGGTATTAATATTATTATTGTTTATTAATTATTAATTATTATTATTTATCATCATTATTTGTCATTATCATCTGCATTACTTATTATTGTTTTTTATAAGAACGCTCACAACTCTCACTGTTGGTTAGACTTCCTCAGCTGGCTCATCCGATTTGCTGAGGAGTCACTCAGAAGTGCAGGTGAGTCGCAAGCATCTCCAGGATTTTTGGAAGTTTACTCGTATCGAGAACTCCAGCACTGGCGTTTCGAATTGAGCCATGCTACGCCAATTATTATTTATTATTTATTTTTTATTATTAATAATAAATAATTTTTAATAATTTAATAGTCTGTTAACAATTAACAATTTTTATTTATCATTATTAGTACTGTTACTGTTACTGTTGTTATTATTGCAAATATTGTTGTTATGTTGGTAAACCTCTTGGTTGAAGAGTATTGAAAAAATATTTTATCAGAATAATTTATTACTGAATTTTATTTTGTGCAAAGTATTTATATTATCAATGAAAAAATATCGGATGAAAATGGTTTCGGTAAATTTTTTTTTTTAAACTTCTTGTCGAAATCGTTGTGGCATTACAGAGGGTTTGTACAACTAGATATCAGATTATTTACAGGATTGATACTGATATCTGCTCGTACCAATAACTCTTTTTCAATGGCTCCAGTCAAATCAGGCGTAAATCCCTCAAAGTAGCAATATCGCATCATTATCACTTTTCTTATTATATGCTAATGATATCATCAAATTTGTGTTAAATTCTATCATTTATCTTTATGTGAAGGCTGTAAAATTTATTATTATCATGGTAGATCGGATAGCAATTTTTTTTTTTTTCACTAGAGTGCTTCACTAGACAACTGGTTATACGCAAATTATTTAGAAGTGTGGCGCATTACATAAAAATTTGAAAGGAACTCATCTCTCTAATCTCTTTATTAACGGTAACATTTTTTTTTTTTAAAGAATTTTACCATTACTGATTAAACTAGTTGCACTGGCTTGTCGACTGGACAAGTATGCCAGAGAGTTTCTTGGCGATAGAAATACGAGTCGCCACCATCACCCAGATTTTTGGACAGGTTCATTCCTGCTGGGAATTGAAACTTAGTATTGGCGATCTAGATTGAGCAACAACCCACTAAGCCATCCTATCCTATTAATGGTAACAGTCAGACGAGTCTCGAATATCTCAGACCTTGGCATAGTTGTGAATGAAAATCTTGTTTTCGACTTTCACTGCAAAACCAAAGTAAAAAAGTCCTCAAGAATGTTAAATTTTATGCTTTCTTATCGAAACATACAAAGCATTCGTTCGGCCTCTTTTTGAGGGCAATGCACTGTTGTTCTCCGAGATATGCAAATCAAGTATCAAGTAAATTAATTGGAGGACTCCAGAAATATTTTATACATCTATTTCTACATTCTTAATCTCAATTATAACTCCAACTATATAACGTAAACTCCATCTTTGCCGAATTAAACATTTATAAAATTTATAAAATTAAAAAATTCTATATGGTTGCATTAAATTAGATTGTAAAATATTTTAGATAAAATTTCAACCCAACAAAGTCTAAGGGGCTAAAATTATCAAAACTTAAATGCAAAATAAAGCATTACATTTTCATTCGCACCATGAATTACTGGAATAAATTTCCAAATGACGTAATTTGTGCATCACCCTTAGCTATTTCTAAGATTAATGATATTAATGATATCATCATCCATGATATTATTTAAAAAATTAAAATTACAAGGTATTTTGAGATATTTTGAGACCTTCATCATCTATCATTTATCATTTATATACTGTAATATGTATCAGTAATACATTCAGTTCGACGTGTGTTATTCTTTAATTTCCCTTTATTTGTATCTTTTTTTACATTGATCACATCTCTTGATCACATTCCTTTGGTATTTTATGTATTTATCACTAATTTCCTTCATTGACACCTTATTTTATCGTTATAAAAGCACATAGCACTTGTCATCCTGTTGGTTGCTTCAAATAAATTATAAATAAAACAGTTCGAACTATATTGAAATATCAAATATCGAAATATATTGAAATAACATTTTGCATACGATAAGCAGGCGAATAAAACCATATGCTTGTATAAAAAATTAAAAATAGAAAAAACAGAACAAAAAATTAGTATTTAAAGAGTAAAAGTATTGGGAATATATAAACCTATTGGAACGGAAGCGAATACAGTAGGAAGAATGGATTGAGAATTTATTTGTATTAAATAAAATATCTGGAATAATTTTGTTTAAAGATAAATAAGGATGGTGCAAAATTCCATCGCTTATTCTAATAGGTAATTCTAAAGAAAAAAATTACCACAAAAAAAAGCCACAATTTAAATTTGAAAAAAGGTCCAATAGGACTTCATACAGTCGTCCATGTCGACATGGACCAAAAAATATCTTATAATGTGCATGAAACTTTTTGGTTACTTGTATCCTTGCGATATTTCTCCGTTAATCCGATTCTGCATAGAATTTGCCTGCAATTCCCTAAATTTTTTTTTGTTTTCACCATTACTAGTAATCGCTCAGCTGGCTTGTCGCATTGAACAAATATGCCAGAGAGTCCCAGAGTCCCTTGCCGATAGAAATACAGGTGAATAGCCGACTTCACTCGGATTTTTGGACAGGTTTATTCCTGCTTGGGATAGAACCTTAGTATTAGCACTCCGAATTGAACAACAATCCACTGAGCCATCCTATTCCCAACTCTCTAAATTATTTTATTGTTTTTCTGCTTAAAAGAATGTAATTTTTTCCGTTTTGGAATTTTCTGATTGACATTCTATAACTTTCAGAGATATAAATTTTCTTTTGAATATGCTAAAAATGGCTTTTATTTCATGAGTTTTAAAAGCCAATTGCTGATAATTTTGATAGCTTCATCAGCCTGAATGAACTGCACACTTTACAATCTCTTCTCTTTATTTAAAAGCTTTCACCATTGCGCTGGCTTATCTGGGTAGACAAATATATCAAGGAGTGATATTCCTTGGCAATAGAAGTATAGGTGAATCGTCAGCATCGCCCGGATTTTTGGAGGACAGGTTTTGAAGGAGTATTTTATTTCTGGTTAAAGAGTAAAATCTTAGCATCGGCGTCCCGAATTGAGTAACTAGCCACTTTGCCCTCCTTTGCTTTCTCCGTTATGAGACTCTTCCGCCCAACGAAGCGTAGTGCATTCGCCGGATCCGAAATTTTTGGCGGAATTTATCTTGTCACTGAGTCGATGCACTTTGTTTTTTTTTGAAAAATTCCCATTTCAAAAAGAAATCATTATTAGTAATGATAAATAAATAATGATAAGTAATGATAATGGGTTATGACGTAGTCCTTGTTGATAATTACGAAGGAATGCGGTATAAATCTCCTGAAACCATTCTTATACCAAATATACCAAATGGTTAAACTGGATTTTTTTTTGCATTCCAGATAATCATAGGCAGAAATATTCTTTCATCCAATGAAACTTCCATGGAATCGCCGTACAATAAGGATAAGAATGAAAGCTTTTCCTTGTGCACCATTTCTTCTTCTTCTAACTCTCACTCTCAGCCAGCTCTCACCATTACTGGTTAGGCTGGCTCCAACGGCTACAAGGATAGGACGCTTCCAAGCGGTCCGATGCTATCGTCGACAGTAATGGAGCCATTCCTTTTTCCATCGTCTAAGTCCATATATTGCTGGTCCACCTATACGTTCAAAATTTTTTCTCACCGTATCAGTCCAGGTCTTGATTGGCCCACCTCGCTTTTGACGTCAACCATCACACGGTTTAGTGCGCATCATGTCTAAGGTATATATTTCATATATTCGTCGAATGGATAAGGTCCGACCGATATGATCCGACATTCATCTTTTCTCAAACACTGCATTCGAAATATTCACAGAGCGTTACCCTACGCTGGTTAGGCCACAGTCTTTGCGGACAATCACACGATTTCGCTATTTCTATATTTCTAAATTCTATGTTGGATGTCGAAAGCGAGGAGAACTAAAGGAGGCTGATAGTCAGAAGAAGAGATTTTCAACATGTAGGTAGCCCAGTGATGAACGATGGAAAAAGAAGCTTTTAATATCAGGCAATATCAGATATCAATATCGGATCGAGTAGTTGTCTTGATGTCTTATCATTTTAGCCACTGGAACCAGTCTAAAGATAAATATTGAATAGAGAGATATTAGAAGAAGAAAGAGAGTTTTTTGAAAATCTTAAATAGTTCTTCCATCTTTAAATTATACGTTAACTTCCATTAGCTTTTCACTATGCCTATTATATAATATTAAGGCTTTCGAATTAAAAACTG